GTTTCATTTCAATCTTGTGAAAAACTGGTGTTTTCACATGTGGCAGGCAGATATCTGCATGTTCAAAACATCTGATTATAACCGTGACGGAATCTGGTGTCTGGGTCAAACTCTTGTGTGGAACCAACACTCTGAATTTGAGCCATGCACAACCACTATAATGAGTTAAATAACACCTCAACTGACAGAAAGGGGAAAGCAGCTTATTTACTGGCATGTAGCATAATGAGAATACAATGAAAGGAAACATCATGGACGACAGAGGCAAAAACAACATCGCCCACCAGCAGGGGCATCTCCGAGTTTTTTTAAATGGGGTGGCCCAGCTGAGGTACTGACCCATCCAGTGGTGGCAAGACGTATACGTGACGCAGGAATACATTGCAGTTATTTAACACAACATTTAAGTACCTCAAAATCTTCTTTTTCAAAATTAACAAAGAAAAGTCACAACATATTAAACTTGAAGGAATGGTCTGTTTCTATTTTTAAGGGGGTTGTCCAGGTTACTTCTCGATTGTCAGTGTATTTCCTACAGGGGATGGCTAGTCTCTACAGCATATTAGCATAAAAATAAGTTGACTTAGACATCATAAATCCAGTCAGCAAATCAGTACATGCCAAAAAGAAGATGTGTCGTGTCCTCAAATAGTGTTAAACAATAAAGATGCCAGCTGCAGTTTAAATAGTAGCTAAATTTTATGTATCTCATGTCTAACAAGTGAAATAGCCAATTATAGTGCAGGATTTTTGAGTGGCACAAGGGGTGGACATTCTGTATTTAAGGTGGGCACGTGCCACCCCTTTTGTCCCTTTGGATGCAACCCTGCCCAACAGAAGGTACCCATGTCTTCCAGATAAACATTACTTAACACAAAAGTGAAGGTGTCACGGATGTGTGAAAGCCTCTTCATACAGGTTGTACAGTTCATTATGTGGACATTTGCATGAAATAAGAATTTTAAAATAAGAAAAATATAAGAAAATTTTTAAGAAAAAAGATATTCTGTGTTGTTCACAGAAATAGCATGACAGACACAGCTAAAGTTAAGTTTCTACCAGGTTTTAGGAGAATTACCAAAACCAAAAAAATAATCATCCAGTTACAGTTTACATAATCAAAACAAAGAATAGAGATGTTTAAATGTGCAGCAAAAGCTACCTTGAGATTTTCAAATTAAAGGCAGCACCTCAGTCTGGGTTCAAGTCCTGGTGTAGACCAAAACATGTAAATCTGAGCCATCAACTGCTCAGGGCTCCTGCTTAACTCTGACATCTGTCCAATAATGCACATCCACAGGACTTACTTTGCCTATGAACATGTAACTTTCATAGTCAAATTTATGACCTTACTTTACTGTTTAAGACTTTTTCATATACAGCAGTCAAATATATCTTCAAGTAGATAGAGCCCTTATAAAACTACAGTAATTTTTTATTACCTCTGAGAAAATGATTGATCTCAGCTCTTGGTTCTGGCCTGTATGTATGAGACTAAAACTTATTGAATAAAAAGGCTGTTTAATCACCTCTCCTGATGGGATCAAATGTGTTGGTTCCAAAATGACTTTTTGCATTATGTAATTGTTTTCATACTGTTTTTCTGATTGCCCTGCACCTGCATTATTCACACGTACGTGTCTTTAAAAACGTTGCTGATAAACTGAATAAGAATGGCTAAGACACATAAAAACAGGCCAGTTCTGACTGTGCTGTGAGGCCTGTCTTGTTCTGACAAGTCTGCTGCTGCAGCTGAGGAGTTCATTGTCTTTCCTGTGTGGTTTTATCATAGCCTGAGGGAAGGTATTCCACTCCTTCCACTCCTTCTCCTGCAGCACACACGCCCACACATTCCCACAAGTGCACACACACACACAGGCATACAGAAAGCACTTCGCACTTGTTTCATGGGTGTGGTTTCTGCTGTGCAAGCAAACACACAAGGGAGCAGCAGGCATAATGACAGCCAGAGTAAATATGAACCCTTGACTCTGGAGGCCTCGGTTTGATAAGTGATTAAATAGTGTTGATGGTGGGGTAAGCTGCAGAGAAGCCTCTGACAACATGCAACAAACTCCCTGTGTCAGTATTTTTAAAACGGGCCTCTGCTTTTATGAGCGCATCGGCAGCATGCAAGCTGACCCAGATCACTCTGAGAATGTAGATCATTTCAGTCAGATCCATTATTCATATGAAGATGACAGGCCGCGCTGGCTCCATCTTGATATGCCAGAGTCATAATGTACATGGTTGCTCTTTAATGGCCAGGATAATGTGCAGCAATAAATAGAGAAACGCTGTGGTCAGCATTTTACAGAATTCAGGGGCAAATTAGAAGTCATCCTTACTACTTTTCCTTACATTTTCTTAATTTCACACTGCAGGAGGGGAGTGGGACGTGGAGGAAAAGCTAAAAGGCAGCAGTTTGCTGTGCGTAGTCAATGTTCCAGCATGCCCAACAGAGGGCTCTGTGCTTCCACCTAAGCTACACAGGCCTACTCAGTAATGCCATGGAAAAGCCGAACTTCAAAATAAACCAATGTAATTCAAGATAATACTGCTTTTTTTCAAGGTTTAAGACACATCTTAAGTACATCAAAATAAAGGCAGTGCTATTTATTCAAAAAATGTGAAATTCACATTTTGTCTTTTTATCATATATATTCATAGACAGACTATTTGGTCGATTCAGATGTACAAATCACATCAGCTTCCAGGATTTCCAAAAGGAATGTCCCATTTTGATGTTGTCAGAACACAGGATAGTTTTCAACTCAATCTTAAACATGTTCGGGCTTAGAGGATCCACTCGTACATACATGGTTTCCTTCTTGTATGGTAAAGATTTAACTTGCGTGTGTTTATGCAGAAAACAGACAAGGGTTTGTAGTTGAGATTTTGAGACCAAGCAGTGACTCCCACTGAAGAGTTTTTAACACAGTGCTTCCAGAGGGCCTGAAGATCCTAACCTTACATTATTCAATTTGTGTCTTGTTCTTTTATTTTCTCCAGATTTTCTGGATCTTTTGATAAAAACATTGACCGTGAATGATAAAACCTCAAAATTAAGAAACATTATTTTCAAGTCATTTAACTGATCCTGACACAGTCTCTCACAAAGGGGAGAACCTCATCCAAGTTTTACTTCATGGTAGACTTTGCCTCTCTGAATACCTTTTTATACAATCAAATAAGTTGGGGGAAATTCTTTTTTCTTGACATTACACAACTTTTTCATGTCTTAACTTTCTCGTTCACTGCAATTCCTTATAGCATTTTTGAATGAAGCTTATTTTAATACAGTATATCTTTTTTATTACCTTTGAATAATTGGCTAATATTAAGAGATCAATATGTCCTGAATTTTTTTGTAAAACTTGCTTTTTATATCCACAAACCAGTATGATTGAGCGTTGTTTAATCTGAACTCTCTTTTGACCTGTGAGGCTGACGCTGTTTGACTTTCTGAACTCATGAACTGAGATGCAGACAGGCTCTGTCATTTTATCAGCTCGATGATGAGGTCAGAAATGATTGGCATTTGAGTGTTTAACTGGGTCATGTAACACCCTTTAAAACTTTCCAGCTGGGGTTTCTTTATACCCCCTTTCGATAACACATGCATTCATAGCCTGTCAGTCTGTACTTAACAGTTATGAGTTTTTATTTCCCTTAGTGGGGCGTCTTTGCACCAGTAACAACATGGATTTAAAAACAAACTGAATATTAAAAACTACAAAACTAGTGATTTTCTCTGACTAAGATTATATAAAATCAAACTTTGCAAAGGAAATTAAACCTAATAAAGCTGTTCTGTGTCCACAAAAGTAATTAGATAAAACCTATTGTGAAAAATACTTGTGTTCTGTTAACTGCTACATGCAAATGCAAAAGGACATATACATATTTTTGTGATTGAAGATGGTTGGGCTTGTTCATGCGATATTTTGAGCATTTTAAATGCACTTTGTCTGGCATAAGCGACCTGAGCGCCTGCTCAGGGCCCCGCGGCCAGTAGAGGGCCCCCCAAGAGCAATAACAAATAATTAAAATATTTTTTCCTTTTTGCATGTATAAATGATGCTTTCTGAATGATCAAGTATATATTATTTTACAGATAAAATAAAGTAAAAACATTTCAGTGCTGCTGCTGATGTAGGCCTGTGATTCTTACTGCTGATATGTCAAAGCTCTGCTGTCAAAAGTGCTGTGCAATGTGCACTGAGCATCCAAAGCACAGGTAATTGTGGGGCAAAACAATGTCGCAAAAAAGGACATATCCTTCAGGAGCGGAGAAAAGACAGAGGAAGAAGAGAAAAAACGCCAAGAAAAAGGTATGTTTGAATGTCATGGAATGTTAACCAAAGAGATTTGTGAAGGTGTGTAAATGATCAACAATCAATATTACTGGCAGAAAAAAGAGGGCCCCAAAATCTAATTTTGCTTAGGGCCCCTTTTGAGTCTCACCCCCAGAAGAATCTGATAACACAAAAATTCAACAACAAATAGTCAAACCAAGCATTCCCAAAAAGTAAAACTAACAAACCAGCTAAAATAAATAAAAAGAAAAAACAAAATGAATACGAATTGGAAAAAAAAATCAGGGTGGTTAAAACAAGTCTTTGAATTGAAATTGAAACACGCCCATCCTCTTGTTGACAGATTGTTATGACTAATTCCTCTCGCAGGGGGACGCTGTTATACTGACTGAGGGCCCTCTCTGCCGGAGTCTAGGTTCAAGACACTAACGTGTGTGTGCGTGTGCCTGTGTGGTGTGTGTATCCAGTGAAAATCACCCGGAGACGGACTGGGAGACAGTTTTTGACCGTACCAATGAGTGTAGCTTATAAATCTATTGCATTAAACCTGGCGGATTCATCTCATGGACACAAGTGTATATCTAACATGAGGGAATAATCGGAGGAGATACAACGGCGAGGCTGGTCTGAAGCTGAGGTTTTGTTGAACTGCGAGTGGGAGCACAGCTGCTGGCTACGAAAATGTCGGGAAAAATAGAGAGCAAGCAAGGTAAGTGCTGCCCGGGTAGATTCAACCACACCACCCCGGCTGGGGATACTGGATAACGGGATTCCTCACACGGAGCACGGATGGATCCAATGTGGGGTGTTAATGGGCCAGTTTGTACGCTAAATGGGGCTCCATATAACCTCACTTATGGTTTTTTTTCACTGTAAATGGAGGTTTAATTGGGCCTCATGGATTGTTCATTTCTCGGCTAACCAGTTAAAATAAAGCGTCACTGATTCAGCTAGCTGGTGTTAGCTAATGTACCCGCTGGAGCAAATGTCCTTTTTTGTACAAATTCTGTTTCTTTGTTAGAGGCGGCTGGTTAACTAACCACTTAAACAATAACGTGTGTCTCTACACAAGCCACTCAGTAATACACATGTCCATTAAAATGCGCTATCATTCTGTGGCTTGCCTGATACTCCGCCGGTGTATTGTCGAGTTTTGCTGCTCTGTGGAAAACTGTTACCGAACAACCAATAGACAGCAGTGGCTATCAATTTGCTCTATTTCTTAATGTATGTTTATTACAACCAAGGGTGAGTGCACTTTAAGAATGAGGCAACCTTGTTTTGTTATTCTTTTATGAAAGATTTGTTTCAGAATTTAGGAAAAAATGTTCCTAAATAGACTGATATAATAATTCTCCAAGTACAAAATCACTTTGTTGTAAATTACTTCTCATTAAGTTACATTGTCAGACGCATATTACGATACCCTATTACGAAATCCTTACTGTATATTTCAGGGGAAGTGTGTCTCCGTGGACCAACATCCTCTCTCAAATAATACTCCCAGTGGTGACAAGCGCCCAGGATTGTGGCTGTGCGCATGCGCAAAGGCGCTTAGGAGCACATCCCGATGGGAAGCAGTGTTGTACAGAACATGGGCATTTCACCGTTCACTCAGCCCAGCGGCCGTAAATACACCATGATTGTGTGAAAGCATCGGCAGCACTAAAGAAATCTCAGCTTCTCACTCGAGAAGTAGCATTGTATTACGATAAAATAACCAAATATGTGGTGCCTTATATCCATTATTTGGTTCTTTGTTGGCCGTTTGCAAACACTATCCCAAGATGGGTTTGTAACGGTTGGTAGCAGCGGCTAAAGGTTAGCTTTTTATCAGCTAACGTTAGCTACGTTGTTACCTAGAGTTGTGATGCGTTCACGCCCTAGACAGCAGTGTGTATTTCTGGTGTTGATTTCAACACTGTGCACGTGGCATTTTTGTTGCTTTTTTTGCCTTTTCTGTTTCTACTCGCCTTTATCTCGTGTGCAGTTTCACAGATAAGTAGGAGCACAGCAGAGCCCACTCAGTATGAGGGGGAACAGGGCAGTCTCGGGTATGCCTTTGCAAGGAAACTTTATACCCTCCAGCTACACTTGCATCCCTTCCACCAGCTGTCTCCTTGCTTCGCTCCACATACTCTCCTGTCCAGTGATGCCTGCAGTAAATTGACACACACACATATAAAGGGGGAGGGAGTGTCATCCACCACTAGTTCAGTCATTCTTCATAGGCGTAAAAGTTTCCGATTTCTTTCGTGTCTTGAAGACAGATTACCACAAATGGACCCTCAGGAATATAAACTTAGAGTCTGTGATGATGGATTTCAATAGATGGGTAGAATATACAGGTCTGTATAAATTCAGCTCAGCTCTTACCTAGTGAAAGAGTAATCCATGCGTGGGTCTGTTTTGGGGGGCTCTCACAGGGTAAAAGGTTCATGCTTTGTTGCTGCTTGAAAACTTCCATTGTGTTCAGCAACGTGCTGTTTTTATGCACATGTGTAGCTCTTTCTGGAACCATCTGATATATACATTCTGCTGCTACCTGTCTAGAATTGGGAACAGCCTACAGTAGCAGTTGACATTCATAGTTTATTTACTCTATTTTTCCAAGAATATGATGTAATGAGGGAGAAAAGCTGTAAAAGTGGCGCCGCTAGACTGGTCTGCGTGGCTATGTATGACACAGCTCACTTTTCAGATGACAGAAAAGGAAGTAGAAGATTTCCACATTCTCTGAATTCAATGGTTATTCATCTTCATGATATTACTAGTAATATCTGTTTGTTTTCTCAAAGTCCTGACTTGTTTTTTTCTCACTATCTTGAGTTAACAAAGATTGTTTTCCTAACTTTTTGCCATGATGCCATTCCCAACACTAGTGATGCCAATTAAGGCCACCGCTTTGTTAGTTTTGTGCCTTTGGAGCTCAAGGAGTCTGAGTTATCATGAGAAAAACAGTGTTGTTATGTCAAGAAAACAAGATAAGTATGTGTAGATTTCCCAAAAACAACCAGAAATGACTAGCTATCATGATAAAACTGGGGAGATAAAATAAGTGGACGCTTGTCTATGTGAAGCTTCCACAAAAGCAAATAAAGACAAGAGTATATTACACCATGTGCCCAATCCATCTCTAACATCCATCCTCTCTTGTGCTCCCCAGGCTCTCCTAGTCGTGTTTACGGGTCATTTACTGGCCTGCCCTTTTCAACATGTACCCATCGATCCCAAATTTCTACTCAGAGGACACACACTTCTCTGTGTGCCAGTGAAATGGAAAGAAAGGGGCAAAGCTGGAGTCTCATGGTAGCACTGAAAAACTGTGTATAGCTTCAGTGTCAGCCTGTTAAGCCTTGTCCCCCGAGAGAAAAAAGAGAGAGAATATGTGTGAGGAAGGATTGAAGCTGGTTTTCAAAGAAAGTCTGTTGTCTATGTGGGCTTATGCTGGGGAGACTCTACAGTTAAAAGGACCCATTTTAGACCTTGACAGATGGAGATTAATACACTGGTTCCTCCAGGAGCAAATTAAAAAGGGGAAAAAGTTGGAATAGGTGGAAAAGGTTCATGCATGTAAGTAGGAATTCCTGCACATGGTTTAAGTCATGGGTTAAAACGTGACACAGAGATAACACGGACAAATTCTAACCATAGCGCACAAGTCACCAGCTGCATCAATGTACTTTATTATGACCACGACGACCATGTGATGCTGTCCTCCTATTTAGAATAAACACAGACACACTCTAAGTTGCGTGGAGTAGCCGCTGCACCCACTTGTGTCATGCTTAGTTAGGGTGTCACCCCGAACAGCAGCACGTGGGTGGCTCCTCAGTCTGTTTCAACACTGAGCCTAATTCTTTATACACGCACCCTCATGACTTCATCACCCAGGCAGCCCGAACTGTAATACATCAACAGATTCTGCATGTGATGGTGTTGCTTAAAAGGCAACAGGCAGCCAAACAACTAATGCTGACCTCATAGAAAAAGAAGAGGGTGGAGGAGGAGGCCGAAATTCGCGATCGTCCCTATAGATTTATTCTCAATGTTGGACTTGTTTTAAAAGGACTCAGAGAAAAGGAGAGTGTCAGAGTAATTGGATTATAAAGACTTATTTTAGCTGTTTAGCCTTTCCCTGTTTTAATTCTCCCACTGAGCTATTACCCAATTTCATACTGTGAATGTTTAGTGTTTACATTTGTCTATTGTAATGCTTTCAATAAAGTAATTAGATGCCCTGGGACATTCCTTCTGTTGCAGCTGTAGTTGGCAGTCAGTGTTGCCACATCTTGCAGGGGACACTGTAATTACTCTGAGCAACATGTATGGCAGTAAATCATAATGTAGCTTCGGTGAATTTATTTCCCTCTTTTTCTTACGGTCTGATAATGTTGTTTGATTAGCAGCTGTCAAGAAATAGAGGTCTACATTCGCTTAATCTAGCAACACTGTTACCTTTGTTTGAGTGGAGAGGGGAGAGGAGGAACGAGGGACGCATTGGTGGATGGATCTTGCAGCATGACGGACAAAACCTTCAAATCGAACTCTACCTTTATTTCCAAGCATTATCCATTTACAAAGGTAGATGTGTAATGCAGGGAGCAGGACCAAGTAAGCAAATTTTAAAAATGAACCCCAGAAATCTCACAAACCTTTTAAAATATTCCAAGCAATTTTGTAAAATGCGCACAGTCAATTTTGAAGAAATAGTTATACGTTTGATGCAACACTGTTTAGATGAAAGATATTCCAAATGCAGAATTTCCTCTTTATTTGTGTTTAATTCTAAACAGCCATGAAAATTGGGTGAATTAAGAAGAGTTTGGAGCCGAACAAAGAGTCACACAGTCTGCAGGAAAGCCATATCAAATAGATCTCCTGAGTGTAGCTACCATTAGCAGAGCTGTCACCACCAGCCTCAGGCCAGTCCTCTTCCCCAGTCCTGCACTGTCTGCACATTGCTTTAGTTGAGCAGTTATATGCCAGTTTAACCCGACAGCCACCATACCACTTATCTTGGTTGACTGACAAAACTGTGCTTTGCTGTAAAATAATAAAATAGAAAAAAAAACTGTTAATGTCAGACTCCAGATTTTGGTGTTGATCAGCAAGGGTGACTTTGTTTGATCATGTAATCGCTCACACATGCATATCCACATTATGAGTACTCTATCATGGATAATGTAGTCTACGTTTTGGGGAAAATGGTGTAAAAATTGGTTTGATTAACTCAATTGAGCTCTATATTGAAGAATGCCAATTAATTAAAAAAATACAAATAAAGGTGCACTTCTTTTATTCTGCACCGTGCTTTGTTGAAATTGTACAGCCCCTCAGTCCTTGTGATGGCATATTTAGAAGACCATGTTTTTATACTACACGTATTTTTCACTCAGTCAGATGCTTGTAGTGCTGTTGCATTTCTATTTAAATAATCAAGCTTGGCTGTAGTCAGACAAACTTTGCAGCAGGCAGTGTACACTTTCAGACACATAATTGTGACTACAGAAAACAAGCATTAACTCAGCAGTCATATTTGTATGTTTAAGTTTTTGTTGCTGTTGCAAAATGCCCGTATTGTCCCCACAAAGAGAGTCAGATTGTGACACAACAGTTTTGGCATGCCAGTGTTGGTAAGAAAATGTGTGGGAGTAGCACAGCGTTTTAAAATTAGCCTGCAGACTCGTTTCTTACTGGACAGTCAATGGTAGTAGCCAGCTGCAGCGGAACTGATCCATCAGTTCCTTATTTTAGGCTCCTTGCCCCCTCTCGCGTGGTGTGGGAGTGTGCGTCTGTGTGTTTGCCTTTGAAACAGTTAAGCTGCAATGCAAAGAGTTTGCTCTGGAGCATTCCTGGAGTTAACACTGAAGTGTAAGTCATCCCGATGGCTTTGTGTTTGCTAAGTGGCTACTGCACCACTTCAGACCGAAATATCTTTCTCGTCTGGCGAACAGAAATATCCAGACCCACATGCCTTAGTCACCAAAACTCTGAGCAAGAGCTAAAGCAGCCGTGATTACAAAAGGGTTCCCCTGACGATTAGGTTGAGCACATTGCTGATGAGTGATCCACTGTTGCACACAGCCAGCTTTGGGTCTTGGTTTGACATGCTGCAATTTTGAGGTCTGATGGCAGAAAGCATTTCACCCTCCCTCCCCCAGCAGAATGAGAGGCTTGCTTTTCACATATAGGTCTAGCTGTGTTGTAATTAGTTTTTTGAATGTGGGCTGTGTATGGGAAAGCAAAAAAGAGGGAGGGAACAGAGCTTGAGGAGAGAATGAGAGGGTGGAAGGAGGTGGATGGGAATTGAGTCTCTGCACAGAGAGAGAAGGAATCAGGCAGAGAAATGGATGGATTACATGCTCGGTAATGACCGGAGAGAGGCTATCGATGTGCAACAGAGGGCAATCAGGTTTTTGTAACATGAATATTTTGCAGACATCTTCTAACGAGCTGAAGACAGATTTGTTTTCTGGGGTTTAACATGTAATTCAATCCTGGTTGTTTTCATCCTCAGCTTCCATCTTTGCACTTCAGAGGGCTTCATCTTGAAGGATGATGCTGGACTTAGTTCCTCTGTTGTGTGTTGGCCCACGTGCCAGAGAGCAGGCCATTTATTCCTGCAGGTGGCCTGTATGGTACCTTGTGGCTGTTCGGTACACCCCAACTTAAGATAACTGTAGGATTCAGCAGGAGCACATCCCGCCTCTCTTTGTTCTATTTGTGGCTCTTTCCTCCTCAAGGCTGTGCGGCGTGCCTGACTCAAGACAGGATGATCGCGCGGTCAAGAGTTGTGACTAACTCTCAGCAGTGCTACTGAGTGATGTCTGTGAAAATGCTCGCCTGACCATCAAGTCATAAGAATACAAGAACAATCAGTAACACTCCTGGACCAGTATCTAAGTGGACTCTGGGGCTCTTTTTGGATGGGAAATATAAGCTGGAGGAGCCAGGCCTCTTCGGAGGACACTGACTCCTCTCTACAGGGAGATCAAGATGAGGATACAGGTAAAGACACAGAAATGCATTGCTCAACTCATCCTAATGCTGACATTAGTCTTTTGCTATTGAGCGAATGGGATTGACTGGTGAGCTGGGTGATGTTGCAACAAGTATGATATATATGTGATATATTCTGCATTGATTGCATTGTTACTTCTGATGCATGACTTAAAATTGTTACCAGTTTGAGGAGTGTGCTGATGGCTAGGGGCAGACAGACAGCCAATTAGCTGAACTTTCAATTAAGTGTATTGGCATTCAACTTAACATTTTTTTTCTGAAATTGTCCTTTATATATTTACGGACTCATACCATTGAAATAATCCTGAAAACATATCCATTCTTTAAGCAATCATTGTAAACACTTATAGGTGGACACAGCATGTCAGGAGGGGCTGCCTGCTGAGTTGCTGCAAAAATAAGCTCAGCTTGTGTTTTGGAGTAAGTTTAGCGTTCCTACTGTATTCATTATAAAGGAGGTCTTTTCAAAAAGACAGTGACCCTCCAATACTTACAGCTGATAGGGGGCTTCCAGCTGAGCTGCTGCAACCATAAGTTCAGTTCGTCTCAAGTTAGGTTTGTTTTTGTGAAGGGTTTCTGTAGTTGTCATTGCTAAATAAGTTTTACCAGTAAATGAAAGCACCTGCAAAGTTGGTTGCGTTTTCCTAAACAGATCCAGAAATTGCCTGACAGGGGGACTGCTAGCTGAGCTGTTACCCTGATGATGATAATAGTAATCGTACATTTCATTTATACTGCACTTTACATCTGAGAAAACAGACCTCAATGTGCACATTAGTAAAAGGCAATAGTAAAAACAACAAATAGTAATGAAAACAACAACAGTTATTAAGAATGACCTGTTGCCTTTGGGGGCTGCCAGCTGAGCTGCTGCAAACATGAGCCCAGCTTGTCCTTTGGAGCAACTTGTTTTGTGTAAGGATTCATAGAGCAGTCAGTGTTAAAGAGCTGGAAACCTGCAAAGGTCTTCTCCTTTTCAAAAAGAACAGGTCATGATATTAAATGTTAAATCAGTAAATAAGGTACTGTCAAGTTAACAATCAGTGACCCTTTAGCACTCACACAGAGGGTTTTGTGAGGGGGCTGCCAGCTGAGCTGCCTCAAACATAAGCTCGGTTTGCCTTTTCTCCTGTAGGTCTGCTCATATGGAGTAAAATGTGTTTCACTGGAGTCGAATAAAGTTTTATCTCCACATCTTTTCTCCATAAATGAAAAACAGCAAAAACAAAGGGTAAAGATAATTCACAGGCCAAAACACAGACCCTGTTAACTCCAGTAAAAACAGTCTTCAGCACAGGGTTTTGAATGGCTTTCACACTCACAGAAGTCACTTATTATTGTATTCATGCCGTGAATGTATTCAGCAGTTTTTAGTGACATAAATGCATGCTGGCATTGTGTTTTTTGGAATGTGTACTTCTTTGTTGAAAGCAGCTGCTGCCAGTTTTGGAGCAAAAAGGACTCGCTGGCAGAATAAAATGCAGGGGACATTCCTCGCTGTGCTTTTTGTGTCGTGTGGCTTTATAGAAGGTGCTCATTTGTTCCGCTGAAGCCTTGGGCGGACCCAGCCCAAGGAGGCAGCTCTGCAGGGCTGCAAGCTGCGTCTCTGCCTTATCACCCCCTAAAGTTTGCAGACAGAAGGCACAGCCGCTGCGGTACTGGCTCATGGGGTGAGGCTCTGCCAGTGTGCCATGGTTCTGTTGTTGTAATCCAGTTACACAACACCAGAATTCGGTTTGTCACACGGTGGGGCATCTTTAATCCCACCTGCCTGCCTTGCTTCATCATGGCAGCTTAGCCATATTTGTTGACCCACATGTTGGAGTTAATGCTGTTTGATGTATGAGTGTTTCCACCGAGTTTGTGCATCTTGTGCTAGGCTGTGTGAACACATCCACCCTGGTGACTCTATAACACATGGAGGCTCCATAATTAAGGTAGTTGAGTCCATCATTGTGTAATTACACAGTGCCGAGTGCCATAACATCTTGTTTTGAAAACACACAGTCTGTGGTGTGTTTGGACTAATAAATCTGTGCAGCTCAGTCCACTGCAGAGTACGAGTCAAGTGTGTGTTCCATGTCTGTCTGATCTGATCTGTGCAGCCGTCCTTGCTGTGATGGCACACGCTCAGAACAATTAGTGAGACAGATTGCACGATGGTACAGATGAGAGGGTCTGAGGCTCAGTAGTCTGCTTGAAAAACACAGATTCACACTATAATCAAGCGGATGATTCCACTTTTCAAGCTCAAAAAGCAGAATCAGCTGATACCAATCTTGAGCAGATTCACTTCAGATGCAGCTGTGTTGACTGACGACTCCTCCTCCTCCTCCGATGCCTCCCAGTTTTCAAACACACTGCCAGCCCAAATCTTATTTTCTGCCATGTCCAGATTGTTATGAAATTGATTTTACAAACTCTGCAAAGCAAAAGAGAATAAGAAATGTGATTTTTTTTTTTTCTGTAGAGCAGCTTCAGCCTAGTGGACAGACATGTGCACAGACGGTATAGCCCTAGTTGGAGCAATCACCTGCTCAACTCTGAGCCACGTCGCTTTACTCCCTGCATCTCATGTCTCTCTTCAGTTCCATCAATCAGTGCAAGAGTTCTACCACACCTTACACTCCAGCACTCTTGTTACCCTGGACTCTCAATTTAAATATTTAAGTGTCTTTGCAATATGGAACACAACACTGACTTCAAATCGAGAGCGATAGAGCTGCAGAACGGAGCAGAGTCTGTGCTGCTGCCAACAGTATGAAAGGATTTGTTTGGAAAAGCTATCACAACAGTGTACAAAGATACTAACATGTATTTGCTACCACAGGTGGACACTAATCTTGCTAAGAACAGAGGGGACAGTCTGCTTAAATAAAAGGACAGCTGTGTTGTACTTAATTTTTGATTGGTAGAAATCCCGTAGCAACAAGGATATTTCTGAATAGCAAGATCGAAACCAGGTGTAACCAGATTGCTAGCATCATTGTACATAAATCAACAAAAGGAGTACTGCATATTTGTGAGGTTCATGATTTCACCTTGTCCTGTTAACATTGTGGCAAAAAAGTTTGTTTTTAATCGTTTTAGTAAACAGAAAAAGAAAAAAAAATTAATACAATCCCTATTTATTTCAAGGGTACAAAGCTTAAGATCGACTGACCAGTCACCAGGTAGAGGGGATAAATCAAGATGAGAGGTGAAGGATGTTAGACACAAAAAGCTATTTAAAAGACATCCACCAAATTGAAGAAAACAGGGGTTTTGTTGAGTGTGGCAACCATTAACATGGCTAAGCATCGCCAGACTTTGACCTTTCCTGCAGGTTAACGTCCTCTTACCTGTGCTTACCTGTCACCAGCAAAGGGACACGAGGAGTAATGAAAGCTTATTGTAAGAGACATCCAGCAAATTGACGAAGACAGACACAAAACAACAACAAACCACAACATGTTGTGGCTTTGGCAGTGTTATAGGACTTGTTAGTGTTAAATTGATCCACTTTGGGGTCTTGTGAAGAGAGTCTATTTCACATAACCACCTGATCTTCATATACTTTCCCTTACCTGTACTTTTAAGTAGTCCTGGATATGTGTTAAGTCTTTGTCCTTTTAAAAAAACCACTGTGACTCAGTGGTATCACTGAAACTCCTAATGTGAAGTGCTCTATGATGTTTTCTTTCAGTTCTTGTTTTGTGATGAGATGTTACGCCTCAGCTTCCCAAAATTTGTGGTTTTTCAACACTCAGAGCAGAAAACCCCTGCTGTTACGCACAACCTATGATATCATGCCCATTTGAATGCAGCAACCAAGTGTATCTTTGGGTAATACAGTGCACTTGCTGGCTACTATATTATAATACAGACACTGTAATGGCCACCACTAAAAAATGAAAAATCACCCCGTCCACATGCAATTTTCTGAGCAGTCAAAATGAAGAGAGCAGCAGGGAGGGAGAGTCCGAATGACAACCATTTCAACAGCCGAGGGAGAAAAAATGTGGAGATTCTGAAAAAAGGGTCTTATATCATGTCATTCTTTGTGTGTCTGTGTGTGTGTGTTCTCATGTTGAGTGTGTCAAATCACTCAGACCCCAGGGTGGCATGGTTGGGTCAGGGAGCTGGCACACAATGAAGGGGATGTCCCACAGTTGCTGCCAGTTTCCGTCGCCAGTCTAAATCAGGCCTGGAGAGAGAAGCTGACGGCGCTTGCAAATGAGTTGTTGTCAAGGCAGACGTGGGCATGTGAGTGTTTGTGTGTATTTGTGCGCATGCTTGTCTGGGTACATAAAATGATTGTGATTCACTGGTTTGATTCTATTTTATCGTACCCAGACATGGCATGCTTTGATGCACACACAATTTTCAGTCTGTCAGTAGTTATGAGCCTGTAGCCCTTCGTCTGCCTGCGCTGACCCACTTCCTCTTGGATGTTCATCCTCATACATCCTGAGTGAGAGAACGTGTTTTTAAAATAGCTATAAAACATGCAACACTGTGGTTTTATGAGCTTCCAAGGAAATTGTTAAACCCTCTGATAGAGTGAATTAAGTGGATGTTGGCTGTAGAGGGTTGGTTTTCAGGGTTGCATCCAGCTCACATTTGACTTCACATTTCTTCTTCTCCCGGGAATAAATCTCAAACTTCTTTTGCACAGGCCGAGGCTTTTAACTTGAAGATAGAACCACAAACTTTTCACTGTCAGTCCTCCCAGAGTAAACGCATCCTTCTGTTCCTCTGGTTCTCACATTTTTTTTTATCATTTCAACATTTTTTGAACGGATGTGAAGCAACACTTATTGGACTCTGGCATCCCAACGTATTTTGCACATATAAACAGAAAAACAACACTTAAAATGAGAAGGGAGTGAAGTAGGGGGGAAACAAAACAACAACACTAATGAAGAAAAATCCCCTCCTCTAAAAACTCTCCCTCAGAGCGAAAAACTTGGAACAACATAAATGTTCCAGATCGAACAATCGCTGTCAATACTGCATTTGTTAGATGTGGAAGAAAAAGTCCCTCCTGTTTGTTAATCATAGCAGGTTTGATCGTCTGGATGTACTCTCTGTTACTTGTTTCTTCAAACATCTGCATCACTGTAGGTACGCTGTCTTATTTCAGACGTCCGTTAATGAGTTGGTTTGCCTTAAACCACGTATGAGAAATCATCTTGAACATTCTGATGTGATAGGAAGGATACTGCAAATTCAAAGGAGAATTTGTGCATTACCATTTCTTTGGTGCTGCTGTCTAGCTATATGGCACACAACACCATGAGAAAGAATATTCGTTTTTTTTTCCTATAGTTGGACAGCAAATTTTAATTCTGGCAAGTCTCATTGCTTGAGAGGAAGCCCAACAGCCCACAAAAAACTCTGTCTTCATACTCTAGTAAACAGTGAAAAACTGTTGCTTTACAAGTAGTGTCTGTGCTTGTTTACATCCGTATAGTAGAGCATTACAGCATTACGAATGTTGAAACCAACCAGAGCGACAATCCTGGCTTTTAACCTTCCTCCTGTGTTAGCTTTTACTACGCACCCACTATGTTAATGGGTTGGTTTCAACCTGTGACTTAAATCAGCTGCAAATTAGTTTTTGCTCTAATTATTGATTTTTAATCCGGGTCAACAGTGACCCTAACACAACAAGTGCCATAATTTTGATAAGAGCATTTTATAATTTAGTCAATTAAATTTTTTTGCTTTCATTTTGTTGAAATAGAGGTTCCTGACAAAGTCAAAAAGTCTTGATGCAAAAAAGCTAATTTATGTGGTTTTTTTAAGCATTTAAAAACAAAATGAGTTGGTGCAGACCTTAACACAGGAGGAGGGTTAACAGCTTGGAAACATCACATCAATTAAGACTTTTAATAAAAAACACAAATGCCTCAAAATAGTAGAAGAGACGCTGAAAAAATGATGCAGGATAGGCAGGCTAGTGTTGGCAACTTCATCAGTAAAATGCTTGACATCATGAAGGACTCCACCTGTTGAACCTGACCTCTCCTTCATAAAAACATGCAAATAAAGCAGGTTTAAGTACATCACATTGAGGACTTTACGGTACCAGATGTGTTGCGAAGGGTCGGCTAGTGTATCCTGTTTGTTGGACAGCTTGGAGCATAATTGAAACATCAGCTGTGACAAAAAAAAAGTGCTGTCCTCTTCTGTTCAGTTTATCTGCCGCAGTACAGTATGTGTGCAGAGGGCAGATCATCAATGTGCCTTTTTTTTTTCATTCATTTTTTCCACAGTAATGTTGTTAATAAAGAGCTGATCCCCTAAGATCCTCAACAATTGAGCGCCTGCTGTCTTGGCCCCGCCCTCTTTTTTAAACTTTCACATCATGTGCCTCCCGGCTTCACGTCCTGTCTCAACATGCTGTTTCATGTGGAAAAATGTCAAACCACAAGAGAAACTAAGAAACTGTTTTTATGTGACCTTTTACAAAAATATATGTGTCACCACAATAGACTTAACTTAGAAAGTCAAAGATCAGTGTTTTTTTTATTTCTTCTTTATATAGTAACATGGAAACAAAGAGATTTAAAGAAAGAAAATTGACTCAGAAGACCAAAATGAGGAAATGGTAAACTTGTGAAATGATGTGCAAGGAGAGGATGAAACACCGTCATTGTTGTGTTTTTGTGCATGAGGTCTCAAAAATGTTAAAAGCATGTGTCGGCTTACTCATCCCCCACGTATTTTTAACAACCGCTGCCTAATTATAAGTGGCTACGTGAGGGCGAGTCTTGTTTTCTGTGGCCAACAACTTCTGTCATCCGAAACCTATTTTGGAGAAGCTGTGAAAAAAGTCTGAAAAAGTGGAGAACTCTGTTTTGCCACATCGCGTTCAACTTGAGATAAGATGTATTGTTTGGAATCCATCTGTCGGGCCCGTCCGTTGCAATGTGTGCGTGCAAGAAGTGTCAAGGGGTCCACAAGCAGACAAGACGGGCTTTGTACGGCGCTCCATCGCGGGCAGAGTGGTACCACTCCTCGCTGCTTGAGGCCATTTACTCACAAGATCGTTGTTGCTTATGCTTCCATCTCTGTGTATGTCTGTTTCTTGTACTCAGGCAGTGAAGTGATCGGCTCTCTTGTGGCTGTTTGTCTGTGTGTAGGATCACTCTCCCGTCTCAAGTGCTTTATGGAGCCTGTCTGCCTCTCGCTCTCTCGCAGCTGCCGAGAATTCATCTCAGTAGATCACAGGGTTTTTTAGCTGTCGCAGTGTCTCTGTTCTGCTGCTGCCTGATGTTACAGATACTGACAAGCCAGGTATTTATAGCGCTTTGTGCTTCTTTAGTCTATCGGTTTCACCCAAAGGTGATCCTGCTGTCTGCCAGTCGGTTTCCTCTTACTCTTCTCAGCACATGATCAGAAAGCCAGCTTAAAACAGAAGCAAGCAAAACGCTGTAAACAACAGCAGCTAGAAGGTCAGTTGAAGGATCATGCTGCTTTGGAGTGTTTCTGCTCGGTGGGTGTGTGCGCACTGTGCTCAGAAATCTTGTGAGGTGTGGAAGCAGGGGGTTCTGGGTCCAGAGAAGAGGGAGTGGCTCTCAGGGAGGGAGACAAGGGACAGGAAATAGTGCCAGTGGCCTCGGCGTCAGGGGGGAAGGAACAGGAGTGGTACCCAGGATGGTGTGTATGTGTTGTGTGATTTCCCGCCTTTAACCCTCTACGGCTCATGCGTTCACACCACACTCGAGTATAACAGTGTAAATGTGTGCCACTACATGTCCTCCCTTAGCTCTCTTGATACTTCGGTAAAATCATTGGCCGTGTCAATTTTTTCCAGAATTCGCAGGAGCTGTAAAAATTCCCCATCAGGTCAAGTTGTTTTGTCGAACTAACCCTTTAACTTTTAAAAAGGCACTTTATCTTTTACATTAACAAAAATAGCAAAGAGTAGTCCCAGTTTAGAGGTAGACTGATTAATGGGGCTTGTTAGGGCAGATTATTAGCATTTTGAAATAACCAGCTGCAGCCAATATCTACATCGTTAGCACACCCTTCAACATTCTCCATGCAGAGCTGGGGTGCTGAGGAATACAGAGAAATACGCCAATGCTGATACTTTTAAACCAGCTAGCTCGCTAACTATTTAATCAGCCAAAAACAAACCTTTCGATTTTTTTTAACCTACTTATATACAAAAGATGTAGGTACACAGACATTGGCCTAAATCTTCTATGATGGTACCAAAGTAATAGAAACAGATTCTTACATCTTTATTTGAAGTAACTACTTACATGTCTTATGTGCTATGATATTTGGCAAAGGTACCCAGATCTTTAAAATGTAGATCTTCGACTAGGGTACCTAGATTTCATTATTCAAGACGTTCTTAAGATCTTTGATTTAGGTACCTAGGTCTTAACTTAAAGGGATATTCTGGCGTAAAATAAATTTAGGGTCAAACACACCGTAACACCAAGTTAGACACCCTCCCAGAGATGAATGTTGCTGCTCACCGCTTGCGTCTCTAGTTATACCAGTTTTGGTAACGACCGCACGATAGCAATACACAGCAGTTTGAGGAGCCATACACACACAAACCTCAACCAGAACTCCACTCTGTAGCCGCAAATAATGCTCAGAACAGCACCTAACTTCATCAACAGTACATATAGGGTCCCAGCCATAGCACTAGCCACCAAACATCTTTTTAACTTTGCCTAATTTCTTTAGCAAAGAGACTAAACACAACTCACCTACTCTCTTCCAGCAGCCGCTTGTTTGTAGCGAGACCTTGGGCCAGTTCATTACAGAATACAGTGGGGTGACGCAGCTCAAGGAAGAGCATTTATGATCATTTCTTTATAATTTCCTTGAAGTAATAATCACCAATTTTACGCCGGAATATCCCTTTGAGTACCCAGGGATTTGTTTAGGACACCTGGATCTTTGACGATGGTACCTGGATTACCCTGACTGCAGTTTGTAGATAGTTCCAGGTACATAAATCTTTGAATTGGGTACCTGGATCTTTGATTTAGGTATCTAAACTTTTTGGAGAAAATAAAAACAAAAAAATCTGGGGAAAGAAAAAACATTCTTGGAACATGCAGACGAGTAACTGGAAGAAACCAAGTTATTTACAAGTATTTTAATCACCTACAAAGAGCTTTTGGATACGATCTAAGTTTTTAGCGTGTAACACTGTGGTTCCAGTTCACGCCTGACCTCTCCTATTTCACTTTGCTGTTTACTCAGCTCTTTCTGTCACTGTGCCAAACTGTGTGTGCAGCTTTCTTTTTCTTTTTACCCCTACAGCTAGGGCATCAAAAGCTCGCCTGTAGACCATGTTGCATTTGTTGTGGATTCTGTTGAAAACCAGGCCCCACGGCCTCTTTACTGCGACCTTTTTCTGCTCGTGGTTGAATAGTTTACAGGAGCTCTTTGTTCGCTCATTTGTTTCTATCTGTGGCCGTGGATGTGCATTATGCGTATGTGTGTGCCTGTTGTACATCGGACAATTGAGTGACCTAGACCTCAGGGCTCGCTCCATAGCTTTCAGCGCAACCAAACTGAGCTGCTGTGCCAAGTGCCCCCATTAACTTGTTCCATTAGCTCGTCTGGTGCCCACTACAAGACCCTAACCAGACAAAAAAGTGGAGGTTATCCGAATAGCTGCGACAGTTTAAAGGTCTGTGTTAACCCAGAGTCAATGCTAAAGCATGCAAGATTCTTAATAACGTGCAGTTAATGAAATCACAGCGCCACACAGACATGCTAACATAAAAGGGAGGGTGTGAAAGAGTGGCCATCAAAAGCAGTGGAGCGGAGGAATGAATGAGTAATAATAAAAGTAGTTGGGGGGTGGGGGGGTTATGGCAAATGGGCCACCAGCAACAGTCCCAAGAGTCTATGTGGACAAACACTTTTTTTCCATTATGTGCAAATGTGGACAAACAATGCGGCCATCACTGTCATCACACTAAGTAGAAAAAAAGAACTGTGGGGGCCAACAGGCAGCAGTGGTCTCAGGCAGAATAAACCTCCAGACTGCCAGCCCGGGGAAGCAGCAGCAGCAGCAGCGGTTTAGCCGGCACAAAGGAGTACAGAGAAACACAGACGGAGGAAAAGATGCTTGTCAGAGAGAGCTTTCGAAGAAGGAGTGCAGTTTGCTTCATACTTAAACAGAGGACGCATTGAGGCTAGAAACTTGTAAATGTTTATGCCTCCACACAATACATGGGTCTAATGGTCCCACCCTTTTCCGAAACACCACCTTCCAGGCTGCTGGCCTACATTTGACACGTTACAGAGCGGTGTGTGAGAACACACTGGATTAAAAATACACTAATCTGATTGGAAGTGTTTTTATTCCAGAGTACATCAGAAATTTCCTCAGGAAGTTTCTCATTAATAAATTAAAGCCTGGCCAGAAAAGTTCTTGGAACGCTTCACTTTGGATTAATTCTGTGATAGTATTAAAAATTTAAACGACTAAGAGGGACAAACCTTCTCTTTGTGGGCTTTAAACACAACTTCAGCTGGCAAACTGTGTGGACTATGAAAAGTCCTTTAAGGTTATAACTGTATATTTATGCTACATAGTTAACCTGTCCACTGTTTCCTTTAAAATGAACATTTAGACATTGAAACAGCTGCCCAATGGGTGAAACTAGTCATAGTTTGAAGAGCTCCTATGAGAAGTTTTAATCTTGTTATGATTTAGAGTCATGTCCCCCCGTGACCTAAAAAAGAAAACAAAACTATCAACAAAATGATCGACTATGTCTGTGCAGTTATTTTTAATGTCTGAAACTACAGGTGGGAGGGTAGGTGTCAGACCAAGAGACTATCTGTAGGCCTCTAATGCAGCTTTGGTCATGTTTCATGGCCAATGGTCTGAATGAGTGAGCGATTTGACAGTTGAAGGAGAGAAGAATAAGACCTCTTGGTAGGAAACATTCATTATACTAAGAGAAGACAAAATCAGTAAAGATTGCTTTGTCTAAGGGGGTGCTGCAATCAACTTACAGGAGCTTTAAATCACAGTCACTATTTAATACTGATTTAGTTTTGAATAAAAAGGGGATATAAGTTTATTTAAGAGAAGAGCTTGTTTGACTGAGACAATAACATCAGATTCCAGTGGAAATCTGGAGGTGTTTTCGTGGTCTCCGTGCTGGTGGAAAGGTAAAGGCGAAGTTGAAGGCTAGGAAATGGAGACATATGCCCTTTCTTCTATCAGTCATCATGGGAAATGTCAACTCTCTTCCCAACAAAACCAACAAACTAGAGGTATCAGTGAAGACTGAGAAAGCATACTGCAACGGCTGAGGTTCCATGTAATGTTCTCTATGATACTGTTGCAAGGATACAGACTCAACATCCTGAGGCACTCCCAGGATGATTCCAGATAAATGAATTGCCCATTGGGGATCAATTAAGTTCTTGTATTGTGTTGTATTGTATTGTATTGAATATTCTTTCCAGTTCTCACCGCCCTTCCAAAAATGATCAGGCACTAGTTTGGCTGAGTGGTTGAATTACACAACCATTTATTGTAGAACCGTAGTCCAGGCAGGTAGCCAGGGATGGATTGTAAAACTTAACCACTGTCATTCCCGCTCTGACTCTTTCCTGTTCTGTCTCCAAAATAAAAGCACCAAAGGCCCAAATGATCGAAGTTTCTGCTTTGACTTTGACAGACACGTGCATCCTTTGACCCAGTACACTTGCAGTAGTATGGCTGCTAATTCACTCAAAAAGACAAGTGTTAGAAATTTGGTCTCAACTATCCTCATGGAGGAGCTGAGAGTCCTCAGGCTTGTGCAGATGGAAACTAGAGCTATCTAGACAAGAACCACGAGCACCTCGAAGTCTCATGACTCTATACCTCTTAATATCTACACGTCACCAACCACACCGCATCTGCTACCTGTGTAATTATGGAAGTGTGCATAGTCTGCTCTGACCTCAGCAGCCGTGAGTTGAAGCAGAGTTTATTTAAAGCTCTGTTATGACTATAAAACATTGTTTGCTTCTCTTCCTTGTACTGCCTCGAACCCTGTTTTTGCGAACACGCAGTGATACAGTATAACCCTGTGACTGTTTTCTTTGCACAACACTGTTGCAAAACATTGCTCCGAGCCACTGTTTTATAGCTGTACATGACAGAGGACTCAGATGATAGATGATGCATTGTGTGTCTGCTGTTTTTCAGAGTGGTATTGCACTTTGCTAAGGCTGGCTTTTGAACTTCAGGGGGGAGAAAAGCTCTTGTTGACCTGCTAATGTGATTGCTAGCATGTGTCGGAGCCAAAATGTAGGGCGGCGTAGTTTGTTTTGCTCTGAAAAGCACGAAAATGTTTGTTTTGTTGTAAATTAATGATTTGTTTTTAATCTCCTCTGTAGATGGGATGGAAATGTCTGGATGTGATTCTGCTGCTGACATCTCTGCGCGCTGCTTGTTGCCTCTTTCTGCTTTAATGCGACATGTTTCCAACCCCCCTGAAAATATTCACTCAGAGTGCTGGGTGTAATGTTTCATAAAGGCTGTTTAATCAGAAATCAGATAAAATTTTCATCTTCTCTTAACGCTTCAATCCAAAACAGCTGCTCAAAGGTGACAAAACAGTGAGAAAGGGCATGAGGGTGCTTTTAATTCTCTTATTATCTCAGAGTGCCATCTCATGACTCATAGGGGTAACAGTACCAGCCTCACAGATCAGGACTTCCCCCATTTACACCTATTCTTCATCACCAGTCTACTGTGTCACTTCTGGAGTCTGATCTGAGAGCAGATGGAGCAAATACCCAAAAGGAAAGACACAGTTGTCGAGGGGCTTTTTCAAAATCTTCCCCCTGACGCACACAGGCTGAACATTGATGACCGAGCGCAGTCCTGGCAAAGCAGTTATGGATCTGGTTTGCTGTTCTGTATTATAGATCAGGGTTATAGATCTCCTCATGTTGTGTAGCCACGCTCTGTTAGCCATGGTCCACCAGGCAGTCTGCTCCTAGCATGTGGAGCGCCTCCATCACTACATTGATATTTGCTCCAGGGTGTTGACCCATAGTTGGTGGGCCTGCTGCACTAGTCATTGACACACTGATGAGCATGTTTGTGTAAGTTATTTATAGCGTGAAATATTGGCTGATGTGGTGCTGATGGAGGATATGTTCTTTTTTTCCCGAGTGAAAGGAATGCAGGATGTGTTTTGTTTTTTTTCTTCTTAAGAAATCGACAAAGATTTGACTTAAAAACTTGACTTTAAAAAACAAATTTGTATGTCTCATTGTGAAGAGTTAGATATAAAGATATAGGGTCGATAAAGTTAGGTCAAATAAGAATCGGTTGGGGTGATGATGGCCTTGCGGACCCCACGTATGCAGGCGGCCTGGGTTTGATTTTCCATCCCCTGCTCTATCTCTTTTCCGTCAATAAATGACAAACAAACCTCAAAATAAAGACTCAGTAGTAGTTTCAAAGCAGATATGGTGTAAAGAACGTGCACATCCACACAAACAGAGAGTTGCAGGATTTCGTTTGTTCATCGTTGTAGCACTTCTTCCTCCCTACTCTGTGTGTCTCTGCTCCTCCTTCTGTCACAGCCATGACGCCACTTACTGATATTGTTTTCGGACACCAGTTATGACAAATCAGCTATAGATGACAGATAAAAAAAGGGCAGTCATTCTCCTCAGGAAGTGAAAAGTAATCATTAAGCGAAAGCTAGGATTCTTGGTTTGAAAGGTGATGGTGGAGGCCTAGCATTTGTATGAATAGGGCTGGGCGATAGACCGAAAATTTACAAATATCGAAATTTACGACAATAACTGACGTCATTTTGCCTATGTCATTACATTCGGTTTTAAAAAAAGTACATAAATAAAAATTAGTTTTGGATGTGTGTAGGTAGGTTATGGTCTCATGTCCCTTTAAGACACTGTCCTGTGTCCGAGACTTGACTCCACCCAATTCAGTCCATAACAAAGAGGAAAAGACAGGTGAGGAGATGGAGGACGGTTCAAAAGTTGAAGCGGCTGAAGTGGACGGAAGTTAATGTGGCAGGGGGTGAGCTGCTTGTGGAGTAGTTATTGTCCATTTATCGTTATCAAGGTGAACTGCTCAATATATCGTGATATTGATTTGAGGCCATATCGCCCTGCCCTAGTCTAGAAATTGTAAAACTTCTGCATTCTGGTTACTGATTCTTGCTGTTTGTCTAGAAAGGTGGCTGTAGAGCTTGAGCTGTGCCAGGGCTCTCTGGGCAAGACAAAATCCACCTTGTTGTGGTTGTTGATAGAGTTGTGACGTAGTAAGCGGCTGAAAAACAACAGTAATTTGTGCGTCACTTTGCCTCGCCTAATTTAATAGTCTGCATGGAAACAATCCTCTCTGTCTTATTTACTCATTTTTTAATTGAAATACAATAGTGGACCAGACACTTAACATCCATTGTGTATGATTTACTCACTCAGGAAATAGACTGGGTGCTCTCAGTGCTCCTGTGGCTCTTCATTAAACAGCACAGATGTAAAACTGTAAAACCCACCACTGGACTTCTTCCTCCATTACTCCTCTAACCAGCCATTAACCAGGACCACACTCAGTCTGCATTAGAGCTTCCTCCCACTCCTGCCATCTTCAAAGTGTGGCTAGGTTTGCAGCTTTGACACACGCAAACATATCCATGCACACACACGCACACACACACACACACGCACCTTTGTATCCTATATTGCAGCTTGTTGATAACCCAGAACATAAAGAGGATTGGTATTGAAAATTGAACACAGCCTGCAGGAAGCTAACCACTACAATGCAGAGAATAAATAATTCACTGAGCACTTGACTATTTCCTGTTGAATTTCCTCTCTTTCCTCTCCATTTTTCTCCCTGCTGTTCATCTGATGCGCCTGGGGCTCACATACCACACTCCTGCTTCTCAGCAGGTTCCGCCTGTGGAGATATGATATTCTGCAATTTTTTGTTTTACAGTGTAGCAGACAGTAAATCCCCCCATGTTGTCATTTTAATAGACAGAAGAGGCCTTGTTGTAGGTGTTTGATATTTACAGATGCTCACCTCAGGGTGGGGTTTCTCTGATTTTTGTTCGCTCTAATTAAATGCATGCACAGGATCTAATCTGTGTAGTAGAAGGACTGTAAATGTGTTTAACTCCAGTTCTGACCAGTTCCAAAGAGAGAAACTGAAGTCCCCTTTATTTGTTTATGACATCTGCTTCACTATTATTCCTTCACTTGGACTTCTGATCCACAGTATCTTATTATATGAGGAAAAATGAACTTCCAGCTAGGGGTGCATAATTTTGGATTTTTGCCAATATCATATATGACAGTAGTTTCAAGCTCATTACCTATTAGAGCTGGGCGATAAACCAAAAATTTACAGATACCGAAATTTACGACAATGAAAAAGAAAAATGGTTTTGGATGTGTGTAGGTAGGCTATGGTCTCATGTCCCTTAAAGACGCTGTCCTACGTTAGAGACGTGACTCCACCCCATCCAGTCCGTAACAAAGAGGGAAAGACAGGTGAGGAGATGAAGGACAGTTCAAAAGTTGTAACAGCTGGAGCGGCGGCTGAAGTAGACGAAGTTGATGTGGGAAGGTTGAAGCAGCTTGTGAAGTAGTTATCGTCCATTTATCGAGGTGAACTGCGCAATATATCGTGATATTGATTTTAGGCCATATCACCCAGCCCTACTACCTTTATTAATACAGATGCTGGCATATATAAGCTGTAACTTTTCATATCTGCAAACACTGATAATGAACTTTTTCAGCTATTATCTGCTGCTACCGATATTTCTTACTCTTGCTTTGAACAATTTTGCTAATATCCATCGAACATTGAATCTTAGCTATGGTTTTGCACTCCCTAGCTATATTAAACTTTTTGCAATAAGACTTATTGACTTACTCTCTAAAAAAGTCTCACTAATGTGTTCAGTTTTTCAGCATGTTAGATTTCCAGTGTTGGATTATTATAGTGCTGAACAGGCTGTCATTGAAGAGAACATCATATATTTTGCTGGTCAGTTCTCAAAAGCTTCAATCACCTCTCCTTCACACATAACTTTAACTCTTTCCCGTGCTCACGCTTTTGATGAGTTTTTCCCCCTTGTCCTTTTCACTCTTTCAACAGCTGGCGAAATGACCTTATTGACACCCGTTTCGGTCTTTTAGCGGCCTCATCGTGTCCAAATACGTGCACTTTCATTGAGCAGGCCTCCTCACTGAGGGAGTTCAGCAGGAGGTGACAGCTGTGAGTGTAACCTTAGGCACAGACTCCCCCTGTATCCCACCGGTGAGGGGCCGGCCAGCTGTCCTGTGTAGATCACACCTGTACAGAACAACAACCAGATCAATCTGGCCGTCTGTCAGTTCTTCTGGACAGGCTCATATGTCAGCAGTCATCAGTCATGTTGTTGGGATCAGGACTGGATGGGATCCTGGGATTTCTGACTATGAACGTCAGACCGCAAAAAAGTACATATTGAACTCATTTATATGTGAAGCTCTCTGGCTTCATTCCACCTTTGTAAAAACAGGATTACATTACCCTTAAACTAAAAAACCCAATGAACCATTTATTCATTTTATTGATATTTCTAGAGTGATTTTAGACAATGTGATTCAGCCTCATGGGATTTTTCATGTACCTGATGTGTATGTGTGACGGTGGAAATACCCCATGCTGACTGAATTTCCATGGAAGTTACCAGATGTACCTGGGTGGCCTTGAACGATTCAGCAAGAGAATTAAATTTCTAAGTCCCAGCTGGTTCACAGTTATATGCAAATGAAGTCATTTACTTAAGTGTTTCTTAAGCACTCATAAATTCACACTCCTGCTGTGGCTGTATGTGGACTTCATGGCTAAGTTTTCAGACAATCCAGCAACTGAAGGGTTCTTTGGGACTGGACTTTACCACAAACTTAGGTGACAACTCTCCCCTGCGTTGTTTAATAGTTATTCAGACAAGAGTGTTGGTTGAAAACGTCCCAAAGCCTGACCACATAAGTTAAGCAGTAAGAATACAACACTTGTTAATGCCTGAGCCTTCTATTTCCCACTTTAAGGGGTTTTGCCAATTTGTAGACAGTTATAAATATGAGATTTTTGTTAGTGAGAATCTTACATTTTAGTATGATATTCATAGGATCCTCAGTTACTAAGCTTAGCTCGTTTTACAACCCCAGATCCAAAAAGAAGTCAACAACAAAAAACAGTCGGTCTTTAAAGGCTTGGGCTCAGAGTAGTTGCTGGAATCATGTCGGGATTATGTCTGTAAATGATTTCCTCTTTGCATGCCTCAGTCTTCTTAACCTGCATTCGTGGATGCAGAAATGAACTTTTGTCACAGACAGTGGTCTTTGAAAGCAATGTAAGCCTGTGCAGTGATTCCCACTACAGAGCGGTGTCTGTTTTGACTGCAGTGCTCCCTGATTATGCAGCACATTAAAGTGAAGTTGTTGAACTCTTAGCCCTCACAGAGTGGTCTTATTACACAGAGGGGTTTGTTAACTGTGTCACTTGTAGTGCCCCTTGTGGAAAAAGCAGTCTTTGCTTATCTTGTCCTCTGCATGTTTGAATAGTGATATTTTTTAATATTAACAAATATGTTATTTATTGTGAATGTAGGTGGAGATTGTTTTAAAAAAGGCTGACACCCACCCCCTCACACTGGTTTCAGGCACTAAATATTAGGTTACAGAAATCTCTCTATCTCTCTGCTCATGGTTTTGTTTGCTTATGAACATCATGAAAAGGTATTAATACAAATTTTAACTATTTCACATAAGTCAAAAACTCCTTATAGGAGCTTTAAACAAAGGTAGAGTTTCAAACCATCAAAATCCTATTTTTAATGAACGTTTTTTGGATTTGTAATCTGTAAGTGACTCTAAGGTCTAGGTGTAACAGAGCGAGAGTTTAAAGCGTGTGTGTGTGTTCTGTTCTCTGTGGGCCTGTTGCATTTTACAACAGAGGAGACAAGCTTCACCCTTTATGGAAGTATAACCACGCTGAACCGTTCTTCAGGCTGCCTCTGCGGCATCATTACACTGCATTTTAAACAGAGCCAGGGGAAGACGTTTTGGCAGGAACCGACACGTAAAATAGCGTTATGAATAACCTGCTGCATTCTGGGAATGTTGAGGTGTCAGATTCCAAAAACTCTTCTCTTCAGCTCATCTGTAAACGCAGATTTATGGCAGCCGAGATCAAGATACAGGCCGATGGAAACACTTGGAATGGTGCTGAGCAGGTGTACTGGAGCACATGGAGGCATGTTAAAGTCTGCACAGCTGTAAAACATAAAGAAAAAAACCTCTTTTCCTTTAGGGTGTCTTTGGGTCTTGTTCTCTGAGTTCATAACTATTTGCATTCAGTGTAAGAGACGTTACAACCAATGACATCACCACCTCATAACTCTGGACAGCAGCAGGCAGGCAGCTGGAGAGAGAGAGGGAGAGAGAAAGAGAGAAGGATGGCCTCATCTCTGGTGGAGGAGTGGAGGGTGGATGCTGAGAGGCGTACATGACTATAACAGAGCACTTCAATGTGCTCACTGTATTCTCTCCCTCGCTTTCAGCCTGTTCATTTCTGTCTGTTGATGATGTCATTTCCATGCTGGGCCAGACTTCAGCGAACTCCAGGGGAAGGAGAAGGGGGTGGGGGTGGTTTTCTGTTCAGGGGAGAGGGAGTGGGAGGTGGCGGAGAAGTGAATAGGGAGCAGAGGAGACAGGCAGCTAGCCCCTGTGCGCATGATAAACAGCTGAGCCAGCCACAGGGGGGCTGCGATGGCGTCTGAGGGCCCGTATCGATCGCGGCGGCGGCAGCGGTGGCGGTGACTCATTATGCTGATGTCACTGTGCCGCTGGAATCTGGACTGAGATTGTGGGGTTGCAGCTGTAAACTCGCACACAGTCCTTCTGGGCCTGTTAAAGCTGGAGTTGAGCAAGAATAGGTGAACGTGCCCAGCCTCAGTTCCTGCACTTGTGCTGGGAGTATGTAGGAAACAAGGTCGTTCATATGGAGCCTGCTGTCCAATCACACGCAGCTCCACAAGCTGCCATAAGGTGAAACTTTGCCTGGAGAGAATCCTGGCTCTGGGCAAATCTGGCTGATGCAGGTATGTACAGCCGCAGGGTACAAAAAGAGAAATCCTCACCCTGTCAGCTCTGTCAGCTCTATCCACACTACCCAGGCTCTAGTTAGGTGAAACAGCACAGCATCCCCTGTGGCTAGGTTACAAAGTATCGATCCAGACAACTGTGGAGCAGGTTGTCACCTTCTGCATGGTCCCCATTGTGTCAAGTCACCTGTCGGACTCTCTGACAAGCACTTACATCTCTCTATCAGCCTTGGCTGGCTGACAGAAAGGCTTGAGAAGACAGAGAAATCTGCAGTATGCAACAGAAAAACTGCAGCAAAGACCGCCTGGCACAGGACAAATGAAGACATACGAACTGTGTGTATTAGCGGTAACTTGTAGGGCTGGGCTATATGGCCTCAAATCAATATCACAATATATTCAGCAGTTCCCCTCGATAACGATAAATGGACAATAACTACTCCACAAGCTGCTCAACCCCTCCCACATTAACCTTGTCTACTTCAGCAGCTACAACTTTTGAACCGTCCTCCATCTCCTCACCTGTCTTTCCCTCTTTGTTACGGACTGGACGGGGTGAGGTCACGTCTCTGACGTAGGACAGCGTCTTAAAGGAACATGAGACCATAGCCTTCCTACACACATTCATAACTAATTCTTATTTATGAATTTTTTCACACTGAATATACAGATATGTGCAAAATGATGTTGGTTATTGTCGCAAATTTCGGTATTGGTAAATTTTCGGTTATCGCCCAGCCCTAGTAAGTTACACTTCTTGCTCTGAATGTTTAAACAGTTTCCATTAAGTTATCACTTCAAATCCACATGGCATCTTCGATTGTACATAAAAAAGTTGAATCGGGATTTTCAGGTTGAGAAATGCTACGATTAAAGCTTATGCTCAGAGTATTTGCTTCTTCATATTATTCCAGACAGTGTTGTGTCTGAGTTGTGTTTATTCTGCATGCGCATTGTTAGGAGGATGAAAATATAACTATGCTGCTGCACTCTTGACAAGCTAATGTTTTCTCTCTTTACTCTGCTAATTGTGTGAATCGGGGAAACATAACAAACACAATTAACCACCCCCAGGAAGAGGTTGTTTCTCTGTTGGAGTGTGGTTTTCGCCTCTGCGGTGACATAACTAGGCTAGTAATTAATTTAACAAAACTTCTATATTTATCTCCCTCGCACAGGCCGTCAAACTTTCGAGCTGTGTTGCACTTTCTCAGCTGATTTGTCTACGTGGGAAAATATATTTTCCTGTTGTGCTTATGTGAGTGATTTGAGCTGTTTGGCTGTTGGGAAGTGGGTCGAATGCAGATTAAAGGTGACACAGCAGTCATGAGATACATTTCCAGTTGTTTATTAAATCAGTGAGGGAGGCATGTGTAACCAGCAGAGCAGTCTGTGTTGTTTATGTCTGTGAAACACTCAGATAAGGTTTCTAGTGTAAAGCAGACCCTGAGGGGTCATGCTTGCTTCATCATCCCTTGAACTTCCAGAGGAAGGGGAAGCTCCACTGGAAGTGTTCTCATCAACAGTTTTAATGAGGCACACGGGCGTCCTCGGCTGCCTCAGCAAACTTTGGCTTTTGCTGCGAGTCAGGGATGATGAGGATTAAGGGTTGAGGAGGAGCAGCAAGATGGGGTCTGTGCGGGGCTTATGGATCGATGATGCAGATGGAAGCACTGTCCAGGGCTGTAATCAACCAAAGAAATTCTTGGTCGACTAAAACCCTTACATTTTTCAACCAAAAATTGACTAATTTTCCAACTCTGACGGCAAACCCTTCTACAGCGGGGGACAACGAGGTAAAAATATACTGAATATACTGACTTCAGCACAAGAAGGTGAATATAAACAAAAGGCAAGTTGAAACGCTCAAAATAAAAATAAATATTCCGCAAACCACCGGACATTGATTACCGTGGACGATCTTCAATCGTCCTGTCTCCAGCCAGTCTCCAGGGTTGCGCAAATCCAAAATGGTGAAAACAAGGGCGGTGTTCTGAGACAGGCTGTTACCTGTGAAACGGGGGTGCTCTGAAAACACCCCCATTAGCACTTGGTACATTCCTCCTGATGAAATTAACTATAGACTGTAAGTTGATTCGGAAAAAAATAAGTTGAGCAATCAGAATTTTGGTTGACTCAGCACATATCGACCACTAATACTGTGTTCAAGTTACTTCGGAAGTCAGAAGTCCGAGCTGAAAATGACGTCACACCTGAGTTACCAGCGTTTCAGTTACCAAGTCAGAAAAAAGCAAAATCAGACGAGGAAACAAGATGGCTACATCTACGAAACTTATTTTAGCACTTGCCTTGTCCGAACATAAGGCAAAGCGATAAAATAACTTTCGTAGATGTAGCCATCTTGTTTCAGGCCTCCGACTTTTCTTTTTTTCCGACTTGGTAACTGAAACGCTGGCAACTCAGGTATGCATCATTTTCAGCTCCGACATCTGACTTCCGAGGTAACTCGAACACAGCGTAGTCCACTAGTCGACTAGGACTTTACAGCCCTCGTCCACAATGAAGCTTAATTTGTTGTGTTTTTAATCCATCATTGCTTTCTATACCGGTGGTCCTAGACTGTCAGATTCATGTCCCATCATGCAATTTTGCTCATGCATCCTGTTCTCTCACACCCCTGTTATTAGTCTCTATCTCCCGATTCAGTCTGGTTTGGTCTGGAGGTGAGCAGTCACCTCTCATGGAATTAACAGAGCAGGGGACTCTTCTTTCCCTAGATACAATCAGCACTCTCTCCAGAAACCAAGTGGGATTCTGCCAAATGACTCTGCTATTACAAAGCCCCTCTCAATAATGTACCATAAAGCAATTTCCATCCCAGCACTAACCTGAGTATTTTATTATAACCACACTCCTCTGTTGCCCGTGTCTCTCTTTGTGTGCTTACACATCTGTGCACATAATAAACTCCCGGAAAAGGCTGTAAGCCTGTGTCTGTCCTGCAGATTCATGGTCGGGAACCACAAGAGCTGATGAAAACCGGATGTTTCAGATGAAAAATATCCACGTATCTCCTCCTTTCTTTGAAAAATGCTGGTGTTATTTTTGTGCTGAGCTCTTCCCTCGTCTATCTTTCAGCCAGTGGCATTGTGAGATTTGAAACCAGCACTCGCATGTGCTTGTGCCATCTGTTTTTTTTTTTGTTTGTTTTTTTTTAACCAAATTTCCACTCCCTCCAGAGGGTCTCTTCCTCCACTGACCACTCAACTTTGTCTCTATTTCCCCTCTGTCCTCAGACTCGCAGCGGTCCCATCTGTCCTCCTTCACCATGAAACTAATGGACAAGTTCCATTCTCCCAAGATCAAGAGGACGCCATCCAAGAAGGGCAAGCAACTGCAGCCCGAGCCAGCCGCCAAGAGTACCGAGAAACCTGCAAACAAGGTATGTGTGTGCATCTGTTTGCCAAAATTTCTGTGTGTGTTATGGGAAACCCACCTCTTTCCCACCTATTCCGTGAATTTGTTTGCAGATTTGTTTACAATTGTTTTCCTGTGCTCCCCATTGTCTCTGTGTGTGTGCGAGTTCCCCCACTGGTTCCCACAGCTTCCCAGTCGCAGTGGCGGCTGGCTGTGCTACAGCAGGTGTCTAAACCTATAAAGACATGAATGGAGCCGGGCCGCTTCCTGAATGAACTTCTCCGCTGCCTCTTAAGGCTTTTGGTGTAATGAGTATATTCCCCCGGCAGCCCTGCTGTGAAAGACTGGAGGAGCTGAAAGAGCCCATTGCTGTAGTACCTAGATGTGGCTCCAAGCCACATGACTTGATGTATGGAGCTTTGAATTGCACATAAACCATGGGAATAATGGAACTATAGGAGAGGGAGCCCAGTCAGTTGTTACAATCCAAGTACTAAAAAGGCTTCAAACCAGGGCCAGAACAATATGAATATTTCCAGACAGAAGCCAATACAGCTATTAAAGGAAAAATGACACATTACCAATACAGCAGCCAGTGTGTTCAAATGTGCTGGTGTGGATGTGTGCCCGTTTAGTATAGATGTATATGTGCTAATTAATTAGAACGCGCCTTCTCAAATGAGAAACTATGAAAAAGTGTTAAGTATTTTTACAAAACCAACTTATTCTAATGTGTAAATGCTCTACTAACAGCTAATAAACAATGCTAAAAGAGTGGTCCCAAAACTAACCAGGCAAATAACACAGTTGTTTCTAATTGAGAATTTAACCAAAGTCATTTACATCTTTAATAATAGATCTATGATAGGTGCAGCCAGTAGTATCTAGTGTGTAGAAAACTCTCTACAAACTACAGCTAACATTGCTTAGGGTAATATGACTTGTGAAGTTTGAAAACATGCTTTCAAATAGGCACACACCTTAAAACATGTGCATCTATAATATCTCTGAAATTCATGTAGGACAGAGGTGGAGAAGGTTCTGCTGTGTACTATTGCAGACAGTGCTAAAGGTATAGTAATAGGTGGTTTTTAAGTAGATTTAAACTGCACAGATACTGATATCTGAGATCTGTATGTATCAGCCAGTATTATGCAGTGTTGAAAATCATCCACCCAGTATTACTGCAGACAGTGCTGACAGTGTTGTGTGTTAAATTTGGTGCTCGACAAAATGTCACTCCCTGCATTTAATGTGCTTTTAAGAAGGTTTTACAGAGCTTAGTATATCTTTGCTGCTGAGATACAGAGAAAATATATCCATATTATCTACAATAGTGTCTGGTGTGGAGAGGGTTCCACTCAGTGACTCAATGGACAGTGCTAAGAGTAAGAGAAGAGATTAAAATTATTGTTCTGGACAAAAATGTGTGTCTTGCCCTGACTTTTGACGAAAAATTGCTCAAATTTACACTTATCTGAAAACATGCGCATTTTTACCAATATATCTGCAATAGGTCCATGTTGCCCATTAATATCTACTTTGGTTTACTGTACATTTATTTTTCCATTTGCATATCTGTTGTCCACCATAAAGTGGATCAGGAGTCAGTTCTTAAAGACCATTTTCTGTTTCATTCTTGCAGAAGGTGAGCCGACTGGAGGAGCACGAGAAGGAGGTGGTCAGCGCCCTGCGCTACTTCAAGACAATCGTGGATAAGATGGTTGTGGAGAAGAAGGTGCTGGAGATGCTTCCAGGCTCTGCCAGCAAGGTGCTGGAAGCAATTCTGCCTCTGGTTCAGGTGGAGGCCCGGATACAGCACAGGTGAGAGCCAGAGCAGTGTGACAGAAAAATCCAATTCAAACATTTAAAATTCTTATCCTTGAGACATAAGATGGAAACTTTTATACGTGTTTTTTGATCCATTTGCTTGTAAACTTTCATTTTCCAAACTGCAAATGAGGAAAAAAATAACAATAACGAAATGCTCCAGCTTTCTCATTGCTTTCTTTGAGATTAAATAATTCCTCTCATTCTTGCCTTCTGATGTTACTTAAACCACGACTGGTATGCATGCAGGACATGCTAAAACTAGCATTATGTTAACTCCCACGTGTAACAGCTTGTAAAGGCTGATGTATGTTGTCACTGATGACATCCCTCACCTCCAAGGCTTCCTGTACTCGCTGCCTGAAGCCTCTAAAGTTATGTTCATGTGTTAGTTGGTGGCACATTATCTGAATTCCACCGCTCTCTACAGCTAGAATAGGTCTCTGTTTTTTACATCCTCTCTTTGGTGAAGCAAACCCCTCCTGTAAATGTAACCCAAGTTGCTGTTTTGTTTGGACTGTCGAGACATGTTGGAACTTCTCTGTCTTTGTCTCTGTGCCTCTACCCGTCCGTCAGCGCAGATGAAGGTATGGAGGGTCAGAGGTGATGGATTTTGTATCTCCCAGCTCTGTGTTTAGAAGTGGTTGATGGATCGTTGCTGTGGCATTGAAAAGCAGCCATCCTCTGGGTGTTTGACCCCCAGTATAATGGAGTCTAACCCCAATAAATCACAGTAGAGGCTGAGATGCTTTTTGGCAAATGAGCGCATGTGTATCAAGTTAACGCTTGGAAGAAGAATCGGATCCTGACTTGTTAATGCACAGTTGGTGTTAGATTGTCTACAGTGATTTCAGTCAACATAAACTAGGTCAACAGTGGGTGTAACTCCAACCCGCTGTCTTGGCACACAGTTTGATCACAGTGCTCGTTTGCCAAAAGGTTACTCTATCAATCTAATATCTACAGACTTAATTATTTTAGCAGTGCTTAGTTCCTGTGTAGCCTTTAGCTTAGGTAGTCTTTCTGGGTCAGACCTCTCCACCCTTCCCTCTCTTAAATCCACCTCCTGTCCCCAAAAGCTGCAGCCGTCTCCTGCTCACAGTCAGACTAAGCTGTGAAGACACAGCGGATGAATGTTCCGGCGCTGTGAATCAGCTGCAGCGTGTCAGCACAGGCCTGCACCACACCTTAGTGTTAAGTCTGAACACATCATTCACTACAGACTGGAATGACACCCCGCTCCCCCGTGTGGTTACACAGTTATCTGTGAGGCAATTTACCAACAAATGCCTTGTAGATATGTAGTTCACCGGATGATAGATAGCTAGAAGCGGTGTGTGTTTTTGTTTTTATGTGATATTTGTCATCTACGGGCTAATGCTGCATTCACATGGATCGAGGCAGATGGGCAACACCCTCCTAGCAGCACAGGGACGAGACACAAACAGTGCAAGGGAGTGGAAAACAGCAAGAAAAAATCCAAACAGCATCATGAAGTCATTTTGTTGGAAAGAATGGAATCACTGACCCGAGATTAAGACACTCCTGACTGTAAAATGACCTCCCTTCCCTTCAATACTTATCTTTGGGAAAAGACTTAAGCAGCCTGTGATTTGTCTGCATGGTTGGCATCATGAGTTTATAACAGAAAGATCACTATTTCACTCAAATTTACTCATAAATCATCACAGATTACCTTCATTTATAAAAAAAAACTGGATCCAGAAAGTCTCTGAAAAAAATACACTGCTTAGTTTTGGATGGAAAAATCCTGAATATCATAGAAACACAGAGTTTATCACTGAGCATGTGGATTGTATAGTCACATCACTACATCGTACTGATTTGTTTTTGCAGCAGATAATATAAACACAATGTCTTATTAAATGCTCACTATTATATTCCCTCTTTTTCAGATTTATGTTGTAAATAATATACATCTGAATATTCAGGTCAGTACAGTATGTAAAACTGCTGCATATTCGATCAATTGATTACAATCAGTTTACAATAATGCTGATGGCGATGCAGTGCAGCTGTTTATTATTTTAACAAACTGCATATTGAATTATGCAAACCATCTATGTTAATTTACCACCAAAACACAAGCTTCATCTACATAATTAGCTACTTGTTGCATTTTTCAGCCGTTTTTTTTTTTTCAGAGAGCTGAGAAACAACAGGGTGAAAAAATCGATGCAAAGGGCATAAACTGAAGACTTTATTGATAGGACAGCGTAAATGAGACAGAATCTACTGTATGTGGGAGTGAGAGTGAGGAGGTCAAAGTCAAACCAGCAGCTTTGCTGTTGTCCACAAAGGGGGCCTGTTTACCTCGTAAAAGACGTGAAGTCTGCCATCTACTGCCTGGATTCATGTTGAATACCCTGTTGCCTTTTTTACACCCTTTTTCTCCTTCTAAATTTCTTGTCTTTACTTTTCTGTTACCCTCCTGTAAACCCTGTGATCGTTTCTGTGACCCTCCTAAACAGTTCAGCGCTGTCTTCCTGCCATAACCGCGTGTATCAGAGTCTGGCCAACCTCATCCGCTGGGCCGACCAGGTGATGCTGGACGGCATCGACTTGGAGGACAAGGAAAATGTGGCTTCTGTCACCATCGTCATCAAAGCCGTGCTGGATGGAGTGAAGGTAAAGGGACTAAGATAGTGGGAGTTTCTCCTCACTGTTTACCTGTGCAGTGACTGCAGCCTTTGGACATGCACAGTTTTTTTTAGTAAATTTGAGGATAAGTGCACGGGTAAATACAACATGTTTGTTGTATTTGATCAGGAATTGGTGAAGCTGACCATAGAGAAACAGGAGCAGCCATCGCCCACCTCTCCCAATAAACCAGCGCCGCCTGCTGCCCCAGCAGAGAGGTGAGTACAAAACGTGCCCGCCAGAATCCAACTATCCTCCCTCAGATTCTCAGAGTAGTCCATTCACCCAGACGTCTGTTTTTTTTTATCTGTTTAGTAGTGCGCCATCAGAGATGCCCTCAATAGATCGGGAACAGGACGTCTCGAGTAAGACGGCTCCGGCTGCTGCTCCTGCAGAGGCTGCCCCTGATACTCAAGATGAAGACGTAGCCCCTCCTAAACCTCCTTTACCTGAAGCCAAAATGGCGGAGCTCAGGTGAGAGTGGCACAGGTTTTGATGTTTAGGCTCTACTTTGTATTGAGATCTTAATTTTTAGGTCAGGTTTTGGTTTCCTTCCAATGAAAATTGATGTAGTGTGAGTCACTTCTGTTCCCCGTATTTCTCAGAGCCTCTTTCTCATTTCAAGATTTCTTTGTTGTTTTTTCGAATTGATCCAATCAGAAGCAAAGGGGATGTTTGATGATGCGGCTGCATAGTCATTCTGAACTTTGAAACCCAGACCAAAAAAAGGAAGTGTTAGTTTTTGGATTTGGGTATCTGGTTATTTAAAATTAAGTCCAACTTAAAGTGAAACTGTTGTGGTCAGGAGAGAAAATGAAGGTGTCAAAAGCGTAGGTTTTTTCCATCAAGGGGAATTCCACTTTTTTTTCCACTTTCTCTTATTTGTTCTCTTTACCTTTGATATACTCCAACTCCAAAGAAACTGACACTGTGTTTAATGCTGATAATAATAGATTCTGATGGTTGAGAGATTGTGTAAGTTGTTTTGGCTGTCTGTTCTAGTCAACACTGCAGCCTACAAGGTCTTCCGGTAGATAAGCCGAGTACACTTTGTTTTGAGGAGAGTGCAGAAGAGGACAGAGAGTCATTTCAGGTGCTGTGCAGATTAGAAAAGTATTATCATATGTAATAATGTGTTTAATGTGTGTATAGTCAGGGGTCACCCCTCAAGGCGCATCCCTCCAGTGGAATGTTATCACTCATGAACGCCCCGCACAGCGAATAAGAGGATCATGCCGGAGACTGCTTGTCTTTGACACGAATTCGATGTTCATATCCTATTTTGCAAAAACATAATAAACACGAAAATCATATATACTCTATATTTATTTGAAAATAAGCTAAATGTAAGATATCAAACGTTATCACTGAAAATTATGAAAAATGCATGCTCAATCTAGGGCAGGGACCAAATAAAGACTGAAAAATTGTGTAATGCTTAAAAAAAGCCTGGAGAAAAATATGTGAACTAATTTGTAACGGGTTTGTTAGATGACTGAGTATAAAAGGGGCCCTTCAGAGAGGCTGAGTCTCTCAGAATCTCTCTTTCAAAGAATTTGAGGATTTTATCATCGACAGTACATGATATTATAAAAAAATTCAGAGAATCTGGAGATATCCTCGTGTGAAGAGAAGGTGAAAAAAACCTTTGGTGGATGGCAATGATCTTCAGATCCTCAGCATCATAAACAGACATGACTTTGTAGTGGGAATCACTGCAGGAGCTCCAAATAACCTTTTAAATAAACGTCTGTGAGCACAGTTTGTTACTGGATCCACTAATTCAGGTCAAAACTGCACCATGCAAAGAGGAAAGAAACAATGAAGACTTCTTTTGGCCCAGTTCTACTTAAGATGGACTAACGTGAAGTGGAAAACTGACTAATTAAACTCTGAAATCCTGATTTTGAACTGTTCCTCTTTCCAAGTTTTTCAAAACATGCTGTTGGTCTCAAATCTGAAATGAGTGTATATTTGCTGTAGATGAGTTTTAAAGGCACTGCAAGAAGTTTTTTTTTTGTTTTTTATTGTTTTATTTTTTTTAGAGGTATAACTTTGTCCACAGGGGGCGCCAGAATCAACACAAACCAAAAGTTCCTCATAGCAGCTTTAAAGATTCGACATTTGTTATGTTGTCTTTACACTTTCTTACATTAAACATAGTGGAATGATAATCAGACCAACTGAATCTGTTTTCATCATCATTTTACACAGTGTCTGAACTTTCTGAACTGGTGTTTGATTTTTACTTTGATAGTCTTAAAGTCCATCAATCCAAATCCAAAAGTCTCCTCTCTCTTCTCATGGACTTCCATCACTTTCACACTGAAGCCTTTGGTTGCTGCTGTCTCTTCCTGTCTTACTCTCTCTGCTGTCTCTCCCGATTTGTCTCATCTCTGGTTTGGATTCTGGGAACAGAGCACAGTTGAGTGCTGACGCTGGCCAAAGGAGACCCTGTCAGAAGGAGAAGTATGTCAGCCCCCCAGGATCATCTGTCTCCATTGTAACATCCCACCCAAACCTCCCTCCTGATAAAGCTTCTGAATTGGATGAAAGTGTCTTCTAACTTGCATGGTTGCATTATCCCAACATTTGTGTCATATCTGGACATTCCCTGGAGAGTGTATCATCCAATCAGAAGCTGGTCTCAGTGCATGAGAGTGTGTTACTGACCTGTGCAGTGTTTTATTTTGCTGGCCTCCATATCATGGTGCCTTTTGTTGGTCCCCATTTTGATCTGGTATTAACTCACTGAGAGAGTTTTGGATTGACGAGCAGAACGGCTTCATGAAGCTAACATGAAACACCCTCACTCTCATCCTGCTGTTCCTTAAGAGGGATGATAATGTGTGTGTTCATGTATTCATACAAGATCCTGAGTGTGCATACATGCCTGAAAAAGCTGTGTTTTTTTGTGCCTGCCTGATTGTCTGCATTGATTTTGCCTCAAAGGTAAAAAAAAATGCTGCATTTCTGTCAGTTCATTTTTCTGTGTATCTGTTCGCAGCCCTCCACCAGCTCTTCCCCCGAAGAAGCGTCAGTCTGCGCCCTCGCCCACACGGGTAGCAGTGGTTGCTCCGATGAGCCGTGGCTCCAGTCTACCCTGCAGCGTCCACAGACAGGTGAGGGAAACTGATCCATCATGAGGTGCCTACAAATAGACCCAAGAGTGAAAAAGGAGGGCTGAAAGTTTGTCTTTCTTTGTGCAGCAGCAGGACTACGAGCAGGAGTTCCTGCAGAGGCGTTTCTCTGGTGGGAGCCAGTCTTACGGAGGTGACTCTCCACGCCTGTCTCCGTGCAGCAGTATGGGCAAACTGAGCAAGTCAGATGAACAGCTCTCCTCCATGGAGCAGGACAGCGGGCAGTGTTCTCGTAACACCAGCTGTGAGACGCTCGGTAAGAGAGTTGAATGATGTTGGATGGAAAACACTAAAAACAAGTTGATACAAATCCTAAAATTAATCTGAGTCTTAATTTCCATCATCCAATCAGAAACAAAATTTCATTTGCCAACTCTGTACAATTCTCCTGCATTTCACGTGCTACATTCAGCTGATCGTTCCTCAAGAGAGAGGTCATCACTTTCTACGTCTAATTGAACTCCAGCAATACATTTGTGGTCCTGAAGTGGCCTGAAAGAGCGATGTCTCTTTTCACTCACAAACCACACACAGACAGCGGCCTGCAGAGAGCACACTGAGCAGATCAAACACCCACAAGTTTCCATGTAACAGGATTAAAGTTCACTCCTGACTGCTGATTTGAGCAGAATGTAATTGTTACAGGGTATCTGCAGGGTCTTAAAATGACTAAGATCCAATAACTTGAATTTAAAGGCTTAAAATGTCTAAAATTCTCTTAAAATCTCATAAAATGTTTTAAATAGGATGTTGAAAGTTCTCAAAAATGTATCATTACTTTGTCTTTTGTACTTCTTTTGTACTTTTCTGCTAAAATTGATGTAAAATAAGTCTTAAATTGTATTCAATACGGTCTTAAAAAAGTCTGAAAAAGTTTTAAATTTGGTTTGTTGAAACCCGCAGTGACCCTGTGTTAAAGCTACATTGTGTGATTTTTATAATTTGTATGTTTTTCTTCATTTTCAGACAACACAGAGACCTACGACCCCGATTACGACTTCCTCCACCAGGACTTGTCAGTAGGAGAAAACCTCCCGCCAATACCAGTAGGAGGGTGCTTGAGCCCTCTGCCAGAGTCCCACAGCGAGTCCTCCTCCCCCGTCCCTGGTCAGCATCCCTCACATCCCCGTTTCAGCGCTCCCCCACCACAGCAGGTCCCAGAATACTGGACCCCACAGCCTGGTCAAACCAATCCTTTACTTGCCCGCATCAGCGCTCCCCCCGCTCTCCCCCAGAAGAAGCGGCGCAGCACCCAGACGTCGCCCTTCCCCGACGGGGGCACACGCATTCTTTATGAGCGCCACCCCTCCCATTATGACAACCTGTCAGAGGAGGAGATGCACCCCACGCCGCCGTTCCCCCTCCTCACGCCAATCTCGCCAATGCCGCAGACGAACGGGGGCGTCTTTGTCGCCCAGTACATCGCCAGCGAGAACGCAGATGTCCCTGCAAGTCCGCCGCCACTACCAGAGAAGAAGAGCAGACACAGTAAGTGAGGGAGAAGGGGTGTAATGAGGGGGTGAAAGAGATAATCTAGCAGAGGTCATAGAAGCAGAAAAACAGAGTCTGATGTGAAGGAGATTGAGGAAGAAATGAGGCTGATGGAGGAAACAGCAGTGAGCAGCTCATTCCAAACTCAGTGAAAAAGTTCATGTCAGAGAAATATTCCCCCGTGATTAGAGGCAGGAAATGAATACCAGGATGTGCTACAATGGCCCCGGCTTCAGGGGCACAGAGGGCAACGTTTGGTCATTTCCTGACACACCTGCTACATCACTTCCTCTGGAGCTACTGTATTATGTCACTCCATACAGTCGGCTCTTCCTGTGAGCTGAAACACTTGTGAAGTGAGGATCTCCAGTGAAAAACTGTTCAGAAATTTGAAGATGTTGCACAACTTTACTCATCGTAGTTCTCTGATGAATACTCATCCTGTGAGTGTAGTTGTGTAATATCCTCTCTGACTCTGACGTTTTATTTTTTGTAACATTCTTAGAAAACAACTGATGATATCATGTTGAGGTCATTAGGCTGATCTCAGTTTTGGCCTGGAGCAATTTCTGTAGAAAAAGCCTCCTTTATAAGTGGAAGTTTTGTAAGAAACGGGTGTGAGTGGACGGGAACGGAGAAATAGAAAGACACTTTTTTGTTTCATCACGGGTTATGAAGGGGGTGGTGTTTTTGGAGTGTACGTGCTTCACACCCTCAATTCTGAACAAGTTGTGACGTCGTCACAAGAAAAACTGATTCCAAATCATTGAAATGTTACGTTTATAGCTTCTGTGAGGAGTCCTTAAAGTCCCACTCCGATGGTTTTTCTTACTACTTGAATTGTTCTCAGTGGTCTTTAAATTGCGTTTATTATGTTTTTAGCCAAAATCACATTACCTGTGTCATTTTCAAGGTCTTTTCTTCTGCGGAGCTTCAGTAGCTCATTACCAATTCGCCTCTGAGTCGTGGACGGAGACAGCGCTGCTCTGCACACTCCTCATCACGCTAGCTCGCAGCCTAACATTGCTGATGTAGAAGAAGTAGCAGGTTACGTAGAAGTTATTCAGCTCTTGGACACTAATGTCTTTATGGACATGATGAAAGTTAATATCATAATAAGCTTTCTTGTGAACAATGCAATCCGCAAAAGCACACGCTTGTTCCGCTATCATCCTCTCTATTTCTCTGAGTCTGGCCTGCATAGCGGGGCTCCGGGGGCGGAGCTTGGATTTGTGATGTATGAAATCTCACTGTGTCTGAACCTGCCGTTTGGGTCTGCCAGAGATGCAGATGCGATTTGAATGCAGTCCTGTAGCATGAGAAAAAATGCCACATGAACATATGAAAAACAAGAAAAACATGATTTTCATCAGAGTGGGTCTTTAACTGGCTATGAAACAAACAGAAATAATGTTCCTTTATCACAGACTGTATAATAACTGGACATAACAAAACTGAATTTAACAATGAAAAACAGTCTTATCTGTTCCCAAATGCTTTGTAATCTCCTCCATGTTTCCTCTCCAGTCCTCCAGTACATGCAGTTTGTTGAAGACTACTCCGAGCCACAGCCCTCCGTCTTCTACCAGTTGCCGCAGAGCGAGAGCATCTATGAGCAGCGCAACAAGCGCTTCCAGGAGGTCTACCGCTTCAACGACTCGTTCAGCAGCACCGACTCGGTCCACGAGCCGCTGCAGCCGCCTGCATTACCACCAAAACAACGGCAACTGGTAAGAAATATAACGACAGTGATCCCTGTCGAAAGAATGAAACCATTCAGTCTCTGAGCATAAAAAAGTTGGGGTTACTGATCTGAACTGTGAAAGCAAAGCTGTAATTTAAATTCCTGAAGTCTTTCTCTAATTAAGACCAACACTGAGAAGCTTTAAAACCATCAATTTGCTTATGAAATCATATCTAGAGCTTCGTGAGCTCAGATTTACTCCCACTTTTTGATTTCTATAAAAACAACCCCCTGCCATGCTGCCTCCAGTCTCCTCTTTCTGAATGCTGTTTGGGGAGAAAAGAGCGTGAAAGAATGCAGATTGCACTCTGCCGCTGAAGTACATTCCAGTGGTAATCCTCATCAATTTTCTCTCAAGCCTCCTCCTATCTTGTTATCTCTCTCACCTATTCAGCCTCGTCTTCTCACTCCCTCTATCTCCTCTCCTCGCCTTCTTTTGTAAGCAAAGCAGACATCTGTGTGAGCGCGGAGGTGTTTGCTTGTTAGCGGGAGATAAGACCAGTGTTTATCAGCACCACATCAGATCCAGTCCACTTATCTCAATCCGGGTCGGCGTCTGGGTTAATTGAGACAACTGCCTGAGAGGGAGAGTCAGAGAGGAGAGAGAAAGGGACACAAAAGGGATAAAATGGGACGTAGCAGAGGAAGGGCACGCTGTGATTAGCCGAATGAGTTTAACGCTACAGATTTATTAGCTGTGAGAATCTCCATACGGATTCAGGCTCCTTCTTGACAACACTTTTAAAAATTATAGCAGTTTTCTATTTACCTGAAGTTTTGCGCTCCTTTAAGGTAGAGCTCAGGAAGTGCTGAGTGGTAGGGGGTCATGAAGTATGACACAGTGTGTTATATCTGTAGGTTTGTAACATTTTTAGAATAAATCATGGACAGTCAGTACTAACTAAACAATCATATCCTATGAGACAATCAGTCACTCTTTATTTATATGACACCAAGTCATAAGAAACGTTATCTCCAGACACTTAATAAAAGGATCAGGCCTAGACTGTACTCTGAGTCATATTGGCAAAGACCAAACATGAGGATATGATAAGATTGTATCTTATCCCTTCTTAATCTGCCATGAGCAAAGCACTTTAGAGAAGTTGGTGAGTTAAAGTGGCAAGAAAAAAACGTCCTTTTAACAGGCAGAGACCCTGGGTAGGACCAGACACATGTTGAACAGCCATCTCAATAGACAAAGATGCAGAAAGAAAATAATAGATAAGGACAACAACAGCTACAACAGCTACAGCTACTATTAGCAATAATGGTATAAAAACAATATGATACAACATAGCTGTAGGAGTATGGACTCTGACTGGTGGATGATTCCAATGAAGGGCGACCTGATAACTGAAGGCCTACATGTCTCCCAATCCCTGACTGGAATATGAGTCCGATGAAGAGGGACCTAAAAACTGGAGATCCTACCTCCGATTCTACTTTTAGTGTGACAAGCAGGCTTACATTCTAGGAAGCCACAAATGTTGAAGGAATGTCTGCCTCCCAAACCCTGACCTGGCAGATGATTTAAAAGGAGAGGAGGCCTGGTAACTGAAGGCTTTAGCTCCCTAAGAGCAGGCTTGCATGCAGGGAGCCTGATCTTTAAAGTAGAGGGGGGGGTCTGCTTCTTAGACCCAGACCTGGTATATGATTCCAAAGGAGGGGGGGGGCCTGATAACTTAAGTCTCTACCTCGACTACTTTTAGCAACTCCAAAGAAGGATTTTAGATTTTTTCTACAGGGAAGATGCCATACTGGTCTTTTAGATGTAATGTAGTGCTTATTACAAAACTGACCAATCGCAGAGCTTAAGAAAACTAGTCATGCTAACTTTTTACCCTGCATTTAAGAGAATAAGTATGGAGTCTAAGGTGTTATTTTCTATTTAACATCATAGCTGTAATGTTGAAATATGCTAAAAAAACCTCATTAAGGATTAAAACTGAAGAGAGCTACACGGAGGGAAAACACTCATTAGACGGACTGCCACAAATGAGACATGCTGTGGCGTATATTTCTGCCTGCCATTCATGTTTGAAGGTGATAAATTGATGTGTGGTTGGCCTAAAGCTCTGCAGTAATGAGGACAGCACATTCGTAGACAGTAAACAGATGACACTCTTCTCCAGGGTGCAGCTACCACCGCACATGTACAGTATCACCGCACGGCGAGGAGAGAATAGACTTAGTGGCTGAGTGTCAGTCTACCCAGGCCACCTCACAGAGTCTTTCTTCTTCCTCTTTGTCCATTGTCCTCTCTCTGCCACCACAACTGTGTATTCTGATCCCCGTGTGCCCAGCTTTTTTTTTTCTTTTTTTATCACACTTTTGTCTGCGGGTAGAGTCCAACCGCGCTCATCTCCGCTCCCGCTCCCGCCGCAACGGCCCTAATCTGGCCTCATGTTTTGGACTTGATGAGCTCGTGGCCCAGTGGAATAAGCCTGTTTGCCTCCTGCATAAGCCCATGTTCCAGGCTTACACGCTTTGGCGACTTTACACGGCTTTGCAAAAAAAAAAAAAAAAAGTCATTTCAGCTGCTGTGTGGATAAGGAAACGGGTGAAAAAAAAAGAAAAACCCAGAGTGGATAATATTGGCAGTGTTTAGAATGTGCTGTAGTTGGCCTGGTTTCTGCAAAGCTCTTAAAGCTCTGGGCATTAAAAGAAAGGTTATTGGACTGTCACAGACATAAATGTGTGTAACCTTTACAAGTCACATGACCCACTTCTCATTAGGGCTTTCCAGGAAGTACTTAAAGTGAAACATAACAGTATAATCAGGGACACTTGAACAGTGCTGCTCTGTGTTTATTTCTAATGCCAGAGAGCTGATGCTTCAACTTGAAACTCCCAGAATCCTCCTCAGCTTTTCACCACTCTGACTCCACTGCTTTTCTGCTGAACTTTGATTAAATCTGCTCTAATTCACTCTTGCTTACTAGTGTAATCAACTGTCCCCTTCTTTTCTTCTTTCTCCTCCCGTAACACCCCTATTTTTCCCCTTTTTGTCTCCCCTAACTCCCTTTACTCTCACTCCCTTTCCGTTTCCGTCTCAGGCCTCCCACTCTTCCTCCCCTTCTTCCTCCTCCTCCTCCTCTCTCTCCTGCCACCTCCAGCCGTCTGTAGCGGCCATGGAGGAGGCGGGCTCTGGGCTGGGCCTCAGCATGTCCGTTTCTAACTCCTACCTGATTGGCCAGGCGTCTTTGACCACGCCCACGGTGAGTTCCTGACCCCCTACTCGCTCTCGCTTCAACGCCATCCCTCCACCTCCATTCCTCCGCTCCGGTCAGCGTGTGGGTGCTGTGTGGTCTTAGTCGGGTCTAGGGGGGCAGCCTGACCTGTGTGTGCACCATATGTGATACAGTCTGTTTTCTTCCCCCTGCCCCTCTGAGGTCTGTGATGGGGCCCTCAGACCCTCGAGGGTCGCTGGTTTGGTTGCTGTGTGGTCCTCAGTTTTGTCATATCCGCCCCTCCATGTGTGCATTTGTTTTGACAGTGTGGATTTGTTGCTTTGTTGTGTGTCTTTTAGCTGAGGCATCAGATATGCTGTTATTAATGTGTGCTTTGTGTGGTCGTGGAGTGTGCAGTTATCTGTTGTGGTTTCGTGCAGCCTCTAGCTAACCAAGTTTTTTCTTTTTACACTGAAACATTCCTCTACATGACAGGTAATTATTTGACCCTTTCCCTCTGTTCAGTTTGCCTCCAAGTCAGAGAGAGTGAGTGGGACATGTTTGTTTTAGTGCACTGCAAAAGTAAGCACTCAAAAACAAGGGAAATAAGCAATAAAACAGGAAATGATTCCCTTCAAGTGGGTAAAAGGCAACAGAATAAGAACCTGTTATTACGGGAAAGAAATGTGAAAATTGAATTGAATTAACTGAATTTGTTGGAAGATGTAGTTTGACACAGAGCATTAAACCAATGTGTTTCTTACACACCTGCTTTATTTACACTCTTGTTCCTTCCTAGTTTGGCCATAAAACTTTGGATAGTCAGATATTTCAAACACATTTACTATAAGACATCAATATGTGAATTCCATCATTAACTTTAAATACAAGTCACCTAACAGAGTGACAGACCCAATCATTATTTTAAAACTAGTGTGGCTGCTCAATATGATACAATTTAGTACAATTCAACACAAGACAGTAAATATCAAATATTAAGGTGGTAAATGCTACAAAATTGCAATACCGATTAATACAGTTCCTCAGAAAACAGCACAAAAATACATAATGCATCACAGTATTGTAGGATGTGACACCTAACAATACCAAACCAAGTTAAATGATACGATACGATACAATACAATACGATACCATACAATATGATACACTATGAAATGATACGATACACTATGATATGATACGATATAATACGATACAACGTGATATGATACAGTACAATATGATGAAATAAATAGGATATGATCTGATATGGTACAATAAGACACCACACTGTTTACCATCTTTTGTATTTCAAAACATTACAATATGATACCATACGATGTGATACGATGCTAAATAATATTCTAATATGTGATAAAATGTTATTTATGATAATACACATTAAGATAGGAAACAAAAAGTACAATCAAAATCAATATTATATAGTTGGATGCATTGATTGCAGAAATGATACAGCAATTTTAGAATCTTAGATCAACTTAAGACAGCCCTACAATGAAACATCAGGACATAAGATAAACTAAAGAAAACATGATCCCCCCTAAATAATGAAGCTAAAGTCTGATCCCTTTATTGTCAGCGCTGTGAGTCCTGCAGTGTTGACACAGCGTGTAACTGGATGAGACATCTGTATGAAGTGCTGTGTTAATTTCTCATCAAGTCATTAATATTTGACACAAACAGTCTGGATGGTGACATAGTCTCATATCAATATTAGTCTCTTACTTGTAAAGGAATGACGCACAGGCTAATACGGCTCATTTCTTTGCCAAACTTTGCAAAAGTCAAATACCATCTTGGTGATGTAACAGGATTTTACTAAACTAAAGATGACTCATATTTTTCTCCAAGATGAGAAACCTATATTGTCTTAATATGTGAAAGGATTATGAAGATGAAACGCTGAGGCTTTTTTTTTTTGTCCTCATCTGTGTTGATCAAACAGAATTATAATTCTTATAATCCAAGTTTTATGCTGCTCAGAATCAGCACAAAATCTCTACTCTAACATAACGAAGCCCGGGAGAAGACATAGTGCCTGTAATAAAATAAACATATATTACCTTTATTTGGAATACTTGATCTTTGTTGAAATCCTCTTTTTCTCTTGAAGCAGGTCAGACACATACCACCACCACCACAAACAGGTTCTTGTTGATGTATTAACTCATGGTTAATAAATGCTAAGTTGCAGTTATTTAGTTAGGCTGTGTTTAACGGTGGTTTGTTCAGTATTTTGGGAGGGTTTGACCCATGATGACCTCACAGTGTGTGCAGCACCCTGAAGACACACTGTCGGTCTCCCTGAGGATATCTCGGGTGGAATGCAGCTCCAGATGGACCTGATGGAAAACACATTCCACCCATTTTTCTCTCTCTCTCCTTCTCCTCATCTTTGTCATCCTCTGGCATCCGTCTCTGTCCACACACACACACACACTCCTTACATTCTCCTATCCCTTTTGTCTCCCTTTCCTCTCACACTTCCTCGTCTCCCATTTTTTCCGATTCTGTGGAATGTTTGCATTCCTCAACTCATTTAGGCATGATGTTATTTTATTCCAGCGTGTCAGGGGGAGGCGAGGCATGCCAGGAAAGCCTCTTTGCATATTGAATAAGAAAAAAAAAACGGGGGGATATTCAGTAATTCATTTTAATACTGGAGTAAAAGCTCCCTCTCTGTGTTGTTCCTGTATTATTAAAGGCAGGATTCCCAGCTGCATCAGTACTTTCTCCGAATTCTCCTCACCAAAAGAGGAAAACCAGAGGCCTGGGTGTCCAGATGATCCTGCGTGTCTGTGCATGAACACGTGCATGCATTTCATCTGTGTGTATGTGTGTGTGTGTAAGCCAAGTGTGTATGTGTGCTGTGTTTATCAGCGATCTGTACATGCGCTGCTCTATGCTGGTATGCTGGAACAGAGCTGATATGTGCAACGTGTTAGGACAGGTTCCCACTGCATCCCTGCAGACAGGCATCTTCACTGCTGGCCACACACAGACACACACAGGCACAAACACACATCTCTTGTCTCCACACATACACACAATCAGAGCTGATGCTTGCTTATCTTTGTGTTTCCTTGTTAAATATTTATGTCTTCCATGTTATCTCAGTGGATATGTTTTTTGCTTCCAGTCCTAGTTTTGCCATTTTTAGATGTGTGTGGCTGTATTTTTGTATTTGAGTGCATTTCTGCATTTCATGTTCAGACTCATCACCCTCATAGTCCACACTTAAACTAAAGGAGGTGTCGGAGAACCTCGTGCACGCCGTTTTCCTCCCCTGCTTCCTACTGTTCAGCTTCTTTTCCCCCAGCTGCTCTTGTTTTTCACCTCTCTAATCCCTTACTCCTGTCTTTTATTTCATTTATTTTCTCTTTTCTTCTTTTCCTGCTTTCCTTCTTTCCACCAATCGCAGAGCTTGGACCAGGTTGCCTTGACCAATGCCACCATTCTGGATGGCAGCGGCGGGGGCGGGCCCAACGGTTCCCTGGCCGGCTCTATGGGCTCTGTGGCTGTCTGTCTTCCTTCTGAGTCTTCTCTCACTGACTCTCTCCACACCTCGGCGGTGAGCTCACACAGGATAGATGTGTGGACGGCGCAGGATGCTAACATGAACCCGCTCTGGCAGACTGATAATAAAATGTGATAGCAGGGCCCTTCCCTCGGCAGATTTGTGTTAGATTGCAGCAGTTTGCCGTCCCGTATTGTTGCACAGACGATAAAACAGTGACTCATTCTCTCAGTGGCATCCTGTTGTGATTATCACTGCCCACAAACTGTCTGCTGTCTGATTATTGGTCTTAAAAGAATCCCAGTAGAGCATGTTGCACTGCTTTTTTTTTTTTGCCTGTAAATATTATTACTTTTTACAATTGATGCTCTCCAGTGACACCTGGTGGATGGCTAGGAAAACACACCGCTCACAGTTCACTTGAAAAACCTGAGTTAGCTGCTGTCTCTTCTCTTCAACCAAAATTCCAAGAGTTGGGACAGTGTTAGGAATGTTGATAAAAGCAGATTTTGGTGATTTTTCAAACATTTAAACTGTAAATTTGATGAGAAGTGGTTCAAAGACTGACAGAGACAATGATAACTGATCTCCAGAAGTCCCAACAACATTTTACTTTCCAAACCCCTGAAACTGGTCTCCTTGTTTACGGAGCGCTTCAATCAAACATGAAGTGTAAATGATTTGCAAATCATCAAAATCTACTTTTATGAACATTTTCGACGATGTCCGAGTCTTTTGGAATCAGGGTTGTACTCACACTGTTAGCAAAATGCTCTGTGCCCCTCTCCGCACCCTCACGCCTGGGTTTGTGTCCCTCCTGTCTCCCCGTAGAGCGAGAGCGCGAATGACGAGGGCGGGGAGGGGGAGTACGTCAACTTGTACTCGTCCAGCCAGGCCAATGGGGAGCTGCCTCTCTCCCTCAGAGTAAGTAGCTGACTGCTGGTCTCCAGACTGGGGTGAAAGGTGGACTCCATTGACACGTAGCTCCACGGCTTCAGGATATGAATCGATTCAAAGTCAGGAGGCCCTGTTTGAGCGGCAGCACCGTTCATCTGTTGCACTCCGTGGCTCTCATTGATTCATCTCATGAACTGATGGCGCTGAAATGGAATGTAAATGTAGACCAAACCTGACCAAGCATGACTCCATGTTCACGGGTCTGCCTGCTAGAGGACTTTCTGTGTCTGTGGACTTAGAGGAAAGGTGTGCGTCTGTATGTTGCTCTGACTGCCTGGCTGGTGTTTGCTGTCTCTCTTTCTGGCTGTTTCTGCTGCTGCTTCAACTGTAACAAGCATTTAACCTTGTTTTGATCTAACACCTGACATGTGGCTGCTCCTTAAGGGATTCTCGATGGTTCAACGGTTTTCAATTTTCCAATAACACTCCCCGTAAAAGCTTATGTGCATGTGTGACGGCAGAAGTGTGTGCGTGGTTGTGTTCCCCGTGGGCTTGTGTGTGCGTTCAGGGTGTATTTACGTCATGTTTGGGTTGTTTAACATAAGTGAGAGAGAAGGAAATGCGTGATTGTGTTTGTAGTTCTTCTCTTGGTGCGGGTTCAGTGTGTGATTTCAACCCTCTGGAGTCTTACCTGGTTTTTTCCTCTCCACACTCGAGGGAAAAACTGCATTTCACCAACATTTAAAAAAAGGACAGCACCCTCTCTTTGTGACACACATCGACATTTTGTACAAAGCATCCATCCTCCCTCTCCACCAGAAGTGTAGCATGCACGCTGGTGCGAACTCACACAAACTCATCAATAGGCAGCCGTCTGTCACAGCATGGAATCATTCATCAGTGATGATCCATGTAACCTACAGCACACATGTTGATTATTGCTTTTCCCTCCGTCGATCAGGAAACGATCACAGCTGATGATGTGCTTCAAGACCCCGCCCCTCAGATGCCCAACAGCAACAGCAAAGAGGCTTTGGACAAGGAGAGGTAAACTTCACAACTAAAACCTGTTTCAAATAGAGATGCACCGATCTGTTTTTTTTTTCAATCCGATACCGATACCTAGGCTGAGCGTATCAGCCGATATCCGATACCGATACAATAATACTGTTGAATGAATGAACTTTATACCTTATCCTGTGAGTGAAGGCATCAGGCATTAGCCTTGTTTTTAAAAAAAAAAGGTAACAAATTGACACAGATTTAAATTTACTTAATAGTATTTATTAACAAATAACAAAAAGATGCAATTCAACACAGAGCATCAAACCAATGTGTTGCTTACACAGCTGCTTTATTTACACTCTTGTTCCTGCCTATTTGGCCATAAAACTTTGGATAGTCAGATATTTCAAATACATTTACAATAAGACAGAAATATGTGAATTACATCATTAAATTTAAATACAAGTCGCCTAACAGAGTGACAGACCCAATCATTATTTTAAAACTAGTGTGGCTGCTCAATATGATACAATATAGTACAATTCAACACAATACAATACAGTAAATATCAAATATTAAGGTGGTAAATGCTACAAGACTGCAATACCGAATAATACAATTCCTCAGAAAACAGCACAAAAATACATAATGCATCAAAGTATTGTAAGATATGACACCAAACAATACCAAACCAAGTTAAATGATACGATACAATACGATTCTATATGATACAATATGATACAATACGATTCTATATGATACAATATGATACAATACGATACAATACGATTCTATATGATACAATATAATACAATACGATGTGATACGATTCTATTCATTCGATGTCTGATCCAGTTAATTTGTCAATATCGGAGCCGATATCTGATCCAAATATCGGATCGGTGCAGCACTAGTTTCAAACACAGATGGAGTTTGAGTGATGTCCCCCCGCTGGTTTCTGCAGAGGTGTGGTGAAGCCAAAAGTTGAAATCCAAGCTAACTATCCTCTGACTGATCTGGAAACAGGAAGAGGGGCGAAGCTACAAATATAATATTATAAATAAAATTCTAATTTGTAGAGCTCTAACCTAGAAACTTTCTGTATTTGTCAATTTCTGCACCCGTATGGACCAAGCCCTATTTCTTAATCTTGTCCTCTACATGCTTGAGTAGTATCCTCTGATGAAAAACTCATCCTGCTGACTTTTAACAGTCAAATGTCTCATTTATTGTGAATATTTATACATCAACAATGTCAAAAAAACTCCCAAATGAAGCTTGAAGTCACAACATTTAACTCTATAGGAAAACAACATAAAATCCTCACATTTAGAGAGTTTAAACCAAATCACTGAAATACATGATTGAATTATTGCACATTTTCCTGAATCAGGATTGAGTTGTTACTGTGAAAGAAACTCCAGAGTTTTCTGCATTGATGACCGTTTTTATCTGTTTGTTTCAGGCGGCAGAAGACAGCAGAGTCAGCCGGGAGCGATGAGGAGGATGTGGACGAGCTCTCCCTCATCGACCACAAGGAGATCATGAGCAGGATAACACTAAAACAAGAAGTAAGAGAAACGCCCGAGAGCACCTGCGGCTACCTCTGCTGCTTCATGCTTTTATTTTCTCAGGAATCTGCAGTGACAGCAGAGAACAGCCCCAGCATACAAAACACATGTTATCCTGATAGTGCAGAGCTGGTTAAAGGTCACTGTGCGAGTCTCTCTGATGTGAGATCTGATCCTGAGCTCTGCCTCTGATAGCCAGTGCTGCCCTCTGGTGTGAACTCTGTGAAACTGCACCGCTTTGAATTGATAAACCTCCCTCCTCCTCCTCCTCCTTCTCCTCTCACACCTCCTCCTCCTTCTTTGTCCCGTGTGGTGCAGTCTGATAGACAGATGTGTAGGAATGCTTCTTGCCAATCTGCAAGGTTATGGCTGATGTGACAGCAGTGATTTACAGATGAGATGGGGGATCACAAGTGGGAAGGAGGGGAGATTCATAGCCTGTTAGGACATCTTTAGAGCTTGTTGCAGGAGACGTATTGCAGTGGTTGGGGCTTTTGTCATACACAAGTCTGACTTTTTCTTCGTCATCAGAGGAGCTGGTGCAGGACAGGGAGAGGTGGGGGCCTTTAAAGAGGAAGGGGAAGGGCAAAAAAAGAGGGGGGAAAAAACAGCCAGCAGAAGGAAGGTGCATGCTACATTTTGGGCTCTACTGCATCACCACTCTTCTCCTCTCTCTCCATCTTTCATTTCACCGCTCTCTCTTATTTTTCTCTAATTCTTTGCTTACCTCTCCCCCAGAATGATGACGGCCCTGACGTCCGAGCCGGATCAGGAGATATTCTTTTAGTCCACGCTACAGAAACAGACCGCAAAGGTACAGTACTGAACACAGAGGCTCCGCTGTAAACAGGGCAGTGTGTTAGTGTGCTGCGGGGTCACTGGCGCAGCTCAACAGTCATCTGCTAGTCAAAGATGTTGTATTTGTGCAGTGGTTCTCTGAAGTGTGATTGACACGTCTGAGATCAGAGCAGCATCTTAAACAGCCTCTCTCTTATTTACCGAACGTCAGTCTGGATCTGTAACCTTCACATTTGATGGTGTTCGGTTTTCAGCTTAATTAGGATCCCTGATACATTCCGACTCAATTCTTGTCTTTTTCCCCCCTCTCTTGTTTTTCCTTGACAGATCTGGTTTTGTACTGTGAAGCCTTTCTGACTACATATAGGACTTTTATAACCCCCGAGGACCTCATTAAGAAGCTACACTACAGATATCCTTTTCGGATCATTCAATATGTCACCGGGAGCTAAATCACTGGTCGGTTTGCTGTCAGAAAGCTGTTTTTCTTTCCTAATGATTTCTTTTACAATCCTATTAATTTACAAAGACTCCTCTTTATTTGCTTTGATTTAGCTTTTTCACTCACAAACATTCACAGACAGAGAGCTATAACACAACCATATCTCTCTGCTCATGTTTGAATTACTGCTAAGAGTATTTGTGCTTTTTTTTACGATGGGATGCCTTGCTTAACGGCACCTCAGGAGAGCGATTTATCTTGAACATTTTTCACTGCCACTATCTAAAAATCTGTCATAAGGCTCACTAAACCTTACAAAGCAGATATAGTCTTATTACTTTATGCTTCACCACTGAGCGTATTGGTTTGTCATGCTGTGTTTTCATGCAGTATGGCCAAGTAGGGCTGGGCGATAAACCGAAAACTTACTGATGCTGAAATTTACGACAATAACCAACGTCTTTTTGTCCATGTCAATATATTCGGTGTCAAAAAAACATATTTAAATAAAAGTTGGTTTTGGATGTGTGTAGGTAGGCTATGGTCTCATGTCCCTTTAAGACGCTGTCTGACGTCAGAGATGTGACTCCACCCCATTCAGTCCAAAACAAAGAGGGAAAGACAGGTGAGGAGATGGAGGACAGTTCAAAAGTTGTAGCGACTTAAGTAGACGAAGTTAATGTAGGAGGGGGGTGAGCAGTTTGTGGAGTAGCTATCGTTCATTTATTTGTTATCGAGGTGAACTGCTCAATATAACATGATATTGATTTGAGGCCGTATCACCCTGCCCTATGGCCAAGTGTGAGTGGGTTTTTTGAGTCAGGCAGGCCTCCTTAAACTGAAAGGTGGACCATTTTTGTAATCATTTGTAAAACTGCAAAAGCAAAATATCACATCATGAATCAGATTCTGTCTGTAGTCCTTCGATTAACCAACATACTGTGAGTCGTTTTCTTCATAATCCTGTATTTTATATCCTTGACCCCTGAGCACATACACCAGGTTCTGTCACAGTCCGGACACCTTCAAGAAGCGCGTCAGCAAGAACACGTTCTTCGTGCTGGTTCGAGTTGTAGATGAGTTGTGGTGAGTATTTTTTTTTTGTTGTTGTTTTAATTTGAGGAAAAACTTCCTCAGGGTGTGTGATGAAAGTGTCGATTCGTTGTTGTCTTAACAAGGTGTCTGTTAGCTTTAAAGCCTCACTACGCTGAAGCCAGGGTTTATTTAAAAGTCTACCAAACAAAAAAAGTCAAACAGATAGCTAAACTTTATTGTTCTGCTTCTTCAAAAGCATCATTTGTAAGTCAAACACACTTTTCCTTTATTTCTCAATAACTTGACTCATTGGTTTTTCTCTGAATCTATCTTGTAGTTTGGTGGAGCTGACCGAAGACATCCTGAAGCAGCTGATGGACCTGGTGTTCACGCTGGTGTGCAATGGCGAGCTCAGCCTCGCCCGTGTGCTCCGGAAGAACATCCTGGACAAGGTGGAGCAGAAGAAGCTGCTGCGCTACACTAACTCCCTCAAACCGCTGGCTGCCCGCGGGGTCTCAGCAAGGTAATGACGGGGTCCTAATCATGAGAGACGTGTTAATAGTCATGTTACTCAACATCATATCACTCTGTCCTTTCAGAGGCCTTTCCTCTTGTTTCTGTCCTGTATGTCGCTTACCGCTAATCTGTATGTAAAGTTTTAAATGAAGACATCACCTGATAACAGTTTGTGTTCCCTAACAGGCCGGGAACTCTCCATGACTTCCGCAGTCACGAGATCGCAGATCAGCTCACTCTCCTCGACGCAGAGCTCTTCTATAAAATCGAGGTACAGCAGCTCCTTTGTGTGGATCAAGCTTCCTGTAGGTTTAGACTCTGAGCTCCAACTTACACTCCTCCTCCTCCTCTCCCTCTCTCTCTTCAGATTCCAGAGGTGCTGCTTTGGGCCAAGGAGCAGAATGAGGAGAAGAGTCCGAACCTGACTCAGTTCACAGAGCACTTTAACAACATGAGCTATTGGTACGATCAAAGTCACAAACTTCCCGCCTGTGTTTGTTAGTCTCTTATATCATTTCCCTCATAACTGCATATTTCTCCTTCTCCAACAGGGTGCGCTCTTTGATAATCCAGCAGGAGAAAGCTCAAGACAGAGAGAAGCTGCTTCTCAAGTTCATCAAGATAATGAAGGTTAGTCACCTGTAATATCTCGAGTGTCATGTGACTCCCTTGGCTGGGACTCTGACCAATCTGTGAGCTTGTTTGATTTGGACCGATTCCCTCCATGCTGAGCCACCATCATAACTGATTATCCGTCATAGTGTGATGTTTATAGTAGAAGCAAAGAGGGCTACTTTAGATCCATCAAATGCTGAGTGTGTTATATATATTGTGTTATATATGGATCTGAACATTTAGTCGACCCAAAGATCAAGCGTCGCTCTCATGAGTTCGCACTAGAGGAGGTAGTAAATGAATTATTGATGTTTTCATAATTAAAACTGCATCATGAAGTTGCTCTGGAACATCCCTGGTCCCAAAGCTCTGACATAAATATTTAATTTTTTCGTATCACAGCACTTAAGAAAGTTGAATAATTTCAACTCCTACCTGGCAATACTTTCCGCTCTGGACTCCGCCCCCATCAGGAGACTGGAGTGGCAGAAACAGACGTCAGAGGTGAGAGGAAAACGCTTTAATCTTCAACATCTCTTCTGAATTTGACGGTCCGTAGATGGTTGACCTCTCAAACTCCTTTCTGCTGTTTTTCTCTCTCAGGGTCTGGAGGAGTATTGCACGTTGATCGACAGCTCCTCCTCCTTCAGGGCGTACCGAGCTGCTCTGGCTGAAGTGGAGCCTCCATGCATCCCGTACCTGTGAGTGAATTCACGTTCCTCATGCAAATTTAGTCCTTAAAACACTCAACTTGACGTGACTCCTCCATCTCTTTCCAGCGGCCTCATCCTCCAGGACCTAACCTTCGTTCATCTGGGGAACCCGGACCTCATCGATGGGAAGGTGAACTTCTCCAAACGCTGGCAGCAGTTTAACATCCTGGACAGCATGCGGCGCTTCCAGCAAGTGTAAGTCCACTCAGATGAATTTGCAGTAATAAACGTCAGGGTTTGTTTACTCAGGTAGGAGGCGGAAATCTCTCTTTGTCATTCAACTAAATCATAAAACATGGCTGCCACTGTTACTCAAACTTCACCTGCTCTTCCTCATCTCAGGCATTACGAGCTGAAACGCAACGAAGACATCGTCTCCTTTTTCAACGACTTCAGCGACCACCTGGCGGAAGAGGCGCTCTGGGAGCTGTCGCTGAAGATCAAGCCCAGGAACATCACCCGACGCAAAACGGACCGCGAGGAGAAGACCTAGGGCTCCCCCCCCGCTCTCTGAGACTGACCTCCAACTGTGCTTCATGACACTAACTCCACTTTACTACAGACTGAGAGAGAAAGACGAATGGAAGCTACCCGCTGGAGCTAATGGGAGACTCAAACTACAGACAAGTGAAGCGTGGCCGAGGTTTACAAAGAGCGCTGCGGCTCTGGGAGATTATTATTGGGATTTCTGCGGCTCCGGCCGGGGAGAGGAAATGGAAAGTCGCCTGGTGCTGAGAAGATGAATCACACGGAGCGGACAGGGAGACACTACGGAAATAACCAAAGTCTGCTCCCTGGGCTCTCTGTTTTAGAGTGGAGCTGTTGCGTGTGCGTGAGATTGAGCTGAATGGTCCATTACCCTCCCAGTCGCTCCTTCCTCTACCTTTATGTACGTGCCATTTGTTGGTCATCTTCTGAAACCCCTCCAGTTCCCCTAAAAGAGCAGAACCTGAAGAGAAGCAGCGTGCCCTGAACTGTGACTCACAGGCTGCAAACAGGAGACTCTGCAGAGGGATCATAGCGAGGGTTTGAACTTGGTAAGAGGATGACCGTTAGAGACTGAGTTTGTTTTGAGACATTTTTTGTGTAAGAATCATGTATGGTTATGAAATGTATTATATACAGTGCTCCTTTTGTTCTCAAAAAGGATGTTTATGCTTATGAGAAGAGCTTAGCTTCTCCCAAAGTGCCATACATATGTGCACTCAAAAAAAGCAAAGCAAAAAAATGAAAAAAAAACACACAAAAAGATGAATTACTAAAGATGCTGTGATCTATGTAAGTCATACTGAATCATCGTGTGCCGTGTTCAGGTGTAGAGAACCATCAGGCAGTCACAATCACGTCCCCGTCACGTCGCTGTGTGAAAGAGTGTTTGTGAAGTGCGACTGAAGAAGTCCTCCAAGACTTCTCGCGTGTTTGTCATTCCAAAAAAAATGTGCTGTAGTAAATCATTTCAATTCCTTTTTTTTTTTTTTTTTTTTTTGTTTTGGGATAAAACCAACACATCACACTGTGCTATCAGACTCCAATAAAACCAACAGCTCTGTTTCTTACTCCTGGTTTCAGTCAGAGGCTTCACTTTGATTTCAAAATGTGATGGTTTATTTCTTTTACAGTCGCACAGAACGGTGAGGTAAAATAAGTGCTAAAAATTAAGGCAAGTATTCAACAGTAAATCCTCAGGAAGCACTCCATTAATGTGACACTGCTGAAACATGTGGCAGAATCTAGTTTAAATAACTTAAACAGGTTGCAACAAAACAGCTAAAAGAGATGGCTACTTATATAATTTAAATATGATAGTCTCAACTAAAATAGTTATAAATATAAGGTGCAAAGGGTGACTCACATTAAAAGCTTAAATATGCTTCCTTACCTCGAACACAATGCCTTCAGTTTCATTAACACGTCATTTTTGACAAGAGTCAAAACCGAAAAGTCAAACAGTATCATGGAAGACTGCAATGTGAAAGAGAGTCAGGGCCACAGATACAAAGAGGAAGTCTGAGATTTCCAGAATCAAGTTAAGAGAGTTTCCGTGTTGGAATGGCAAAGTCATAAAACATTTAGGCTATGTTCACACTGCAGGTCAATTCCGATTTTTTAACCATATGTGACATATATCTGATTTTTTCACGTAAGTGTGAACACTGCAAATCTGACTTTTTCATTCCGACCCAGGCCTCTTTTGTATGTGGATATAAATCGGATATGTATTCGATGTGACTGCAGTGTGGACGCTCAGGTCGCGTTCATCTGACCTTTACATCATCAATATGCGACAAACGTCACCGTTGTTCGACAACACAAACAGGCGCGGAAAGCAATTTGTGCTTTTTGCACATGCACATCGCGGACGCATTCGTTGTTGTAATGTGAACGACCGCACAAAAAGATTGTATTTAACAAAAAATCCAAATTGTGCATCATAACCTGCAGTGTGAACGTAGCCTTAGATTCTTGCTCAAGCTTTTCAGAGTCCAATTTTTTGTTAAATCTGTACAAATGTGTAATTTTTACAACATGCTTCATCATTTCACTTGAGCACAAAGAGCTGACTGCTTTTCTATTCTCCTTTAGCCTAAAACTTCAACTTAAAGCTACTTCATTCACAAAAATACTCACTTAATTCTTCTAATTGGACATCTTGCCCTCCTAAAATCTTAACCTTTTTCTTGTAACACGGAAACCTTCATCACAATTATGTTCAGACTTCATTCTTGAAGTCTCAGTATTTTCCTTCCACTGTGACCCCAACTCTCTTTTGTACCATTACACGTTGAAAGCATAATCAATCCGAGTATTGGTTTTGCACCAATAATAACCATAAAACTGAAGAGGCGACGGCACTGACTGCCATTCTCCACAAATGAGCAGAAGCAACCTCAGCTCAATATCTTAATATTCACAGTCTGGACGCGTCTCGCATCAGGACACGCTCTCAGTGGGGTCGACAGCTCGGCTCTAGCAAAACCCTTTTTCCTGGAGGGTTAGCGGCTCCGTTCTGCAGGTCGCCTTGCTCGGATATAGCACGTTTGAAGCCTCGCCCGTGACCGTTCATGGACCCACGCTGCCATTTGCAGATGTCACCGTTCAGTATGTCTTGGATGTGCTGTACGATGAGGTTGATGGCGACTACAGAGACAGAGGATACGTCAGAATTCACACTGGAGATCATCAGAAAACATTTTTTTTTTAATAATGAACTAAAACTGGCTCACCCATATTGTCCACTCCCCTTGGAATGATGACGTCAACATATTTCTTTGTCTGAAACAGAACCAAAGATCTTTAGAAATAAAAGGAAAGCGCAAAAAGAAAAAGGTTTATCGACTCTAGATATCAGGCATAAGAAGTTCTTGATATTGTCTTACTCACAGGCAAACAAAACTCCTCAAATGCTGGCTTCACAAATGTTGTGTACTGAGTGAGAATCTGCTCCAGGTCCCTCCCGCGGTTCATATCTCGCAGAACTAAAAAGAAATAGAAGCTTCAATCATTCATAAACCCTGGAAACTTATAGTTTGTTGTGTGTGGAAGTGATCATACCTCTGCGAGACAGTCTGACGTCTGAATCTGTATCCACAAAGAGCTTCATGTGAAACATGTCTCGCACTTTCTGGTTGTAGAAGACCAGGATCCCCTCAAAGAGGACCACGTCTGCAGGGTAAACCGTGATCCTTTCTTCCAACCTGAGGGAACGTGCTCAGTTTTAAAAGTAATGTGAAAAACTGAAAGAAGAAAATCACGTGGTGGCATCTTCCTACCTGGAATGGGTGACGAAATCATATGTTGGAACTTCGACCACCTGTCCCTCCACGATGTCTTTCAAGGTTTTGTACATTAACTCGTTATCGAATGCCTCTGCAAAAAAAAAGGTTTTTTTCAGAGATTTCATGTAAGTATCAATATCTCATAGCTCAGCTTACAAGCTCTTTCCAGGAATCCCCAGAATTATACATTATTTGTGTGAGCAGAGTACCATGTGTCAGCTAATCAGACATTTGTACAATCTGTCCTTTTTTAAATTTGCAGAATTCTTTGGGATTTTTTTGCATATCTGTGAAACTGCAGCTTGACAAAACAAGCCTTCAGCAAAATATACGAAATAACAGGTAAAGTAAGTATTTTCACAGGAGACTGTTCAGTCTAAGTGAGGGACAAAAAACTGATCTGGCAGAAGGTTGTATTTGATCAGGAGTCACCTTGTGCTTCTTTCCCTGAAATATTATAAGAACACGTGTTGACCCATTTCAACATAAAACATTCTGTCTGTGTACAACCCAAACACCAGGGTCAGTTTCTCCAACAGGAGATACTGACAAAACAAGCATTTAAAATAAATAGCAAAAATCACTCTGAGGCCCAGATATTATGGCCACACTTTTACACCGTTTTGATGCAGTCCAATAAGCTACAGTCTCTGATCATTGGGTAATGATTTAGGGATTTTTGTATTGTGTCACCAAGAAAACAGACCAAAGGCCACAAATTATAAAAGAATAGGGACTGGTCTTTTTTAAATTGTACATGTAGCACACATTTTACTATAGTTAAATATCATTATAACTATAATTGAAGAGCTGCTCTTAATCTTGGCCTCTGGGGAGGTTTGTTTGGAAAAATGCAGAATCCTACAACGGAGTATTTGGGCCACACCAAGAGAAAAATAATACTTGAAGACTTGGAGATTAAAGTCAGTATAAGTCATTACTAACGAGAATAAAGACGTAATAAAGTCATTACTTACTAGAATAAAGTTTTGTTTCGTTTATTTAGATCCATCGCAGTGTACAGTCACAAAAAAAACATCACGGCACAAACACAAAGACAATGTCGATAACCACAACAGCCTACAAGACAAAAACAAAACAACAAAACCAGAACAATACAAAGAACATACACAGATTACTGGACTTGATACATTTCCACAGTGTAGCTATAGTTCTGAAATAATCAGATGAAGTCGTAGTAAATTAATCACTTATGAGAGTAAAGTCAGAATAAAGTCTTTATATTCTAACTTGCTGTTTAAGATGACAGTTGTTAAAATGAGAGCCATAAAGCATTTCGTGAAAATGTACTTCAATATGTTTCTCAAACAAGGAGATACTTAATCTTTCGGCACATCAGCACCACATTATCGAAAGTAAAGTAGTCGTAGTTCTTGATGACGACTTTATTCTCGTAAGTAATGACTTCATTACGACTTTATTCCCATGAGTAATGACTTTATTTCGACTTCATTCTCGTTAGTAATGACTTATTCTTGTAAATAATGACTTTAATCTTCAAGTCTTAATTTTTTTTTTCTTAATGTGTCCCTAATACTCTGTCGTAGAATCCATATGTTATAACCTTGACAAATATTGGTACAATCCCATTATTAAAACAAAAAAAAAAGTCAAATAAATCCGCAAAATACCAAGTCCAGTTGGCTCATATGGTCTAAAACCACAATGCCCTTTTATCAGACTCTGGCCTTTGAACACAAACACAGAGGTGTGGACTGTTGTGAAAACACTAGTCAGGAAACAGAAACCTACGTGACCTGCTCTCACCTGGGTGATCGAAGTTGTACTGGCCCTTTAGAGCTTTCATCTTCTGCTCTGGTGTCAGGACCCTGTAAAAGCTGTCCTGGCTGATGATCGCCACCTTCCTCTGACGGTGGTCCACCTTGTTCTGGCCCAGGAGCTCCATGATCTTGGCGCAAACTGTGGACTGAAGCAGAAATTTGCTTTCATTTTCACTATGATTGATCACCTGCTTGTTTTACATTGAACTAAAAATCAGTTTTAAGTTAGGTTTTCGAAAATAAGGGGGGTACAAAAGCTCTTAAATCAACTGCATGTGACCCCTGTCTCTGAAAGTGTCCATCAGCTGACTGCTGTTGCTCATGACTGTGAGGAAATTCATCTGAACAGCTGCTAGATGGCTGAGGGTCTTCTCGGAGCAAATATGTCCATAAAGAGGGTCGGTAAGGATAGAAAAGGTGCTTATAGGATACAGTAAGCACCTGCTTTGCTGCGTGGATGGTAAATGTATGAAATATGTTATCGGAATAAGTGGGCGTGCCCGCTGCTTTGACAGTTTAACGAACGCTAACATTAGCAGTGATACCCATGTAAGCTAGGCCAGCTCCAGGATGCTTATGTCGGTCTAAAAACAGACTAACCTTGCCGCTGGCTGTTCCTCCGCTGACCCCGATGAGGAAAGGGTGATGCCGGGGCCTCTCTGGCTCCTCTTGGGCTCCGAGAGCATCCATAGCAGCCTTACGGTGAAGAAAGACTGCACAAGTCTAGATAGCTTGACTGACCGCGAGTTATGCTATCTTTAGCCACAACAAGGAGGTGTTCTCGCGAGATCTAACGTGGTCTCGAATAATGATGGGCAAGGCAGTTCTTTTAGATGTACTGAATCACTAGAATCAGTTCACTAAAAAGATTCGTTCACCAAATCACCGAATCATTTAGCAGGAGAAGCCTGTGACGCCGACCTCCTGAACCGATACACAGCTGAACGGTTCAGGATTCAGTTCAATTCAAAGCTCCTGGGATCGGAAGACGGGAGTGTTTGGCGGTGTTGCTTTAGCAAGCAGGTTTGTAAAATGAATTGTTTACAAGTCATCATGTTTTAAGTGTACTGTCCTATGGTATGCTATTTACCAGATCCGTTTGGTAAGTTGGAGTCAGTGAGTGATTCATTCACTGAGCGTTTAGAAGAATTCACACTGAACATGCACTGTTCCCTCGCAAACCGCTGCAATGATAGGACACCGCAGGTTTTATGCACTACTTGTAACATGCTGTGTCGTATTGTATGAAAGTTGTTGTGTTGCTCATTCAGCAGTGAAAAAAATGTAGGTTTGTCAGACAAAAATGATTCCAGAGAGTGTAGTTCAATGCGTGATTTGTTCACCAAGCGATTCGGGCGTCAGTGCATGTGGTCCCTCGTTCGCCAGCTGCTGGCCTGGCAATGCTGTTCCTCACTTCAGCTCAACTTAGGTGAGAAATGAACGAATCACTCGAGGAAGTGATTCGGTCAGTCCGTTCACTTAAAAGATCCGGTTCTTTTGAACGAATCGTTCGCGAACGACACAACACTGGTCTCGAACCAAGCATCAACGAAGGGCCGTTTCGGCGCGAACTGTAGCATTAATTTATTGAATATTTACATAACTAAAACAATAAAATAGTTTATGTCTATTGTTAGTCTTTTCACACCAATTCCTTGTTTGTGAATGCCTTTGGTTGTAAAAAATAAAAATAAAAATGCCCCACACGTTTCATACTTCCTGCTCTGAATCCACAACAACAAACATTACAAAGGATTTGAGTTTATTATAAAATTAAACATTGAAACTTCTAATACATAAATAAAACATATTACACAATGTCATTATTGTTTTTCTTGGTTGTTTTCTGCCTTTTTTATGTCTTCATCCGCAGACTGAGATGTGTCTTTGTTGGACTCATCCAGGACTATCTCCAAAGCAGCACTTCCTTCAACCCTTTTCACAGTCTCTCCTTTGGCAGCAAGGATTTCTTCGATATTCCTGAAAGGAAAAGCGACAAAATGCACCAGACAGTCAGAGTTCAAAAGTAGAGTTGTCAACCAAAGATGTCTGCTCACCAGCTTGTAAAAGGGTAAAAAAAAAAAAACGTTCATCGGTAACCTTGCAAAATAAAATTAGACCTAAGAACATTCTCACTCTTGAACTACTTTCAGACACAAACCACTGAATTTCACAGCATAAAGAACACTGAATAATGTTATCATTACACTTAAATGTTATTAGCAACACATCCAGATCTAAACCAAACTCTTTTAACTCTTGAGTTAAACCAGAGAAACATGTTAATATCAGCATTACTGTTTTTAAATAACAGCAATTAAATGAAATTGAAGTTGGTTAGAGGTTTGTACACAGCTGCAAGTATATGATTTGTCCACTAGAGTGAGCCATCAAGTCTATCTAACATGTACTACACTGTACTCAAGCATTATACTATATTTTGGCACGGGATGGGAGCTCGAATGCTTAAAAATTTGTAGTTTATATAATCAAATGGCATGTTAGATGACCCTACAGCTCTTAAATCTACATAGACGGTGTTGAAAGTTGTTGAAAGCCACCAGGCTGTCAGAAAGCACCACTGACCTCTTTCCCTCCAGGTCAGAAAACCATTTGAGGTTGTCAGCGATGATGTGATGATTTTCACATCCTGGACACGTTACTATGACAACCCCTTTGTGATAAGCCAGCTTAGATATCTTCTCCATAGACCTCGTGGAGCAAACCTGCAAAAATAACCAGTCTGTAAATCAGGCTTTGAAATTTCACAGCACAAAAACAAACTGAAACTGTTTTCTTAATCTAATTCTATTTTTTTTTTTAGTCTCCAGGCTGGTCCTTATGGTGGCCGAGAACCGCCACCGCTGCAAATAAAGAAGAAAGCAAAAAAAAAAATAGTCACAACGGAAGTTACCGATGCAAAAAAAAAATAAAAAGACAGAAACCAAAGCCCGCTGCAAATAAAAAAAGAAATGGTGCAAATAAAAATAAAAATAAGCAACAACAGAAGTGAGCTGCCGGGGACCAATAATGATGATGCACCGGTGTTTTACGATCCAGGCACAGAAGACAATGGTGAGAAGACAAGCAAAGAAGTAAGTGGAGAGGTTATTGTTTGATTTCGCTTCATGTGCTTTTCAATGTGTCATTTGGTTAGGTCATGTAGCGCCGGAGTCGATATGAAGCTGAACTGAAGCTAACACTGCACCGGCATCCTACAGATCAACTTCATATCAACTCAGGCACGACATGGCCTAACCAAATGACACACTGAAAAGTACACGAAGCAAAATTAAACAATAACCTTTTCACTTACGTCTTTGCTCGTCTTCTCGCTGCTGTCTTCTGTGCCTAGATCGTAAAATATTCAAATGATGCACTTGAACCGAGACGTTGTTGCAAGTCTGGTCTCTCTGCATTATCTATTTTTGTTGTTTTCTTGTTGGCTGCTGATGGGTACTCTGCTGAGCGAAGAGTTTACTCAAGAGAAGAGCTCCTTTCATTTAGACAGCTCCTCTCTCTTCGCTGCAGGACAGGAAGATTCAGAAGATCTTTTGCACCCACAGCTATCAGACTGTTTAATTTTCCTGTAAATAGTAGATGACTTTTAGAGACATAACAAATGAGACTACAGACAATTGAATTTCCCTTTGGGGATGAACGTTTTTATCGTGCGATTATTTCTTTAGTTTCTTTTTGCATCTGTAACTTTCATTGTGACTTCTTTTTTTCCCCCCATTCTTTTTTATGTGCAGCAGTGGCGGTTCTCGGCCACCGTAGACCCTCGTACCTTGCAGGTGTAGACAAGCTGATAGTGCGTTGACTGGATTTTTCCAATGGAGTCATTTCTTAAACTCCGTGAAGTTGACAGCCCTCTACAGCTGCTGAAAATGGATTCAGAAATGTCAGCAGGTAACAGACATTGTGAGAAAACAGCTCCGGTCCTCCTGGCTGTTGTGGTGGTCAGAGGTCCTGTGGGATGACAGTGAAACCCCGCACAGATCCTAGACTGTATCGGACGTCCGTGATGACTCCGAAACAACTGACTCACGGTCAGTATTACCCTCGTGGACTCCGATGGACGAACTGTTGAAAAACATTTACGTAAAACCAGCATCTTGCGAGGTGTTAACGTGTTAACAGGACAGAAACATTCCTGGAAGTTTCATCATCACCGCCCACAACACTGTCGCGGTCTTATGGCGTCATTTACATGTGTTTTCAAAATAAACTTCGAATAACGTCATCCACTCCTTCAAATTAAAAGTGGAAAAATAAATAACACCAAGTTGCCATCACATCTTTTTATTGCCTTTTGTATCATATTTGATACATACTAATATATAATTCTAACAAATCAATATGATCATCAAGTTACTAAAAAAAACTCAAGATTACAGTGCGATAAATGATAAAAATGTCCTCTTGTAGTTTATCAGTTTACAAAAACATGTAATGTTTCAAACGTGATAAATAAATATGTTTGTTAAATTTTAAGGACATTTTGGTTTTTTTTTTTTGGTTTTTTTTTTTGTTTTCAGTAGTAAGTGAAACAATCATTTCAACTCCAAAAAAAATTTGAATTTTCTGGCCATAATTTGTGGTGTAAGGCAATAAAGGGCTACATTTTTTTGTTGAGACTCATTAAAGGCATTATATATATATATATATATATATATATATATATATATATATATATATATATATATATATATATATATATATATATATATATATATATATATATATATATATATATATATATTATTATTATTATTACTATTATTATTATTATTTATTTTAAGCAGTCAGTCACTAAAATGAAGTCTTTATTTTTTTTGGCCTTGTTGAAGAACTTATAAACTCATCTGTTAAAGCATTGTTTTTGAATAGAATAGAATATTTTCATGGCCCCTAGTATTAAAAAAAAAGTATTTCTCTTAAACTGAAGATTTCAATCATCAGACTGTCATGTCCATATATTCATATCTTTATCCATGATAGTTATAAAAGGAGTAATATTAAAACATAATAAAAAGGACGGATCCATTTAGTGCAGTCTGTGGTTACTGTAGGACCTTGTGCATTGTTTTATTGTTGCAAATTAAAGCTCCTGTGAGGAACTCTCAGTTTGTGTTCAGTCTTTGCTCATCTTGTCCTCTGCATGTATTAACAGTGATTTTTAACAAATAGTCTTTTCTTTCTGACTCTTGACAGCAAAATGTACCAATATAGTGAATATTTTATGTGGACATTAAAATTAGGCAGTTTTTTATTGTTTATTTGCAGGGCTGACATCTACCGTCTCACACCCCTTTAGGCATAAGAAATTAGAAGATTTATATTCAAAAAAGATTTTCTAAAATTGAAAATGTTGATCTGATGTTAAAGTATTTACCTTTTGAATGTGCAACCAGGTCACCAAAATACATTAGTTTTAGGTTTGAATTCCACAATGAAGGGAAATTTAGGGGTAAAGATATATTTTACTAGTATGTATATTTTATATGCTGATATGAATATTCTGTTACCCAATCAGCAGTGGCTGACAGAAATACTTTCCTAACACTTATCAGATTCAGATCTTCCATTCATTCAGAGGATGTGCACAGTTTGGCACAGACAGTTGTCATTAACTTAATGTTTGGAAATGCTTCAAAGGTAGAAAGTGAGGGATCAGAGAAAGGTCTTTTCTGGCATTTATACTAAATCAATTATCAGTCTGACCCGGCGAGGACAGAGGCATCATCTGAAGAAAGAAGCCAAGCTGAATGTCATCAGCACAAATGACAAATATGCGAGCTGCTGCTGACTACAGACTACTTTGTACTCTATTTATTGATCTGCGTTTTCAAGAAAAGCACTCAGTCTGTTGTTAAAAAGCCTTACTGTGAGAAACCATGAATTATTTAATAAGATCAATCCACTTTAAATTGTTGGATTTCCTAAAATGTGTATGTTCCAAACTTGGTGAAAGATGTTGAAATGAAGTTGAAAAAAAAATCAGTTTTGCAATGATAATGATGAGTTGTGCTTTTTACTTCCTGTGTTTGAATCTAGTTATGCAAACATGAAATGCAACCTAAATGCTCCAACAGATGCCAAGTAGATATGACGAAGTGAATTTGAAGTACTAAACAATTCCAGCTGGGTTGTAATATTTTGAAGTTGTATTTCAATAATACTCTTTCATTACAGCAACTTGTAAAATGCACAGTTACAGTTCATTTCGTGTCAACAGGGTAGAAAGTTAACTTTTCAAGTTAACCAGCAACTGACAGATGAATGTAAATATCCACGAACCACCCAACACTTCGTCGTTGTTAATAATCAACCAGCAACTTTCAAATTTGACCAAAATCTGTCTGGAAGTAAGTCAGAGTTCCCACCTTGGCAGTAAATATAAAACTCTCACCTTTAAACAGCAATAACAGATACAGTACTGATATTAATTATTGTCCTTAGTCTTTTTCTTAATTCCCATCATAAAGGTTTTTACTTCTTTAACCCCTTTTACATGGTAAAGAGCTCTTACTTATCTGTTCATTTAATACTATTTTCTTGTTTTAGTCCATCAGGTTTACTCTTTCTTTTTACCATTTTTATATTTCTTTTTATCTTTATCTCCACTGTTTCCCAAAGGTAGCTCTTTCCTCACGTAATGTCTCAGTGTCAGGCCATGTCTCTTTTAATCTTAAATTCTCAACTTGTGTGCACTGTGTGTGTGTGCATGTGTGGGTGAGTGAGGGTGGGTGTGTGTCTGTGTTTGTGTGTCCATGGGTTGGTGTGTGGGTGGGAGGTCTTATTGTTGTTTAATTGTTGATTTTACCCTCTGTGAGGCACTTTGAACTACATCTTTTTGTCTGAAAAGTGCCATACAAATAAAGTTGAATTTGAATTTGAAATAAAACATCCATATAAAAGCCAAGCATGTTGAAAAAGACCATGATGATATCTAGATAAATTTATTTTGTACATCTCATCACTTCACATTTTAGTCATTTAATGTCTTGGACAAGCTTTGTTTACTCAAATAAATGCAGTTTTGTTTGTATTAAAGATCTTTGTTATTTTCCTCTGCTGATTTGGCCCTATAATTACTTTTTCATAATAAGGACAAACAAAATTCGTCTAATCCTGCTTCTTTTACCATAAATGAATATTTATTGTAAATATAATTGTCAGAGCAAGCCTAAGGCATAAGCGAACTAAGCACCTGCTTAGGGCCCCGCAGCCAATAGGGGCCCCTCAAGAGCAATTAAAAAAATAATAAATATAAAATATATTTTTTTATTTTTTGCATGTATGAGTGATGCTTCCTGTAAGATATATATCATACATAAATATACTATATATCATTGTAAAAAAAATTTAGTGCTGCTGCTGATGTCGGCCCATGATTCTTACTGCCCATATGTCAAAGGTCCGCTACTGTTATGTGCCCTCTGCTATGCAATGTGCACTGAGCATCCAGAGTGCAGGAAGTTGCGGGGCAAAACAATGTCGCAAAAAAGGACATATCCCTCAGGAGCAGAGAAAAGAAAAAAGAAGAGAGACGAAGAAGATTGTTAGAAGAAGGAATGTTAATCACAGAGATTTGTGAAGGTGTGTGAATGATCAACAATCAATACTATTGGCAGAAATAGAGGGCCCTAAAATCACATTTTGCTTGGGGCCCCATTGAGACTTGGGCCGGCTCTGATAATTGTACACATATTTTATGCACTGCTGGTCTTGCTCGCCTAACTTGGTCAAAGGGAGGTATTATTTTCTTTACTGTCAGTCAATTTCTCAACACTAAAGCTTTAAACTTTGAAGGAATTTTTTAATGACGCTTTAGCATGTAATCATCGTGCTTTTATTTTGACAGACCCTTGTACTTCCGGCCAGCAGCAGCAGCAACAGCAGCAGTTGTCTTCGTGCGAGCCGACGCACTCGCACGGCTCGTACCTCCGTGTGCGGTTTTCTCCTCCGTCACTGTCTCGCGGGGGCCCCGGCCCGGTGTCCGACCAGCCTGATCCGCTGAGAAACGTTTGAGAAATGTGTCACCTGTGTGCGGGGGAGGCGAGAGACAGCAGGTTCAACACGACAGGTGAGGAAAGCCTTTATTTTCTTAACGCGTGTTTACCAGCCTGCTGAGTGGTGTGAGTCCACTGCCGCAGTTTTGGACATCGGTATGAGACACTGTTTCCCGTCACCGCTCGGCTCTCTCAGCTGTTGTGGAGCCCACCGAATAATGCAAGGTCGCTTACTGGGTTGGGTTACATGTTATTTTATCTGAACGCATTACTGTGAGGAATTTTATCCCGGGAGGAGAGCTAATTAAATATTGTTGATCATATCTTTTGTCCACAGCTGAGGGCCAGCATGTTATTCTGATATCAGCTACAGCAATATCAGATACAGTAGCTCAGCATTTGGATGTTTTTCTAGATAAACAACATCTCAAACTGTTGATTTTAATGAGGAAACCAGATTTCTTTCTTTTTTTTTAAAGTGTTGTCCACCCATTAATTTTAGTGTTTATGTATAAATACTGATCTTGTCCCACTGCTTCCATCATGTCACCATTTCTCCAAACTAAAACACACCTAAAGGACTAAAATTGTCCTAAAATGTGCAGTTACTTATTGTACAAATCAACAAGACAAGTGAGGGACATGGATGAGAGAGACCTTTAAATATGAAGTAACAAGTTGGGTAATTATGGGAGGCAAGCTGCTTTTAGTAAGATAGCACATTCTGTTCAGGTAGGAAAGTCATGTGAGGTTGAACCTAACCTCAAAAAATAGGAGCATATGCTGTCATTTATTTGTGTCATAGATGGACCTCAAAGACTTAATATCCACTCACAATTAGGCTAAGCTTAGAAGATAGGAGGGTGACCCAACTCCAAATATGTTTGAGGTAGCACATTAAACCATCTAATATTTGACTTTTACCATTTTGAATGTAGGTAGTTTATTCTGCTCTGTGGGAAATGTTTCCGAAGTTGGACCTGTACCTCTAAAAATCCACTTATTATTGGGGAAGAAAGCACACGTAGTATGAGGTCAGACCTCCCCCCTTTAAAATGTGGTTACAAACCAGGGTGCACTTTCTCATAGGCAGGAAATATGAGTCAAAATACACCAGCCAATGTGGTTACAAATGGGTCATACATTTGGATGGGTAGTATACGTGCACCAAAATGGGTCTTCTAAATGAAAGCTACCTCAGCTGTAACAAGTAGGTTCCAGCAGGTATTGAAATGGATCTCCTTCACATAAATGCTAACTCTGTGGTTAAAAACTGGGTGTCACACTCTAAGAGGTCGGATAAATTGACTTCATATATGATTCATGTATATGTGTGTGTGTGTGTGAAATGCTGCCATGTTTAAAGAAAGGAGCTGTAAGAAAGACAAAACCAGTTCAACCTGGTTGAAACTGCAAACACTGCCTCCATGGTCTCGATGTCGCAAGTGTAATAACAATGCCAGTGTTGCCCAGACGGGCTGAGAACAGACGCTGTGATATCTCTGTTTTTCCTCCAAGAACTTTCTTGTTTCTGAGGAACAGGATCCATGTTGTGATATGTGAGTGTGAGGGGGTTTATGTAATCCCAAATGCTGGAGTCTTCTACCTTCAGAGAGCTTTGAACTGAACATCTCCAAAAAGACAAACACCTGAAGAATGGGCTTTGGCTAAACCAAACAACAGGCTCATGAACAGTGGTGGAAATATACATGTTTACTTGAAGGGGCAAATAAATCATTAATTATGGATTAATTGGTTAGTGATTTAAACTGGTTTTGGAATATCAATATCAGATGTTTTTCCTGCAAATACTGACACTTTCAAACCCATCATTAACCTGTTGAGGTCTCCATCCTCCACTGTCCTGAAAGGCTGGTTGTATTTCTTCACTTTGCTGAATGACTGTAGCCGAGGGTGCTGACAGGTTTTCACTGGTGCATTTTTTGCTCTTGCACTTCAAAATTCCTCCATGCAGCCGCCACGCTGAAACTCATTGTGCACAAAAACCTTTATGGTGTGCACATTCGTCATGTTGGCTAGAATGTTAGAAATTTTCACATCTGCCGACATGAAAGTTACACTTTTTGGTTTTATCCGCCAACACCGATATTGCACCAACAATATTGGCTTCCCTGCTCATGAACACTTGAAACAAGCTGTTATCTATATTTTGTTTTTTAAAACTTCAGTATTTGTTGATGGTTGTCATATTTGCGTCAGTTATGTTTCTCCAAAAAAGAAGGTTTTGTTTGGTGATGATGCTACTAAATACTCTTTCTTTCTGAGGTTGTGATTGTAATGTAGTCAATGAGGCGTTTGAAGCAATTTTTAAGACAATTCTTTTTCTTTTTTCATATTCTTATAATTGGATTTTTGCTTGCCTGAATGCTAGAATTACCCTTTTTTTATGACGCAACAAAAATCAAATTTCCAACATGAGAGTCAATATCATGTTGGTGATTACAGAGCTGATGGCCGATACAACCTCAATTTAATAATCATAATAAACATAATTATGATCTGCTTATTTTAGCCAGCAACTTTTCAGATGGATTTTGAAATAATGAAAGAAATGTTTTGTTGTTAGCGGTCTCATGAGTGCAGGTGTTGCCTGATGCCCATTATAGAAAAATGCCTTTAATTGGCCTGATTTATTGTTGATTTGTTTCTATTTATTGTTTGTCTTTTACTATGGACTATGTTTCAGTTTGACATGCACGATACATGTGTTTTTGATTATCTTTATGCAGGTCAAAATAATCTTAGATACCCAATCTCGGTTTAATAATGTCTTAAAAATGTACTTGTTTTTTTCCATTTTCCTATTGGGCAAAGTAAAGTACTCTGACCTTACAGTGGCTGAAACTCCCCTTTTTCTGTTTAATTACGACTTAGATGAAGATAAACTCATGTCCTTGAGGGAAATCATATCTGGCTCTAAAATAATTTGGCACTAACCTCAGTTTACCTGGCCAGGTTCATCTACAGCTCTTTCAGCTCATGAGTCAGAGCCTCAAAGACAAAGACCAGCCACACAAAAGCAGCTCTGTTCAGGGAACAAATTCAGGAGAAATGTACCTGAGGTAACTTTACATACAGGGCGTTGGGAGCAGAGTCAGCAGCTGCAGTTTTGACCTTTTGGTTTTATAATCCAGCTTCATATTCCTTTGCTGCTGTTTATTATGGTGGGAGTGATCAGATAGCTGTTGTGCCTTAAAGGGGAAGTCTGTGTTGGAGATTTCAGGGAGTGAGATATGAATTTGAGATAAGCTTCCTGCAGACAGAGACTGATAAAGGGAGACAGATCTTGAGTGTTTTCGCCACTGAAGATATCTGTAACTGTGGTTTTGTGAAAGTGGGAGTTTACTGGAACTGTCTGCTGGATCGAAGGTCCTCAGAAGCCTCAAACTTTTACTTTCAGACATGCTGTATTAATCTTTGTTATCACAGTTTACATGACCTTATCTGCACGGTTATGTGACAGGCTCTTATCCACAGTTCAAATGAGGGGGCATGCCGACTAGTTCGAGTTAGTCTAGCATATGTGTTTGAGAAGGAAACAGTGAAAGTCAGCAGATTTGGCCTTTTTCCATATGCCACACTTTCAGCCTAAGCATATTTTATGTTTGCATCTGGCCCTGGATGTGTAATTAATCTAAAATAAAAGGTTTCCTGTAGTTTTTAATACCATGGGTACTGTAACATTTAGATGTGTTTTGGCAGCTGTTGTGTGTGCTGTAGTTTTTCAGTTTCAGCAAAGCAGTGACCTGACAGAGGAGGCCCACAGTGACTGTACTGCTGTTCTGGTTTAAACTGGATGAAACAAGGCGTTTTTGTGACCACTTGACCAAGTATCCTCTTTCATCTTTTTTCCTGTAAATAAGTGGTGAGTCGAGCAGACAGGGGGAGATACGATTTAGTTTTGAAAGAGGAAGCAGAAGTGAAAGTTCATGATGTTCTCTAAGTTATAAAAACGTGAAGGTTGGTCCACCTCAGACTGCTTAGTCTAGGGATGATACTAGGTTTGGAAACAACTTGATCAAGAGAAAAAAAGTGCTTATTTTGCAGTACTTGTAACTTTGATCACACATTAACTGTATTAGGAAATAGCTCAGCTGTGGCTAGATGGACACACTAGGAGATAGACTTTAATTGTGGCGAGACTAGAGTTGTCTCTGTGATTGTCTGATCGCACATACAGTACCTGGAAAATTAAGTAATAATTTAATAAAGTTACATTCCTCTTTCTGAGATCTCTGCATGTGGTTTGAGAGCCAGCATCTCATGATTAAACTCGAGGAACCATGTCCTGTCTGAACATGTGTGCTGTGTCAGACTCTGTGGTCCTTCAGCTTCTTGCTTACTCTGCAGTCACTGACCTGCAGTGAGCCACGGACACATGCAGGACACCCAGGATATCCTGAATGTATCTTCACTCATACTGCACCAAATTTCAGTTGTGTATTGAAGATCCACTAGGATATGTTGCCCTGCTTTGCCACTCTAAAAAAAAGTGTTTGATGAAAAAGAGTTTTTTTGGTGCCAATAGGTTTGTCATTGAATTAGCCAACCTGACAGTGGACTAAAGGCCTGTGTCCACCACAAGCAATTTCCAAACTCTGCTCACCTGTGTGCACTGGTACCAGGCTACAAATGTTGTCTTGCAGCACTTAATTCTACTCTAATAATAATAATAATAACTTTACTTATATAGCACTTTAAAAACAAGAGTTTACAAAGTGCTTTTACATGCAGGAAAACAAAGAAGATTAAAACAACAGAACAACGACAAGAGAGCACTTGGGGGGGGAAAGAGTCTTGACAAGACTAATACTCAGACTACATGTCCTAATGTGACATTATTGGGCATAAAGAAATAAAATAAAATAAAATAAACATTTGTAGAAGACATAAACATAAACTTAAATATTCTGTATGCTTCATTTAATGGAAATTTACAAAGAAAATGCTAAATAAATAGTAGAAATCGTGACTTATTATTGGCAACAAAAAGACTTTGAAATTGTTACCTTGAAAAATGAGTTAAGTTGGTTTCCTTTTAGCATAAACCTCTGCCATTATCATTGAAAAAGTTGATATTAGAGGTCACACCCTTCTCGATTTTGATTGGTCAGTAACGGAACCATGACATCTTTAAGGGAGGCTTTTAAAAGTTGGACCAGTTTTGACTGACAGCACTTCAGCACATTGACATACAACAGATGACATTAGCGCTCAGGACACTAGATACTTGGGCTTGTGGATATTTTGGTTCGGTAGTCCTTGATTAATTTGGGAAATAACTAGATGATAGATAATGAAAAATAACACTGCAGTCCAAGTAATGCAGTGATCTAACTTTTCCTAAATCAAACTACCAAACTCAAAGATTGTCCATTTCTTTTCAAGAAGAGCAAAAGTAAATGTCTAGATCATAGATATTTATCCCTGTGTTGGCTGGAAGATTGATCACTGATTCCCTTTTTTTGTGTCTCTTTCAGATAAACCATCATGATTCCCATCACAGAGCTCCGGTACTTTGCTGACACCCAGCCTGCGTACCGTATCCTGAAGCCATGGTGGGACGTTTTCACCGACTACATCTCCATCGTCATGCTGATGATCGCGGTGTTCGGTGGTACGCTGCAGGTCACGCAGGACAAGATGATCTGCCTGCCTTGCAAGTGGGTGGTCAACAAGTCCTGCGAGACAATGCCCATCCCGAACGTCAGCATGGCCTATGCACCAGAGCCCAAAGGCATCCAATACGACCTCGACCGCCACCAGTATAACTACGTCGATGCTGTCTGCTATGAAAACAAACTCCACTGGTTTGCCAAATACTTCCCCTATCTGGTGCTGCTTCACACTCTTATCTTCCTGGCCTGCAGCAACTTCTGGTTCAAGTTCCCCCGCACAAGCTCCAAACTGGAACACTTTGTCTCCATCCTCCTCAAGTGTTTCGACTCACCGTGGACAACAAGGGCTTTGTCTGAGACCGTGGTGGAGGAGAGCGACCCCAAGCCCGTGGGAAAAATGAACGGTTCTCTGGACAAGAAGACCTCGTGCGTGAGTGAGGATGTGGAGGCCAGTGTGCCGATGCTCCAACGTACAAAGTCCAGACTTGAACAGGGAATAGTGGATCGCTCTGAAACTGGGGTTCTTGATAAAAAGGAAGGGGAGCAGGCCAAGGCTCTTTTTGAGAAGGTGAAGAAGTTCAGGATCCATGTGGAGGAGGGTGACATCGTGTACCGTCTCTATATCCGTCAGACCATCATCAAAGTAATCAAGTTTATATTGATAATCAGCTACACAGCCTACTACGTACGCTACATCAGGTTCAGTGTAGTCTGCACAGTGAACATTGAGAAACTAACAGGATACAGCATGTTTTATTGCGCTCACCCTTTGGCGACTCTTTTCAAGATATTAGCCTGTTTCTACATCAGCTTGGTGGTGGTTTACGGTCTCATCTGCATGTACACTCTGTGCTGGATGCTCAGCCGCTCTCTGAAACGATACTCCTTCGAATCGATCCGCGAGGAAAGCAGTTACAGCGACATCCCCGACTTGAAGAACGACTTTGCCTTCATGCTGCACATGATCGATCAGTATGACCCTCTGTACTCCAAGCGCTTCGCCGTGTTCCTGTCAGAAGTGAGCGAGAACAAACTGAGGCAGCTGAACCTGAACAACGAGTGGACGCTGGAGAAGCTGAGGCAACGAATCACCAAGAACTCCCAGGAGAAGTTGGAGTTACATCTCTTCATGCTCAGTGGGATCCCAGACACAGTTTTCGATCTGGTCGAGCTGGAAGTTCTCAAGCTGGAACTCATTCCCGATGTAACCATCCCACCAATCATCGCCCAGCTCTTAAACCTGAGGGAAATGTGGCTCTATCACACGCCGGCTAAAATCGAGGCCCCAGCTTTGGCTTTCCTGAGAGAGAACCTGAAGTCTTTGCACATCAAGTTCACAGACATCAAGGAGATCCCGCTGTGGATCTACAGCTTGAAGAACCTCTGTGAGCTGCACCTGACCGGCAACCTGAGTGCTGAGAACAATCGGTTCATCGTCATCGATGGACTACGGGAGCTGAAAAGGCTCAAAGTGCTACGTCTGAAAAGCAATTTGACTAAGCTGCCACAGGTGGTCACAGATGTGGGCGTCCACCTCCAGAAACTCTCCATCAATAATGAGGGCACCAAGCTGATGGTGCTCAACAGCCTGAAGAAAATGGTAAACCTGACAGAGCTCGAGCTTGTTCGTTGTGATCTCGAACGCATCCCTCACTCCATCTTCAGTTTGCACAACCTGCAGGAGATCGACTTAAAGGACAACAACCTGAAGACGATCGAAGAGATCATCAGCTTCCAGCACCTGCACCGGCTTGTGTGCCTGAAACTGTGGTACAACCAGATCGCCTACATTCCCATTCAGATTGGAACACTGACCAACATGGAGAGGCTGTATCTGAACAGGAACAAGATCGAGAAAATCCCCAGCCAGCTTTTCTTCTGCCGCAAACTGCGCTTCTTAGACCTGAGCCACAACAATCTCACCAGCATCCATGCTGATGTGGGCTTCCTCCAGAACCTTCAGTACTTGGCTGTCACCGCAAACAGGGTAAGAGACAAAAACATTTGTACATTTGCAGTCATGCTTTTGATAGAGCCGGTTTCATTCAGAGAAACGTGATCAGTTTCCACTCCTTTATCTCTCTGTAATGTGTGATTACCTCAAGGTAAAGTGCTTACAAAGGTCGGTTCTTAAAAATGCTGAGATGGTCAGAGATGGGTTGGGGATTATTGCTTTGAAGATAAACAATTGTAGTTGGTCGGATTGCCAGTTGACTAATAGACAGTTGAGGAGGATATGTAAGTCCTAAATCAGGCAATGAGGGAACCCAAGAAACTGAGGTGGGAACAGTGCCTGCGGTGGAGTTGCAGTTGTAGATTTACATGTATCAAAGCATTGTTCTATTTGTGGATGATGGGACTGTTCGATTGAGGTTTTTGACTGGGTGCAAACTCCAACTCATAGACCTCCAGGTGTTGAGGGGGGGTTTTGTTTTTGGGAGAGTGAGGACGTACAGATTAGGGCCCGACTGATATGGATTTTTTGGGGCCGATTCCGATACTGATTATTAGGGGGGAAAAATCTGATTACCGATTAATCGGCTGATTTTTGAAATTTTTTATTAAGTTATAGAAAATATATCTACAGTATACTATATACTGTAGATATACTGTCGGCTACTGCTCTTCACGCCGACAGAAAGACCGACTCATCAAACTCAGACCAGAAAAGCGTTTTCAACTACAAGTTACACATTTCTGGTTTGCTCTCATTTGGAGACATGCAGCTGCCTCAGTAAGAGAAGTAGCTCGATCATGTAATGTGTACTGTTGTTTATTCTACTGTTACTGGCACGGCTAACAGTGTAGCAAGGCTAATAGCAGGTGGCTAACTCTAACTTTAGCTTGCATGTTACGTGGTGCTTCACCGTTAACTCGGCGTGACCGAGACCAGCACAGCGGGGAACATTGTGAAGTGGATTGAACTGAAACTTGTTGACTTATTGTGTATTTCACAAACTGGTTTATTTACTGTTGAGGTGGACCACTCTCCTCCGTGCGTCCCTGCGCTGCCTGCTTTAGATTCGTCACTCTGCTGTGCTGTGAGGTAGTTAGTGTATAAAGATTGTCATGAGGTCGCTGCGCCATCTACAGGATAAGTTAAGGAACTTTTCAAATGGCGGAACATTTTCGAAGTGAAACTGAAAATTTGGCCAAGTTTTGGCCAATTACCGATGAGTCTCAAATGGGCTAAAATTGGCTGATTTAATCGGCTCGCCAATAAATCGTCCAGGCCCTAGTACAGATGGTAAAGAATCTCCTGTATCATCTGGTTCCATATTGCGGATGGGTTTACTCATCTGGCTCAAAGGACCCTGAAGGGAAGTCTGGACATCTTCATGAGGTTCTTTTGAGTAGGTGACGATACAGACATACCAGCATCTTAGCAAAGAAATATACAACATGACACCATTGAACAAACAGTTAATGTTCGGATGGATTTACCATCTCTGGTTTTGAACAAAAACAGAATCTAGTCTGTTTCATTACTAACTTTTATCACACACCTTACCAATGAAAAGAAAGAAAGCAGATGACAGGCTTCTGTTACTGCTTATGTTCACGGAGTATTAGTGTCGTCATGGCTACTCTGTTTATGTCATCCACTTGAAGAAGCTACAGCAAGACAGGAGTGACACAAAGCTGTCACCGTCTGGCTTTTTCTCACACTGAGGCAGTTGTTAAGTTACTTTTTCGACCTTGCTCTTGATTTGATTTAGAAAATAGGAGTTTTTAGATTTGATTGGAGAATTTTCACAAAGATTGGTCTGTTCATACGCTGCCTTTTGACAGAAATATAAGACGCCATCGTCCTCTGACACATTGTACGCGCCTTAAACACTGCAGTCACCCCATGATAGCTGCTATCACTGAAGTTAGATTCAAGTCTTCTTGTTTCAGTGAGGCATGTTTAACTGTCATATCCATTTCTACTTAGTATGAAACTGGGACAAATCCAGAGGTCAAGTCACAATAATATTATGACTATGTTTATTTTCCACATTAAAATTCTTTGAGCATGATGTACTCCTTATCGTTTCCAAGTTTTAATCTCCCTATAAGAAGAAAAAGCAGCTGATGAAACTGTTCCAAGACTTCCCAAGAAGTAAACAATTACTTCTCCTTAAACACTAACAAATGGGCTTCACTGAGGATGTTTGTATCACCTGCCAAGATTACCTCAAGTACTTTGAAGGTCATGCCAAATCCCACCTCTACGTTTACGGTTTAGTTGGCACATTTGGCACTGGGAGAAGTAGTAGATTATTTTGTTCCTTACAAAATGTTGTTTATTTTATTTTCACTGAGAAATTGTTGTGGAAAACAGCATCCAATTGAAGACGCTGTTTCTTATTTAATAGCACACACACTCGCGTGTTTTCACTTAACGACACTATTACCGCTGTTTTACTGTGTAATGTGGGGTTGTACACTTAAAAAGGTTGCTGCAGGTTTTTTTGCGGCCAAAAATAGATGCATTAAATAAGACCCTCCGGAGTGTTTGCTTTAATCCCCTTTACACTGTCAGCTTATTATATAGCTTCTTATCAGCTTATATACTGTCAGATATTTTGTGCAATAAATGTTTTTTAAATGTGTCTCTATAATTGGAGATTGAGCTCTTGAAGAACTACAAATAGGGCAAAGTATCATGGGACATAACTATGAAAACCACAAGTTTTTGTTAGTTTTGTTTAACTCTAACTCTTAAAAGTTGAGTAAAGTTTCAAATGCTATATTTGACCGGACATAGTGTACAGCATACAGACTATTGAAACTGACAAATTTGACAGTTTTATGCTGATTTGAAATCACTGGGAGCAACATGTTTTTGAAAAGTTAAGACAGGGTCCAGAAAACATTGAAAAAGTTGTAAAATGCTACAAAAACTCTTGAAAGAACATCTCTTAACTTATTAGGCTAATTTGGGACAGATAAGCAACAAGACAGGGTATAAAAAGGCTCTGCAGAGAGGCTGAGACTCTCCCAGTTGTAGCTTTGTAGGTATCACAGCTCTGTGAGAGTCTGCAGTTTAACAATTTCAAGATAATAATCATCAACAGGAAATTGTTAAGAATTTGGAGATCTCATCATTTACAGGGACAGGGTTTTAAACCAATGCTGGATAGCTTTGATCTTTGGGTCCCAAAGAGCATCAAGGGAACTAAACAAAAACAGGATCCAGAAACAGTGACATCTTTAAGTCTGAGAAAAGTGGAAAACTTGCAGGCTGATGAATCAAACTTTGGCTTTCTTTTTGGGAAATCATGGATAGCAGGTCCTCCACTATTAACATTTGTTGTCTTAACACTATTTTGGGGTTTTAAAAAATAGGGTTAAAATGATTCAGATTGTCTTCTTTTAGTTTTTTTAGTATTATTTGCTAACCCTTATTTTTTTCCTCCTCCAGTATCCCGACATACCGTTGACACTAAAACCTTAAACTTTGAGTACACTTTGAGTATCTTTTAAGCTGATTTGGTTTGTGTCCTGGGCTTAAGTCTGAGTTATGTTATGGTTTTTAATTAGATAACATCTAAATTGAACTGATCCGTTTTCCAGTCACGTCACGTCACACTTTTCATTTTCCTAATACCTTTTGTTAACATCTTAGATCTCTGACTCATCTCACTAAAGCACATGGATTAAAAATTGAACAACACTGCCTTTGTAGTCACTGTTAACACTCAGCACTTTTATTCTCCCTCTTATCCTTTCCTCTTCAGATCGAGACTTTGCCCCCAGAGCTGTTCAAGTGCAAGAAGCTGCGGACTCTGAATCTGGGAAACAACTGCTTGCAGACTCTGCCCTCCCGCTTCGGGGAGCTCACCGGGTTGACGCAGCTGGAGCTGAGAGGAAACCGCCTGGAGTGTCTCCCGGTGGAGCTCGGCGAGTGCCGTCTGCTGAAGAGGAGCGGGCTGGTGGTGGAAGAGGACCTGTTCAACACGCTGCCGTCAGAAGTGAAAGAGCAGCTGTGGAGGGCTGATAAAGAGCAAGCTTAAGCCAAACCCTACTTGGAGCGAAAGTAAAAAGAAATTTGTTTTGAGGAGTACAGGAACGGTTATTTTCTTTATTAGAAAGGCAAATCTTCAGAGATTTGAAGCTCAGAGGCTCAGAGAAGTCATCAGTTGATGGTGCTGCCCTTACAGTAGCTATAAATGCATGGATGCCAACTTTTGAGCTTATCAACAACATGGCTATCCTGTAAAGTCATCCCAAATTTAACACTGCAAGGGTGTGAGCAGCTGATGTCAAAAGTGCATGTTACTGTGGGACCCTACTCAAGTAAACGTGTTAATAAGAGAGGTCCAAATTTTGCACGATTTCACCCTGCAACAGTGAGCCAAATGTACTCGCTGTTTCTTTTTTGCTGATCATGCACAAGCATCGTCACGCTCAAAGCAGTATTTGCCTGACCTTTCTCTAGCCTACAGACTCCGATTACAACTCCTAAAGTTTTTACTTTTGCAAGGACACTGGCTACAGGCGATGCAAATAACTTAACGAGAGTGCAACCGGCAGCCGATTTGTTGAGGCACGAAAGTTTCTTTAGGTCCGATGGTTGCTCCACATGCTCGGAGGCTTCTTTTTGACTCAGTGACAGAGATGAACAGATCACCACGAGGATGATCTCACAGCTTAGGCCTTAACTTGAAAGACTGACGTAGTGAAGTGAAAGTATAGCCGTCAAATACTCCGTGGAAAACAAATGAGAACAAACTCTAACGTCTGAATAACCCGGGGATGTTAATTTATAACATCCTGTGTGATAGGAGATTTTTCTGAGTGGCGGTGGAGAAACACTCTTTATTTTAGTGTCTTATTTTAGCATGTGAATCAAGCTTTATCTTATTTTGCATGACTAAACATCACACATAACTTGCGTGTCTTAACAAAGTATGTGGGATTAACTGAGGTTGGGCCTTTTTGAAACAAGGCCAATAATTTATTTTGATGCCAAGAAACATACTTTTGTACTTTTGAATGCTACCACAAATGGGTATCATTTTAGGCCTGTTTTTGGCCATTTTTGCCTTTTATTTGTATGGAAATTGGAGATTAATATACATAGAATAGAGAAAGAGGCACATTTATCGAATGTGAGATCAAGTAACAGAGGATGACTGAAGGCTACTCACTCTTTCTATCTTTTTTTGTCTTACACTTGTTAGTTTAAGTGTCATATAGATCATAGAAACAAGGCCTCACCATCCAGATTATAACAACAGGTGTCCCTTTGCTGACATGAGGAGTTTATCCTTGTCTCTAAGCCATAGGCTCACAAACATTCAGAAAACTCCCTTTTTATGGTTCATTTCTTTGTTTCTATCTAATCAAAACACATGCGAGCTTGCACAACTCTTATCAAAGAAGTTTAGTAGATGCAGGCCAATAAACACGGTTGAATCACGGTACTTTTTTATGCTCTGTGTGATTTAGAATTATGAGACCTTAGATAATGATTACCTCTGTGGGTGAACTCCTGCAGACGTTAGACAGCAGAGTCACGACTAGCTGCCAGGCACTGCCAGTCTGAGACAAGAAAGTTTGGATGATTTTGACCCAAAGTGCCCAGCTGTTTGCATCCTGGCCCTTCAATCTATTATGCTCTGTTTACCCTCAGGGTAAACCGGACATTTGTTCATGCTTCTGTTTGTCTGAAGTGAACACAAACAGGAAATTAGAGAGTGTAGGAAACTGTTTTTGACTGACCTGCACAAGGGAAACATTTACTCTGCAAAGAGGAGTACACTGAATCTGTGATTTCCAAATTAGAGCAACACGCTTTGTGTGCTTGAAACACTTTCCTTGTTAAGGCCTTGGATTTATTAGCATAATTTGGAGTAACCCTGCCATGTTTCCTCCAAACCAGCATCTCATTGCTAATATGGCCTTAATCTTTTACTAGCTGCACGCCCTGTTAATGATCACAAACCTCAAGTTCATGCCGTGTTTTTTTATGTGTTGTTGTTAAATGTATAGCTTGTTTTGTACATTTCAGTAGTATGGTATGTGCTCTTATTGTTACCAGCTGTTTCTTCTTTGATTTGAGCTTTTTTAAGAGATGAAGGGAACATTTTATTGTGATGATACAACTGCACCTTTGTTCACAGTGAAGTTTTGTTTTCCTGAGGCCTTGGCTGTATCCAAATGCCCTTCGAGAGGTCATGAGCAAACTGTTCCCTGTGCAGTCCTGCTCTGAAAGAAGAGCCTCAGTCTTGAATGTGTCGACTACCAAACCATTTTAAAGTTGGAGGTAAAAATATCCGGGCAGGGAAAATCAGAGAAGACACTAAAGGCATACTTTGTTGCATAGTTATTTTTATGTGTGCTTCATCTTACTTTTATGTTGCAAAATTGGGGACATAACATGTTTTTGTTTGTCTCTAAATTTTGGAAGATGATGAAGAGCCCTTAAAATTCAGGTGACATTATGCACACAAGATGATCATCTTCAGTGCACGAGATAATTTTCTTGTTACAACTCATTGTCTTGTGCACACAGGACTATTTCTTTGAATACACAAGTTAATTTATTCTTCTTATTCTCCTGTTTTCATATCTATGGCTCTTTAATTTTACCTGCAAACAGCCGTAAATTTTCCGTTAACGTATATTTGGTTTCTCATTTTAAAACCGCATAGATTAACAAAAGCCATGTACTTGAGCACTTCATGTAGAAGGAAGCAGGTGTTTCGGTTAAAAGAGTTAAAAGAGTTACCCTGTAACCTGGTGATCTTCAGCTAGCATGTGGATGGTTGTCGTGGCAACAACAATTTACACTTGCCACCATTTACACCAGAACACTGGCTCCGAGACATTCTGTTGCTAACGTTAGTCAGTTGACCGACTACAAAATAACCAGGGGTCAACTCTTAGCTACAAGAAAGTCAAATGTCTCACCAAACAGGCATATTTGGTGAAAAATTGGAGTTAGTGACGTATCAATGAGGGGTTTTAACCGCTCGTGTAATGCAAGTTATGGCCATCTTCAGTAGAGAGCTAGCTCAACTAAATTTCAAAGTCCAGTGATATGGTGGACAAACTCCCCTGATTTTATGAGCTGGACACAATTCTTGTAAATAAACTAGCTGTTGAACTTCTTAATGTGTGAAAACTCTCTTAGAAACACACCACTGTCATAGCTTGACGCTCTAGGTAACTTAAATTTGGAACAAAGTGTATCTTGCTAAATCATCTTGTGTGTTAAAGGTCATCTCAAGGGAACAAGTTATCACCATGTGCACACAGGAAAATCACATAATTTGTCTTGGTGATGATGTAAATTACTTGCTTATACAAGATAATCATGTTCTTAAGGTAATATTGTTTGCACAAGAAAAAAAAAAACTAGCACCTTATAGGGCATAAGGGACTTTGCAAAATGACTTTTTGGATGCCAAACTCTTAATGTAAGAGAGGCAAATATCTGAAATACTAGCACATTGAACTGCAAAAATGATAGGCTATAACTCCTATTAAAAAGTGTATTTAGATCACTTTTTTGTCACCCTATAGTAAATATGAAAATCAACATGGCTCACTGTCCTCCTACAATGCAGTCGACACTTGATATCTCTCCCCTGCAGCGCAGCCCCACAGACCGTCAAATTAAGATGTCTTAAAAATGCCTGCCAGTTGCTATGTGAAGTTTGTTTTGGCCTTCGCTTCGTGTGAGAACAACTGTTAGGTAACAGTGTCTGCCAGCATCCTGACACACGTGTCTCATCAGTTAATTTCCACAAATAATTTGCCAAATAATCCCCTTAGTCATTTATTTTTCTGACCTCAAGGCCTGTGACTATGGCCACACAGTCCTCCACAGTCACTTCCCTGTGAGTCACAAGATGAGCACTCTCAAACCTGCGGCCCCCCTCCCTTTCCTGTATGTCAGTGCTGGTGACTCACTGGGGTGAAGGTCTGGGATGAGGTCAGTGGAGCACAAAGGGAAAAGGGAGGTTTTGTGGGTAATTAAATCCCCCTCGCTTACGTGAAGAGTATCATGTTGGTACTTTATCTTGTGTTTCATTTAACGTATACAGCTTTTTTTGTTTTGTTTTTTTTAATGAACCAAGTCCCTTTTTTATGTTTTTGTTTTCTTTTACAAAAGGTACAAATGTAAAAGACATGTTTTTATGTTATTTATGCCTTATGTAGTGTAGTTTTTGTGAGACAAAATGATGTATTTGGTTCCTCAGAGGACAATTTACATCAGGTAGTGAGACATCCTTGAACACAGCGATTGTCCCTCCAAAACTTAATAGGATTTTATATCTGCACAGGAAAGACTCAAGACAATCTGACACACTGTAAATGGAGGTGAGCTCATCCTCCTGTTTGGGCATTATGTTTAACAGTTACCCTTTATATATATATTTATTTTACTTTTGATTTTGAATGGGCCATAAAGCATTTCACTAAAAATCTAAAACTGCAATGTTTGCAAATGGCATCTTATCTTTACTAATATGTGAACATTTCTCTTTTCAAAACATGATTGTATTTATTATGTAAGATTGTGTCATTTCTGTGTTAAAAGGTCTGTAGATCAGGGTTGTATGTAAACGGTTTCACCTCCATTTCATCTCTGAGCATAAGGATTTAAAGATGAACTTGTGTGCATGATAGCCATACTGTAAACCACCAACTTAACCCCCCCAACAGCAATCACTGTTAACTTCAAACTGTAAGCTGGATGGACAGACTTGTTGGAGTCAACTCCGTCTGTATCACACAATCCTGACAAGGCCTTTATTAATGAATCGTTGCCAAGTGGACAGACCACTGGCTTTTTAAAGCAGGACGTCTGTAACAATGGACAACTGAACTTTGATTTCTTAATGTTCAGACGCTACTTTTGTACCATTCTGACACCTGATAATAAACACTTAACACTCACCCTGTAGCAAATAATTCTTCTTCTGGTGAATGCTTCTTCTTTCAGGGGAAAGTCACAACCACTGAGACATGTTTCAGTGACTTAAAGCTCTTGTTAGGAATTTTTTGGTCTGTGTCGACTTTGGTGCCCCCAGGCTTTGATGATACATTTTCCAATCACTCATTATTATTTTTTGCCTTGTAACTAATGAAAAAGGTTATATTAGCACTGTGCAGTAAATGACGTGATGGGACACCTACCCCCCACCAGGGGTTCAAGCCATTTAAAACAACTATATCGAGAATGTCCCTTCTCCCATTAACAGCTTTGTTTGCTTAAAGTCTGCTTTGTAGCCAGCTAAAACCTCCACAGGAGCCTTAAGTCCAACTTTTTAGCCTACCCCTCCAAGAGAACAGTGACTGGGACTCCTGAGGCCGTGAGATTGAGCCCTACCCAGGGTGAGGTGAATTTTAAAGTCTAGTGTCTACAACGAATAATAAAATAGGAAAAAAAATGAATTCTCCTGTGTGTCCATGTGGCTCAGGGGATAAGGAGACTGACTGGGACTCCTCTGGTCATGGGTTCAAGCCTTATACTGAGATTAAATTTAGCATCTAGTGTCTACAAAGGGGAATCAAAGAGGAAAAACCAGCATACTTCTGTATATCCACATGGCTCAGAGGATAAGAAAACCGACTGGGACACCTGAGGTTGTGAGTTTGAGCCTTATCTTACCCAGATCAAGGTGAATGTTAAAGTCTCGTGTCTACAAAGGAGAGTGAAAGAGGAAACAAACAGAGTTCTTCTGCGTGTCCACATGGCTCAGGAGGTAAGGAGACAGACTGGGACTCCAGAGGTCGTGGGTTTGAACCTTATCCAGGATGAATTTTAAAGTCCAAGAGCCAAAGTACCAAGATAAAAGGGCATGGAGCTCATCCCCAAGTGTGGATGGTATTTGGTGGTACAGTGCGGTACTGACACCCAAATGTGAGTCAAGAGGGCAGCCCTGGTTCGATACCCCCTCGGCACAAAGGAGATCCTGAAGCAAATCCTGCTTCAGGATGCGAATATATTATGATATCAACGATTATAATATTGTATAGATGACTATAATATAGTCATCTATCATCTCTACTATAGTTATCATGATGACTAGATTATGGAGGTCTTGAGTTTTCTAGTTATCACTTTGTCATCTAGTCATTGGTTTCTTCAAAATTTCACCCGCCTCTGACTTCCTGCCTCATAGTATGATAGATAAAAAATGTCAAAGTATAGAATGTTAAAAATAATGTCATAGTGTAGTATGATGACAATTTCATAGTAAAGTACAATGAAAAAGAGTCATGGTATAGTATGATAAAAATGCCATAGTTTATTATGATTAAAAGGTCAAAGCATAGTATGATAAAACGTCATAGTGTAGTAAAATAAAAATGTCAGTAAAGTATGTTAAAAAATGTCATGGTATAGTATGATAAAATAATGGCATAGTATAGTGTGATAAAAATGTCAAAGTATAGTATGTTCAATAAATGTCGTATTGAAGTATGATAAAAAAATATCTAAGTATATAATGTTAAAAAGATGTCATAGTATAGTATATTAAAAGGATAACTGAAATTGATAAAATAAATAACTTTTATAGACATATGTGAGACAACAGACAATTGAATTTCCCTTCAGGGAACAATAAAGTTCTTGAAAGAAACATCTCCTGGATGCACTGGGACGCATCTTCAGTGATGTATCCTGAGATCACTGGGTGTTTCGGGTCTCGCAACATCAGACACCCTCCCTCAGGTAACCCAGCCGGGGTTGATCATTCCCCGGCTTGCGTCCCAGTAGAAACCCACGGATCTGCCCTTTTGAGCCACAGCCACCTCGTGGCTTTCTCTGCGGCTTCGCCAGCGGATTTAATGCCCCTCTTCTTGGCCATCCCTGTCATGCCCAAACGGCCTAAGGCTCTGCAAAGAGAACGTCCTGCAAAACCCCTACAGCCAACTTCTATTGGCTCGTAGAATGTCCTCCAGCCCCTGCCCCGGCACTCCTCCACCAGTTCCTGATATTTGGCACGTTTCCTTTCGGCTCACTTGGGTCTTTGGGAAGTAGCCCAGGCCTGCCCTCCCTGTTGCTAAGACCCCTACCAGTGCTTTTTGCCTTAGGCGTGACTCTGACACTTCCACTGCCTTCTCAGCCTTCCATTTCCTCCCTGTCCTCACTTCAATTCCAGCCGAAGACACTTTGCTGTCCCTGGAATCCCTGTACTGCAGGGCGTCCCTTGTACGTGCCACTTCTTATCTTATCGTCTTCTTAAAAATGTCCTTGTATAGTATGATAAAAATGTCATAGTATAGTATGTTAAAAAAATGTTGTATAGTATGATAAAAAATGTCAGTATAGTATGATAAAAATGTCATAGTATAGTATGTTAAAATTTAGTCAAAGTATTATGAAAAAATAATGTCATAGTATAGTGTGATAAAAATGTCACAGTATAGTATGTTCAAAAAATGACATTAAAGTATAACAAAAATGTCATAGTATAGTATATTTTAAAATGTCACAGTGTACATGATAAAATAATGACACAGCATAGTGTGATAAAAATGTCACAGTATAGTATGATACAATAATGACACAGCATAGTGTGATAAAAATTTCATAGTATAGTAAGATAAAAAATTATCCTCGTATAGAATAGTCATATAGTCGTAGTTTAGTATGATAAAAAATGTCAAAGTGTTGTTTTATAAAAATGTCATTGTATTGTATAACAAAAACTGTCAAGGTATAGTATATTAATATTTTATAGTACCGTATGATAAAAACTTCATAGTATATTATTATAAAACAATGTCATATTATAGTGTAATAAAAATGTCTTGTTATAGAATGTTCAAAAAAGTCATTGTATACTGTGATAAAAATGTCATAGTAGAGTATGTTAAAAAATGTCAGTGTGTCATGATTACAGTCAAGTCCACATATCTAGGTTTCTTCAACAAATGTCATAGTAAAGTATGATAAAAATGTCACAGTATAGTATGCTAAAAAATGTTTTCATATAGTATGACAATAATGTTATGGTAGAGAGAGAGAGAGAGAGAGAGAGAGAGAGAGAGAGAGAGAGAGAAAGAAGACAAAAAAAGTAAGAAAAAAGACACAGAGTCAAAGTGTGTGTCTGTGTTTTTTATTTATAAACTTGTGGGTCCCACCGTCTGGTGGTTGTGTTGTTGGTTCAGCTCTTCAGGGTCTTTGTAAAGTAGTTTTGACTCAAAGGTCTAGGAAAGTGGTAGGAAAGCACCTTGACAGACTGCTGTTTTCCCAGAAGTGAATATTTTTATTTACAGTCAAGTCCACATTTATAGGTTCCTTTAACAACTAGAAAGTTTTCCTCAGATCAAACAAAATGAGTCTCAAATGAGATTACACAAGGGCACATCTTTCTCCCTTGGCAGCAATTCTCCTCTCCTTTTATGGCAGCTCAATTGCCAACCCACCTATCAGAGAGTGTACCAAGTACCTAAAGGGGAGCTCAAGATCTCTCTTGTATCAGAGAAATCAGATAAAACTCCTAACTTCACTGCCTGTACCAAACTTAACTAAACTATACTCCAACTAAATAAACCGCATACTTAGACTCCCCAAAAATGCAAAGTATGAAAAAAGAAAAACAATTTACAAAAGGAAAAAAAAACACTCAGTCGGTCCTGAAAGAAAAGAGGAGAGACAATTAGTTTGTCACATTTAACCCAACAAAAGACAAAAATCTATGATGAGGATGTCAAACTGGACTGTGGTGAGAGCTCAGAGAAGCTCTCAGGCTTCTTCACTGTTCAAGGAGTTGTTTTTTACCGTGATGTCTTTTGAAACAGTAAAAACAAAAATAAGTGAAGAGCTTTAATGAATTTGTGCTTAAGATCTGTTTGCACTTATTTTAGCATGACTGTCAGAAAAGCTGATATAAGTCTCACATGAATAAATGAATAATTAAACCCAAACTGTGTTTGGTGTTATATTTTTGTGTCCATTACATCAATAACATGTGGAACTTTTAACTCCGAATATAATGTGATTCATTCATAATTTAGTATAGTCTTACTATGCATTACACTTAAAGAAAACACTACAAATACAGGAAACTAAATGCTTAATTTGTGAACAAGAGCGAGTTTAAAAATAGAAGCTTCCAATGTAAAGTGCCCAGGACTTTTAGCTTGTAGTTTGTTTGCTTTCATTTCTTTGTAATATTCTTTGTGAGTGGGTAATAAAATGATGGAGATGAAAAATTTTAAAATTTGTCTAGATTCACTCCTTTTTCAATTGTTCTTACAAAACTGTAGGCTGACAGTAGATAAAGTCTCCTAACTGCTTCAAGAATAACATGTCACAATTTGATACTACCAGTATGTTTTTGTCCGATTCAAAGGTGTACTAATTTATTGAATTATCCAGAAATATATTGACAAAGACTTGGAATAATACAGTTATTCATAGCAGGGCAGTTTTGTGTAGAAACACTGTCCTCTGGTGGACAGTTATATTTGATGGAGTTTTTTTTTTTGTTTTTTTTTTCAGAAACAACCGCAGTTTATAGCTAGAATTAAAAATTTAAAGATGAAAATTTCTTATTATTATCAGAGTAATGTTACTGATTTTTTACTTTAAGACTACAATTTTTTTTCCATATTCATCTGGTTTCAAAACAACATCAGCCGATATAAATTGTGGAAATTGTGGATATATATTTGTGCATAATTTTGAGGCAAATCTCTCCCCATCTCTTTTCACTCACTGATCAGAGACTGAGAGTGAAGCTGTGGAGATAAATGGAGACTCCTCTTTATTCATTAATAAAGAAATGGTCAAATGTTAAAGAGTAATTACTAGAGACACCTAACTAGTTATTAAAGGTCAGGTAGGATGTGTCTCCATTTATCTCCACAGCTTCACTAACAGTCTCTGATCAGTCTGTAAAAAGGTGGACCGATAATCAGAATCACAGGGGCAGCCGAGTGCCTCTACCTGAGCGGGACGCGGAGGGAGGAAGGCCGCCACATAAAAATGGTGGTCCACCCGACGGTCCGGTGTAGAGTCCTGAAAGAACAAGAGAAATTTGTAGTTTTTTCAAAATGAAGCATACCTGACATCTATTTAAACTCATCACTACAGACAGTTTTTAATCTCCTATCATGTGCAGTCTTGTTTCAGTTCTGTTGATCTTCTTGTAAATGTTGCTTTTGAAACAGAATAAAACATTTTCTTGAAAAAGGCTTTGTACCAGATTTTTGTTCAATGGTCAGCTGAATAATCAGGCTAATGGATGTTTTTTTCAGATAATTGCTATTGTTTTATATTTCTTAACTTCTCAACATATTTTAACAAATGTATCACACAACTCTATATTTTTCTTTTTCATTTATTTAATAAACATGTAAAGCAAGTCACTGGATCATATATAAACATAAATATAAGACAAAAGTTGATGCATTTAGACAGAACTTTAAGTTTTTCCTTTTTTTCTGTTCCAATTATTCACTGTCTTTTTTAAATTTTGGTTTAATTAATTAGAACCCCCCCCTCCCTAAATTTTCTTGTCTGAATATGTAACTGAGCCAAAGTAGTTATAGTATGATAAAATGTGATAGTATAGTATGTTAAAAAATGTCAGTGTAGTATGTTAAAAATGTGACAGTATAGAATAATAAAAAAATGTCATTGTATAGTATGTTAAAACTGTCATAGTTTAGTATAATAAAAATGCCACAGTATAGTATGATATAAATGTCATAGTATAGTATGTTAAATAAAGTAATAGTATAGTATAATAAAAAACTGTCATTTAGTAGTATGTAAAAAAAAAAAAAAAAATCGTATAGTGGGCCGGGAGCCAGGTGCACCCCACGCGCATTTTTTTGCTACCTTTTTTTCACTATTATTTCTTGTGATCCTATACCTTGGGCCATAACAAGTTCATACTGACCGCCCCCAACTCGGCCCCCGTTTGGCCCCAAAAAACCTTATTTTTGGGAAAAGCTTTTGCAAATATTAGGGTGCTGCAACTGCATAAATGGTCAAATAAGTCTGAAATTTTGCATGGTGTATCCTAACACATAGGGGAAACTACCAGAATAATAATCTGGGGCTTACTACCATGCTATTGCCAAATATCACCCTCTGAATACCCCAAAAGACCAAAAACTGTCTGTCCGCCTAACAAATTGTCATCAAAAGTGATCATTTCACAGTATTTTCTTATACATTTCACTGCCTACCATGGATATGGAAAACTTCCCACATTTATAAGCTTCAATTTAAGGCATCTCAATGACCTTTCTATCTGGAAAAATGGTCATAGAGATGCCTTAAAAATACATGGCACAGAGACAGAATCACTGCAGTCTCTGTCCGTGTTAACCTGTGACTGTATGCAGATGTCAGCGGTGTGTCAGGTGTGCTGGTCCTTTTACTCACTCACTTACAGCATGGAGCATTTTATCTGCACTGGACTTACCTGTGACAACCTGTACTCTAATACAGGGGTGAAAGTTGGGTGAGGTTCTTACTGTACCTGTAGGCTTTGTACAAGAGGAGCACACCCAAGTTTGACAAGGTGCCGACTCCCCCTTGGTTCCATCCTCCGTAAATTCAACCTTCAATATCACTGCTACGGAGACGACACCCAGCTCTACCTCTCCAGCTCACCAAACTCCACCCTCCCACCCACCTCCCTCATCACCTGCCTATCCGAAATTAAATCCTGGTTCACCTCCAACTTTCTCCAACTAAACAGTCAGAAAACAGAAATTCTTCTAGTAGGTTCCAAATTCACCCTATCCAAAGTTAACAGTCTCTCCCTTCCCATCGACAGCTCCTCAGTTTCCCCCTCCCCTCAGGTCAAGAGTCTGGGTGTCGTCCTTGACAGTACTTTTTCCTTCAAATCCCACATCAGCCTTACCACTCGGACTGCCTACTTCCATCTCCACCACATCAATCGGCTCCGTCCCTCCCTCTCCCCCAACACCACCTCCATCCTCGTCCACAGTCTTGTCACCTCCCGTCTGGACTACTGCAACTCCCTCCTCTTCGGTCTCCCTCACACGTCTCTCCATAAACTTCAACTGGTCCACAACTCCGCTGCCCGGATCATCACCAAAACCCCTTCGTTCCACCACATCACCCCCATCCTGCAGCAGCTCCACTGGCTCCCGGTCCCACTTAGAATCCAGTTCAAAATCCTCCTGTGTTCCTTTAAAGCCATCCACAACCTGGCCCCTACTTACCTGTCTGACCTCCTCCACATCGCCACTCCATCCCGCCACCTCCGATTCTCTTCCTTTCTCCACCTCACTGTGCCCCCTGTTCACCTCATCACCATGGGGGGCAGAGGTTTCAGTCGCTCAGCCCCCCGACTCTGGAACTCTTTACCATCACACATCCGCAACATAGACTCCCTCCCCCTCTTCAAATCCAAACTCAAGACACACCTGTTTAAACTGGCCTAGCCATCCCACCACCCCTAACTCACTCTTTTAATTTAATTTTAATTGGTATTATTGATTTCTTTATTTATTCCTTTGCTGTTGTTTGTGCTGCTTTGTTTGTTTAATAGTGTTTTGTTATCATTGTTTTATATGTTCTGTAAAGTGTCCTTGAGTGACATGAAAGGCACTCCAAAAAATGTATTATATATATATATATATATATATTCTTTTTCTTTTGTTTTCTTTAGTTTTTTTATTTTTCTGCCTGTTTTAAGGTTTTGTTATTAGTTTTTGTTTTTAATTTTTAAGTTTTTTAGTTTTTTTTTTTTTTTTTTTGTTTCTTTAGTTTTTTTTTTCTTCAGTTTTTTTTTTTCTATTTTTTGCCTGGCACCTCTGTCAAGATGAGTCACTCTTAGTCTGGTCCCTCTCCCAGGACCTGTTTGCCTTGGGTGACCCTTCAGAGGCAAAAAGCCCTGACAGCATAGCTCCTGTGATCATTGGGACACACAAACCCCTCCACCACGGTAAGGTGGTAGCTCGAGGAGGGGAAAAAACCCTCACGTGGGAGGGAAAAACCGCAAGGGTCTTTTTTTTTTCTGTGCAAAAACACCCAGTTTAGGGTGGGTTAGGCAGACTATTAAGGGTGGGGTTTTTTTTTTTTTAATAATACTTTTCTTTTTTGTTTCCTATAGTTCTTTTTTATTTTTCTGCCTGTTTTAAGTTTTTTTTTCCAGAAATACAATTTTTTTCTTTTTTTTAATTTTCTTTAGTTTTTTTTTTTAATTTTCTGCCTATTTTAATTTTTTTTTGTTTAAGTTTTATTTAGTTTTTTTTTCAGTTTTCAGCCTGCTTTAAGGGTGTTTTAAGTTTTAAATTTAATTTAAATAAAAAAAAACCTTATTTATTTGTGCAAAATACCTGGTTAAGGGTGTTTTTTTTTTTGTTTTTTTTTTTTTTTCAGAAAAACTTTTTCTTTATTTTTTTCCAGTTTTCTGCCTATTTTAAGGTTTTGTTTTTTTTCTTAGTTTTGTTTTTTCAGTTTTCTGCCATTTTAAAGGGTGTTTTCTTTTTCTTTTTTTCATGTATATGATTTTTTTTAGTTTTCTTTATTTTTTTTCAATTTTCTGCCAGTTTTAGGGGTTTTCTTTTTTTCTGCAAAACACCCAGTGAAGTGTGTTTTTTTTTTTTGTTTTTCTGAAATACTATTCTTTTTTTTTTTTTTCTATAGTTTTTTTATGTTTCTGCCTGTTTTAAGGGTTTTTTTAATTTTTTTTCCTTTTTTTCCTTTTTATTTGAGCTTCATTTTTTTTCCAGTTTTCTGCCTATTTTAGGGTTTTCTGTTTCAGTTTTCTTTAGTTTTTTTTTTTTTCAGTTTTCTGCCTGTTTTAAGTTTTTTTTTTCAGAAATACTATTCTTTTTCTTTTTTTAAGTTTCCTTATGTGTTTTTATTTTTCTGCCTGTTTTAATTTTTTAAATATTTTTTTAATTTTTTTTTACAGAAATACTATAATTTTTCCTTTTTATTTGAGCTTTCTTTATTTTTTCCAGTTTTCTGCCTATTTTAGGGTTTTCTGTTTAAGTTTTCTTTAGGTTTTTTTCAGTTTTCTGCCTGTTTTAAGGTTGTTTTTTTCAGAAATACTATTCTTTTTCTTTTTTTTTGTTTCCTTATGTTTTTTTTTACTTTTTTACCCGTTTTAATTTTTTTTATATATTTTTTAAAGGTTTTTTCTTCTTTTTCTTTTTTAGATATATGATTTTTTATCAGTTTTCTGCCCTTTTCAAGGGTTATGTATATATATATATATATATATATATATATATACACTCACCGGCCACTTTATTAGGTACACCATGCTAGTAACGGGTTGGACCCCCTTTTGCCTTCAGAACTGCCTCAATTCTTCGTGGCATAGATTCAACAAGGTGCTGGAAGCATTCCTCAGAGAGCTTGGTCCATATTGACATGATGGCATCACACAGTTGCCGCAGATTTGTCGGCTGCACATCCATGATGCGAATCTCCCGTTCCACCACATCCCAAAGATGCTCTATTGGATTGAGATCTGGTGACTGTGGAGGCCATTTGAGTACAGTGAACTCATTGTCATGTTCAAGAAACCAGTCTGAGATGATTCCAGCTTTATGACATGGCGCATTATCCTGCTGAAAGTAGCCATCAGAAGTTGGGTACATTGTGGTCATAAAGGGATGGACATGGTCAGCAACAATACTCAGGTAGGCTGTGGCGTTGCAACAATGCTCAATTGGTACCAAGGCGCCCAAAGAGTGCCAAGAAAATATTCCCCACACCATGACACCACCACCACCAGCCTGAACCATTGATACAAGGCAGGATGGATCCATGCTTTCATGTTGTTGACGCCAAATTCTGACCCTACCATCCGAATGTCGCAGCAGAAATCGAAACTCATCAGACCAGGCAACGTTTTTCCAATCTTCTATTGTCCAATTTCGATGAGCTTGTGCAAATTGTAGCCTCAGTTTCCTGTTCTTAGCTGAAAGGAGTGGCACCCGGCGTGGTCTTCTGCTGCTGTAGCTCATCTGCCTCAAAGTTCGACGTACTGTGCGTTCAGAGATGCTCTTCTGCCTACCTTGGTTGTAACGGGTGGTTATTTGAGTCACTGTTTCCTTTCTATCAGCTCGAACCAGTCTGGCCATTCTCCTCTGACCTCTGGCATTAACAAGGCATTTCCGCCCACAGAACTGCCGCTCACTGGATATTTTTTCTTTTTCGGACCATTCTCTGTAAACCCTAGAGATGGTTGTGCGTGAAAATCCCAGTAGATCAGCAGTTTCTGAAATACTCAGACCAGCCCTTCTGGCACCAACAACCATGCCACGTTCAAAGTCACTCAAATCACCTTTCTTCCCCATACTGATGCTCGGTTTGAACTGCAGGAAATTGTCTTGACCATGTCTACATGCCTAAATGCACAAAGTTGCCGCCATGTGATTGGCTAATTAGAAATTAAGTGTTAACGAGCAGTTGGACAGGTGTACCTAATAAAGTGGCCGGTGAGTGTATATATATATAGGTATATAGGTTGAGGGTTAGGGTTTTCAGAAATACTATTCTTTTGTTTTCTTTATTTTATTTTTATTTTTTTGCCTGTTTCAAGGTTTTCTTATTAGTTTTTGTCTTTAATTTTTTAAGTTTTTCAGTTTGTTTTGTCTTTTTTTGTTTTCTTTAGTTTTTTTTTTCCTATTTTTTGCCTGGCACCTCTGTCAAGATGAGCTACTCTTAGTCCGGTCCCTCCCCCAGGACCTGTTTGCCTTGGGTGACCCTTCAGAGGCATAAAGCCCCGACAACATAGCTCCTGTGATCATTGGGACACACAAACCCCTCCACCACGGTAAGGTGGTAGCTCGAGGAGGGGAAAAAACCCTCACGTGGGAGGGAAAAACCGCAAGGGGTTTTTTTTTTCTGTGCTAAACACCCAGTTTAGGGTGGGCTTTTCATATATTTTTTTTCAGAAATAATATTCTTTTTCTTTTTTTTTAGTTTCATTTAGTTCTTTTTAATTTTCTGCCAATTTGAAGGCAGATTAGGCAGACTATTAAGGGTGGGTTTTTTGTTTTTTTTCTGCCTGTTTTAAGTTTTTTTTTCCAGAAATACTATTTTGTTCTTTTTTAAATTTTCTTTATTTTTTATTTTCTGCCTATTATAAGGTTTTTTTGTTAGTTTTTTTTCAGTTTTCCGCCTGCTTCAATAGTGTTTTAAGTTTTAAATTTAATATAAATTTTAAAAATATTTATTTATTTGTGCAAAATACCTGGTTAAGGGTGTTTTTTTTTTAAGAAAAACTTTTTTTTAGTTTTCTATATATTTTTTCCAGTTTTCTGCCTCTTTGAAGGGTTTTTTTTAGGGTTTTTTTCTTAGTTTTGTATTGTCAGTTTTCTGCCATTTTTAAGGGTGTTTTGTTTTCTTTTTTTTTCATGTATATGATTTTTTTTTGATTTTTTTTTTTATTTTCTGCCTTTTTTAGGGGTTTTTTTTTTTTTCTGCAAAACACCCCGTGGTGTGTTTTTTTTGTTTTTTGTTTTTCTGAAATACTACTCTTTTTTTGTTTCTCTTCTATAGTTTTTTTGTTTCTGCCTGTTTAAAGAATTTTTTTATTATATTTTTTATTTTAATTTTTTTTCCAGAAATACTATTCTTTTTTCCTTTTTCAGTGGTTTTTTTTTTTAGTTTTTTTTATATTTCTGCCTGTTTTAAGGTTTTTTTTAATTATTTTATTTTATTTTTTTTTTATATTTGCAAAATACACAGTTTAGGTTTTTTTTTCCAGAAATACCATTCTTATTCTTTTTTTAGTTTCCTTATGTTCTTTGTATTTTACTGCCTGTTTGAATTAATTTTTTATTATTTTAAGTTTTTTTTTACAGAAATACTATTATTTTTTCTTTTTTTTAGTTTTCTTTCTTTTTTTTAGTTTTCTGCCTGCTTTAAGAGTGTTTTTTTCTATTTTAAATTTTTTTCTTTTTTTTTTAGATATATGAATTTTTTTATCAGTTTTCTGCCTGTTCTAAGGGATATACATATATTTATGTATTAAGGTTAAGGGTGTTTTTTTTTCAGAAATACTAATCTTTTTTTCTTTAGTTTTCTTTAGTTTTTTTTTCTGCCTGTTTTAAGGTTTTGTTTTTAGTTTTTTTATTTTTAAGTTTTTTTTCAGAAATACTATTTTTTTTTGTAGTTTACTTTAATTCTTTTTTATATGTCTGGCTGTTTTAATTCTTTTTATATTTTTTTAAGTTTTTTTTTTTTTTACAGAAATACTATTATTACTTTCTTTATTATTAGTTTTCTTTATTTTTTTCGAGTTTCTGCCAATTTCAGGGTGTTCTGTTTAAGTTTTCTTTAGTTTTTTCCAGTTTTCTGCCTGTTTTAAGGTTTCTTTTTTAGTTTTTTGTAAGTTTATTTTTTCAGAAATACTATTCTTTTTCTTTTTTTAGTTTCCTTGTTTTTTTATTTTTCTGCCTGTTTAAATTTTTTTAATATTTCTTTAATGTTTTTTTTACAGAAATACTATATTTTTTCTCTTTTTTAGTTTTCTTTAATTCTTTTTTATACGTCTGCCTGTTTTAATTATTTTTATATTTTTTTAAGGTTTTTTTTTACAGAAATACTATTATTTCTTTCTTTCTTATTAGTTTTCTTTATTTTTTCCAGTTTCTTCCTATTTCAGGGTGTTCTGTTTAAGTTTTCTTTAGTTTTTTCCAGTTTTCTGCCTGTTTTAAGGTTTCTTTTTTAGTTTTTTGTAAGTTTATTTTTTCAGAAATACTATTCTTTTTCTTTTTTTAATGTCTTTGTTTTTTTATTTTTCTGCCTGTTTAAATTTTTTTTATATTGCTTTAATGTTTTTTTTTACAGAAATACTATTATTTTTGTATAGTTTCCTTATGTTTTTTTTATTTTTCTGCCTGTTTTAATTTTTTTAAAATATTTTTGTGAGGTTTTTTTTTACAGAAAGACTATTATTTTTTCTTTTTTCTTTTCTTTATTTTGCTTCCAGTTTTCTGCCTATTTTAGGGTTTTCTGTTTAAGTTTTCTTTAGTTTTTTTTCAGTTTTCTGCCTGCTTTAAGGGTCTTTTTTAGTTTTTTCTTTCTTTTTTTTAGATATATGATTTTTTTTTATCAGTTTTCTGCCTGTTTTAAGGGATTTATATATATTTATGTATTTAGGTTGAGGGTGTTTTTTTCAGAAATACTAATCTTTTTTTTCTTTAGTTTTCTTTAGTTATTTCTATTTTTCTGCCTGTTTTAAAGTTTTGTTTTTAGTTTTTTTTATTTTTAAGTTTTTTTTCAGAAATACTATTCTTTTTTTTGTAGTTTACTTTAATTCTTTTTTATATGTCTGGCTGTTTTAATTCTTTTTATATTTTTTTAAGGTTTTTTTTTTTTTTTTACAGAAATACTATTATTACTTTCTTTCTTATTAGTTTTCTTTATTTTTTTCCAGTTTCTGCCTATTTCAGGGTGTTCTGTTTAAGTTTTCTTTAGTTTTTTCCAGTTTTCTGCCTGTTTTAAGGGTTTTTTTGTTTTTTCAGAAATACTATTCCTGTCCTTTTTTATTCTTCTGCCTGTTTCAAGGTTTTGTTATTAGTTTTTGTCTTTAATTCTTTTGTTTTTTTAGTTTTTTTGTTTTTGTTTTTTGTTTTCTTTAATTTTTTTTTTCTATTTTTTGCCTGGCACCTCTGTCAAGATGAGCTACTCTTAGTCCGGTCCCTCCCCCAGGACCTGTTTGCCTTGGGTGACCCTTCAGAGGCATAAAGCCCCGACAACATAGCTCCTGTGATCATTGGGACACACAAACCCCTCCACCACGGTAAGGTGGTAGCTCGAGGAGGGGAAAAAACCCTCACGTGGGAGGGAAAAACCGCAAGGGTTTTTTTTTTTCTGTGCTAAACACCCAGTTTAGGGTGGGTTTTTCATATTTTTTTTCAGAAATAGTATTCTTTTTCTTTTTTTTTAGTTTCATTTAGTTCTTTTTAATTTTCTGCCAATTTGAAGGCAGATTAGGCAGACTATTAAGGGTGGGTTTTTTGGTTTTTTTCTGCCTGTTTTAAGTTTTTTTTTCCAGAAATACTATTTTGTTCTTTTTTTAATTTTCTTTATTTTTTATTTTCTGCCTATTTTAAGGTTTTTTGTTAGTTTTTTTTCAGTTTTCCGCCTGCTTTAAGAGTGTTTTGAGTTTTAAATTGAATATACATTTTAAGAAAATATTTTTTTATTTGTGCAAAATACCTGGTTAAGGGTGTTTTTTTTTTTAAGAAAAACTTTTTTTTAGTTTTCTATATATTTTTTCCAGTTTTCTGCATCTTTGAAGGATTTTTTTTTAGTTTTTTTTTCTTAGTTTTGTATTGTCAGTTTTCTGCCATTTTTTAGGGTGTTTTGTTTTCTTTTTTTCATGTATATGATTTTTTTTTAATTTTCTGCCTTTTTAGGGGTTTTCTTTTTTTTATTTTTTATTTTAAATTTTTTTCCAGAAATACTATTCTTTTTTCCTTTTTTAGTGTTTTTTTTTAGTTTTTTTTTATATTTCTGCCTGTTTTAAGGTTGGTTTTTAGTTTTTTTTTTAGTTGTTTTTTTATTTTTGCAAAATACACAGTTTAGGTTTTTTTTTTCAGAAATACTATTCTTTTTCTTTTTTTAGTTTCCTTATGTTCTTTGTATTTTTCTGCCTGTTTGAATTTATTTTTTATTATTTTAAGTTTTTTTTTACAGAAATACTATTATTTTTTCTTTTTTTAGTTTTCTGCCTGCTTTAAGGGTGTTTTTTTTCTATTTTAAATTTTTTGCTTTTTTTTTAGATATATGAATTTTTTTTTATCAGTTTTCTGCCTGTTTTTAGGGATATATATATATATATATTTGTATTTAGGTTGAGGGTGTCTTTTTTTCAGAAATACTAATCTTTTTTCTTTAGTTTTTTTTTTTCTGCCTGTTTAAAGGTTTTGTTTTTAGGTTTTTTATTTTTAAGTTTTTTTTCAGAAATACTATATTTTTTCTTTTTTTTAGTTTCCTTTAATTCTTTTTTATACGTCTGCCTGTTTTAATTCTTTTTATATTTTTTTAAGGTTTTTTTTTAACAGAAATACTATTACTTCTTTCTTTCTTATTAGTTTTCTTTATTTTTTTCCCGTTCTGCCTATTTCAGGGTGTTCTGTTTAAGTTTTCTTTAGTTTTTTCCAGTTTTCTGCCTGTTTTAAGGGTGTTTTTTTTTTCTTTCTTTTTTTTTTTAGATATATGATTTTTTTATCAGTTTTCTGCCTGTTTTAAGGGATTTATATATATTTATGTATTTAGGTTGAGGGTGTTTTTTTTTCAGAAATACTAATCTTTTTTTCTTTAGTTTTCTTTAGTTTTTTATTTTTCTGCCTGTTTTAAGGTTTTGTTTTTAGTTTTTTTTATTTTTAATTTTTTTTTTCAGAAATACTATTCTTTTTCTTTTTTTAGTTTCCTTTAATTCTTTTTTATATGTCTGCCTGTTTTAATTCTTTTTATATTTTTTTAAGGGTTTTTTTTTTACAGAAATACTATTATTTCTTTCTTTCTTATTAGTTTTCTTTATTTTTTCCAGTTTCTGCCTATTTCAGGGTGTTCTGTTTAAGTTTTCTTTAGTTTTTTCCAGTTTTCTGCCTGTTTTAAGGGTTTTTTTTTTTTTTCAGAAATACTATTCCTGTCCTTTCTTATTTTTTCTGCCTGTTTTAAGGTTTCTTTTTTAGTTTTTTTTATTTTTATTTTCAGAAATACTATTATTTTTTTTATTTTTTTTAGTTTTCTTTGTTTTGTTTTTTCCAGTTTTCTGCCTCTTTTGGTTTTTTTTGTTTAAGTTTTCTCTATTTTTTTTTCAGTTTTCTGCCTGCTTTAAGGGTGTTTTTTTTTAGCTTTTTTTTTAGATAGATGATTTTCTATCAGTTTTCTGCCTGTTTTAAGGGTTATACATATATATATATATATATAGGTTGAGAGTGTTTTTTTTCAGAAATACTATTCTTTTTTTAGTTTCATTTAGTTCTTTTTAATTTTCTGCCTATTTGAAGGCAGATTAGGCAGACTCTTAGGGGTGTTTTTTTTGTTTGTTTTTGTTTCCTATAGTTCTTTTTATTTTTTTGCCTGTTTTAAGTTTTTCTTTCAGAAATACTGTTTTTTTCCTTTTTTATTTTCTTTAGTTTTTTTTTAATTTTCTTCCTATTTTAAGTTTTTTTTGTTTAAGTTTTATTTAGTTTTTTTCAGTTTTCAGTCTGCTTTAAGGGTGTTTTAAGTTTTAAATTTAATTTAAATTTTTGAAACATATTTATTTATTTGTGCAAAATACCTGGTATAGGGTTTTTTTTATTTGTTTTTTTTTTTTAAGAAAAACTTTTTTTTTCGTTTTCTTTATTTTTTTTCCAGTTTTCTGTCTCATTGAATGTTTTTTTTGTTTTGTTTCCTTAGTTTTGTTTTTTCAGTTTTCTGCCATTTTAAGGATGTTTTTTTTCTTTTTTTTCATGTATATGATTTTTTTTAGTTTTCTTTATTTTCTTTCCATTTTCTGCCTGTTTTAGGGGTTTCCTTTTTTTTTCCGGCAAAACACCCAGTGAATTGTTTTTTTTTTGTTTTTGTTTTTCTGAAACACTATTCTTTATTTTTTAGTTTTCTTTAGTTGTTTTTTTCTGCAAAATACACAGTTAAGGTTTTTTTTCCAGAAATACTATTCTTTTTTCCTTTTTTTGTAGTTTTTTTTTATGTTTCTGCCTGTTTTAAGGTTTTTTTTTTAGGGTTTTTTTTTTTAGTTGTTTTTTTTTGCAAAATACACAGTTAAGGTTTTTTTTCCAGTTAAGGTTTTTTTTTCCAGAAAAACTATTAATTTTCTTTTTTCTTTCGTTTTCTCTATTTTTTTTCCAGTTTTCGGCCTATTTTTAAGGTTTTTTTAAGGTTATTTATATATACTGTATTTATTCATAATACAGAAATACTTTTCTTTTTGTTTTTTGTTTTTGTTTTTCAGAAACAATTTTCTTTAGTTTTTTCTGCCTGTTTTAATTTTTTTGAGTTTTTTCTGTTTTTTTCAGATATACTATTCTTTTTCTTTTTTTAGTTTTCTTTAGTTTTTTTATGTTTCTACCTGTTTTAAGTTTTTTGTTGTTGTTTTGTTTAAGTTTTTTTAAAGTTGTTTTTATTTTCAGAAATACTATTCTTTTTCTTTTTTTTAGTTTCCTGTTATGACTGGGGTCATAATTGGTTGAGTGTCTGCTGGGTGTGTGTGCTCTGTGTTTTCTCTGCGTCAATCTTGTATGCAAATAGGTGTGTGCCACAGCAACGCGGTCATTGGTGGGATGGACTACGCCCTGTATGGTGATTGGCCGAGACCAGCTATATTGAGAACCAAGATGGCAGCCACCATGTGCAGAGGCCAGGCGTTCCTCATCCTCCTCCTCTCCCAACCGGCCACCCTATTTTGCAGCTTAAAGACTATGGTGTATTGTGTTCTGTTTTCCTTCAGTAGTAGGGGTGGACTGCCAGTTTTGTTAACATTATTTTCTCCTGTGTATTTTAGTTAGGGAGGTAAGTCTTTTGTCATTTGTTTCCTTTGTTTTGGTTAGGGAAGGACTTACTACTCAGACAGGATTATTTTTGGTTGTTGTTTTGGCCTTGGTCCACCCTGAAGTCTAGTTATCCAGCCTTAGTTCTTTTGTCTATCTTTTGTTATTTACTGATTTATACAAATAAATCTTTATCTTTAACTTTAACTGGATCTCGGTTGTTGTGGCTACTTGGGACTTGGGGATGATGAGGCCTTCTCATGTTGTGCCCTAGGCACCCCTAGACTGGGGCGTAACATGAATTGGGGGCTCGTCCGTCTTCTTGTCGCGTTTCTTCGGTGAGTATGTGTTTTTCTGGTTGGTAGTTTTTTTTGTGTGTGGGGGGAATTATGGATTTTTCACTGGATGATTTTATGGCCAGTCCCTCTTTTGCAAAAATTGAAAAATGTAAAAAAGCAGACCTGTTGATTGTGGCAAATTTCTTTAATGTAAAAGTACCATACAATGTCAACAAAGCAGAGCTCAAACAGTTGCTGTGTGCACAGTTGGTGGAGCAGGGCGTCTTACCTAAACCAGCGCTTGATGCGGTTGCTGCGGGTGATGTGGCTAGTGTCGCACCGGGGGCTGAGGTGAAAGCGGCGGGGGCTGCTGGCACGCTCGCTGCTGGTGCGGAACTTGGGCCGGTCACGGATCCTCTCATGGGTACCATGACCACAGAGGATCTCCGCATAGCACTCCAAATAAAGGAGGCAGAGACCCGAAACAAACAGCTAGAGGTACAAGCAAAGGAGGCCGAGACCCGAAACTTGCATCTACGCTTAAGGGTTCTCGAGCTGGAAAAAGGAGCCTTTGCAG